GTCCTGTTTAGCTATGGACTCTTCAGTGGATTCGTCTACTGCTGACGTTCGTGCTCTGTGATGCAGTCATCTCTCAGTAGCATGCCAGCTGCAGACCAAGGCTTCAGCACATGAGCTTTTCTTGGGGGCTGGGGAGAGATACTTAATATCCAAATCATAACAGTAGGTTAAATTAAACCTTGTTAGAAGCTTAACATTGCTAAATAGCCTTAGGTAAAAGAAAATCACTAAGGAAATTTAGAAACAACTGAATGATGAAAACATTGCATGTTGAAATTCTTGAGGCAGCAAAAGGAGAATTTAGGAGGAAATAACATGCCTTTAAGATGTTTGTCAAGAAAAAGATTAAAAATTCATAAGCCTATGTATACATACATTTCCTGGCTCTTACCTACTGAAAGAACTTTGATACAGTGAAATATCCATAGCATATCTAGTATTCAAATATTGCTTCATAAATACTATTGTCCAATAAAAAGAATCAAGGTACGTGGAGAAGTGATCATTCCAAGGCTGAGATAGGAAAAATACACAATCAGCCTAGGTTATCTTATGGGGTCGGATGTGCCAAAAAGAATAGATGTTGTAAAGGGTACATGAGCTAACCTGAAGGAGCTCCCAGTGGCCACAGCTGACACAGCTTGAGCAGCAAAATAAATGATAGTATTAGAGTATAACCTTAGAGCAAAACATCCATGAGATACTAGAATAAACTGTTAATAAAAGATGCCTTCAGAAGCTCTTTCACACTGAAGAGTTCTAACTAGTGAATTAGGAGGAAAATGGGAAATCCCCATTTGTCAAATAACAGTAATAAAATTGTAGGCAAGATCCATCAATTCATACTAAAACTAGGGGCTAAAAGTTTGAGAATAAACAAGATGTTCAAAGTTACAAAGTATCTCCCCAAGTGTATTTAGTTACCAAGGGAACAATAGTAACTTTACAGAGAAGAAACTTTACCAATTGAGCAAAGTTAACATCACCAGTAATAAGAGGTCAAATCAGCATCATATGTCCCATTATGATATACTAAGGACACAACATCACTTCTGTGATATTCTTACCAAAAAAAAAAAAAATGTGTAACTTAGTGTAAGTATAAAACATTCACTCCTAAGTATAAACCCACGAGAATTGAAAACAAGTGTTCAAACAAACACTTGTGCATGAAGCACTATTCACATTATTTACACAAGCCAAGAAGTAGAAAAACCACAAATGTCTATGAAACCAGATTGCAGGACATCTACAATACTATTGATCAGTCTCCTCAAAAGTGCCATGGTTAGGGCTGGAAGTGTTACTCAAGCAGTAAATAGGGACCTGCCTAGCCAGCACCCCAAGTTCCAGCCCCAGTACTGCCCCTCCCCCAGAAAGTGTCATGGTTGTAGAAGTCAAGAAAAGACGGAGCAACTGTCACAAATTGGAAATGCTATTAGGCATGACAACTAATGCAGTGCAGGATTCTGTGTTGGATCCTGGACAAAGGACCTCAGGAGAAGAACTGATAAAATTTATGTAAAGTCCATAGTTAGTGATATTGTGCCAATGTAAATTTTCAGGTTTTGACAGTACTACTATGGTAAATGTTAGGGGAAGCTGGTTTACATACAAAGAAACTCTACTATTTTTTCAGGTTTTCTGAGACTAAAATTAAATCAAAATTGAAAAATAAAAGGCAGGGTAAGCATTCAGTCAAAAACTTGGGGAGAACGGGGCAAACTCAGGAAAGGAAACACAGATAATATCAGAAATGAAAAAAGAAAAAAGTTGAGACACTGGAATTACTAATAAGCCAAATTTCTAGCAAGACTGATTAAGAAATAGAAGGTGCAAAAATCATAAAAATGAACATGAAAACCAATAAACTTGCTGCATTCTTGTGATAAATCATATTTGCAAAGCTTGAGTTTTCTCTTGCTATGATTAGAAAGCAAGTACTTTGTGAAAATTCACATGGAACAGAAAGTGGGGGTGGCAGTGTCCAGTCTGACATTATGATTTGAGAAGCTGTACAGTACCCACCAGGTGTAAGTTGTTTCAGTCTGTTTGGTAAATGGAATGAATGTTTCTTTTGGTTTTGGGGTTGTCATTTAAAAAAAAACCTACAAGTGCCTTTACCCAAGTAATTCTAATAACTTCTGAAATATGAGAATATAAACAACTAAATGCTAATGAATTTGAAGAGTCAGATGAAACTGGTAAGTTCCTTGAAAAGTGATAAGCAGCTTGAATACAGAATTAAAAATATTAGAATGGTAATCAAAGATCTTCCCTCCCAAATCCTGTGCTTGGATGTCTGCACAGATGGATTCTACTAAATTTTGAAAGAACAATTCTTTCTTACGTAGCTTGTTACAGAAACTGGGGAAAGAGTGAGAGCTGCCTTACTTACCTTTTTTATTTTTTCGTGTACCAGCATTTAAACTCAAGGCCTGCTTGCTAGGCAGGCCTTCTGCCACTTGAGCCACTCTACCACTTTTTTGTGTTGGGTATTTTTGAGATAGGGTCTCACAAACTGTTTGCCTGGGCTGTCTTAGAACCTCAATCCTCCTGATCTCTGCCTCCCGAGTAGCTAGGATTATAGGCATGAGCCACCGGCACCTGGTACTGTCTTACTGTCCATGAGACTAGTACAGGAGACATTATAAAGTCATTTCCCTCATTAATATGGATAGAAAAATCATAAATAAAATACCAGCTATAGAAATAAAAAATATACTAAAAGAGTGATAGCTCATGATCAGGTGCAGTTTAGTTCAGGACTCCGAAGATACTTCATCTTTAAAACAATTACTAATGTAATTCACTATCTTAATAGTTGAAAAGAAAAATTTTCCTGAATTGATTCAGAAAAGAATTTTACATATTTCAATAATTATATAAATTCTTAGCAAACAATGCAAATAAGGGAACCTAAATGTATATTTGTATATTGGATTTTTAGAAACTTTATGAACATTTTTAAATATAAAAAGTAAGCTAACTCTCATTGCCTAGCTTCAGCATTTACCGTATGCAGCGACTAGTGAGCATTACATCTTGTCCCCATGTGCCCTTTTTTCTCCCTTTATTATTAAGTTTTCCTCACTTTATTATTAAGCAAGTTCCAGACATTGTGCCTTATCAATAGATGCTCAGAATGTGGGTTTTTCCTCTATAACCACTAACATCCTAAAAATAAGCACTAATTTCTGTTACCTAGCCATGGCTGAAATTGTCTGATTCATAAACATGGATTCAAAGTACATGTTACCTTTGGCTGCAAAGCTGCATGAGTGGGTTTTAATCAATAATAACTCACTCTCACTTGATATCCTCTCTTCTCCCCTCCCCTTCTCTCCTCTCCCCTCCCCTCCCCTCCCCTTCCCTCCTCTCCTCTCCCCTTCATTGCAGCATTATTTGTGGTAGAAGCCTTGGAGGTAATACAGGTGACTAAAGCTGGGACAGTAGAGAGGGTTACAATACTAAACAACATAATACTTCTGACACCAGGTGTGTGGGAGTCACCCCTCCTCCCAGCGGACACTAACTGAGTGTGCTATAGTTCGGCTGAATTCTGGCATTGCTTGCCTGGAAACAGTGTCAAATACCACAAATTAAGTCGTACAAGACTGCCCCTAAGACACCAATCACGAGTAGAAGCTTGCCCCTTAAACTTCTGACTGACCAGCTGTGACTTGAGGTTTCCGTGATTCCCTCCTCAGGGCTTACTAACTTCCTAGAATAAGCCCAGAGCTTAAGGAACACTCTACTCAAGTTTACTTACTCGTTATGAAGGATATTCCAAGGGACACAGTGAACAGCCACATGGAAGAGATGTCTAGGGCAGAGCATGTGGGAATGGATCCACATGCCCTCTCTGGAAGCCTCCAGATACTGCCAAATGGTCAGCAATCTGGAAACTCTAAATCCAGTGCTTTTGGATTTTTATGAGGACTTCATGACTAATGGGCATGATTAATTATATTATTGACCATTGCTAATAACTCAGCTTTCAGCTCCTGTCTCTTCCCTAGAGGTAGGTGGGTGAGACTGAGAGTGTCAGCCCTTTAATCACTTAATTGGTTCCCCTGGCAACTGGCTCCCATCCTGATGCCATCCAGGCATTAAGCCATCGTCATCTTATTAGACCAAGAGACTGTTCCTATCATCCAGGAAACTCTTAAAGAGATTAGAGCTCTATGTCTGGGACAGAGGCCAAAGATAATACATTAGCAAAAGGTTCTCCTAGCACCCCTTTCTACAAAAAATTTAATAGATCTATGTCAGAAAGCAAGGGCAGAGACCAGTATTTGTATTTGTTACATTACATATAATTGTATATTTCCCACTCATTTTATAGAATTGTCATAGAGATTCTCTTGTTGAAGAGATGCTGTGTAAGTGTATCCAATTGGCAATATGGTGAAACTACATGAAACACCACTGGCCACTTAGACACCTTGTGGAGCACCATTCTCGTCATATGTCATGGACCAAGTGAGGAGACCCTCCTCGGTGTGTGTACTAAGCATGTAGAATATTTAATTTTCCCTTTTAGTTAAAACTGAAATAGAAATATAAATTCTAATATTGTCTTATATCCCAGTTGGTGTCTTGCCTTTTTGGATGTGTATACATACCATTTTGATTTGGAGGAAGTTATTTGAAATCCCCACGATATGAATCTTAAGAATTTATACACATTTTGAATCTATTCCATATACTTCTGTGTTTTTTAATGTGTGATGTTATTTCCTTAAATCTTTAGGAAAATTTACCATTCTAGTAAGATATGTCTTGAAAGACTGCCTGATACACACCCAGTATGAAAACCAGGCTCTGAGATTGATAGCATTGATCAAAGGTCTGACAAATCCTTGGGAATAATATTTCCTTTCTTAATAATACCAATATTCTAGAGCTTCTAGGATGAGTTCCAATGTGAAATCTGTTGTGAAATAATAATAGTTATTTTATGACACTCTGATTTATTTTTTTATTTAACTTTACAGAGACTGTGCAGTTGATCCAACTTGTGTTTTATGCATGGAGTGCTTTTTGGGAAGTATTCACAAAGACCACCGATATAGGGTTAGTATCATTCAAATAATAACCATACACAGTATTGAATTTTATACTTAGATGCTTTTGTTTCTTTTTAAAACCCAGCGATGTAACACTAAAACAGGGAGAGAATGGTTTTTAAAATGTGTTGATTAGGGGATGTAGCTCAATGGGAACGTCTGGCCTACTTACTCAAAAGGCCCTGGATTCCAACCCAGCACTGCAAAATTGATGAATGAATAAAAAAGTTCATTAAACATGAAAACATGCTTCTTGAACACATGGTTTAAGAAAGACAGCACAGGTGTCAGCTCTTCTGTACTGGTTTTCACCTAGTTTGTTTTGCTATTTTAAAATGTCTTAAAGAACATGTGCTGCAGTGTAAGACAGGGCCCAGCACATAAGACTCACAAGCTTTATTGTTTGGGCAGATTAAATCTGTCCTGATTCCTCTACTGGAAATTGAAGGTAGATTATGAAGAGTCAAAGGTTAGGGAACAGCTCTTGTAACTTTTTACTGTAACCACAAAAGAAAATGGTAGAGGAGGAGTATTCTCATCTTGTTCTTACTACAGGAACCCTTCTGGGTTGGGGATTTTCCTCCTGTTTGTTTTTATTTACTCTATCCAAGAACTGATAATAACTAAAACAACCACAAATCAGGCTCCTTATTTATATTCTTCTATATTCTCCTTTTGTCATAAATCAGTAAAAGAATCCCAGTTTCCTTCAACTTGCTCTGCCTGTAGTTTGGTGACCAGAACAAGCACTTAAGCCCTCTGGTGGGATAGTCATTTTTAAAATTTGTTATATGTGATACTCATTCTTAAATTCTTCCTCATAGCACTTTTAAGAAAAGCAGAATTTCTAGTCTACTAATTATTGACTAACAGGTTCTGTCTTGCCAGATTTTTTTTCCTTTTCTTTCTTTCTTTCTTTTTTTTTTTTTTCCTTTCTTGTGCATCTTTGTGGTACAGGGGTGAGAACTCAGAGCCTGTGCTTGCTAGGCACCCACTCTACCAGTTGAGCCATGCCTCTAGCCCATGATTCTTTTCATTTTTTTCCTGTTTTTTTTTTTGTTGTTGTTGTTGTTGTTGTTGAGACTGGGATTTGAACTCAGGGCTTTGAACTTAAGAGGCAGGTGATCTATTACTTGAGCCAACCCTGCTTTAGTTTGTTTTTCAGATAGGGTCTCACGCTTTTTGCCTGAACTGGTCTCAGACCATGATCCTCCTATCTCTACCTCAAGCATAGCTGGGATTACAGGAATGCACACCACACCCAACTTTTTTTGGTGATACTAGGATTTGAACTCAGGGCTTTGCACTTGCTAGACAGGCACTTTACTGCTTGAGCCAAGCCTTTAGCCCTTTTTGCTCTGGTTAGTTTTGTTGCCTCTCCAACCCCACAGTACTGGGGTTTGAGGCAGGCACTTTACAACTTGAGCCATATCCCCAGCCCAGTACTGGGATTTGAACTCAGGTTTTACACCTTGGGCCACTCCACCAGTCCTTTTTTATGAAGGTGTTTTTTGACATAGGGTCTTGCAAACTGTTTGCACAAGCTGGCTTCCAACTGTAATCCTCCTCATCTCTGCTTCCTGAGTAGCTAGAATTATAGGCCTGAGCCAGTGGTATCCAGCTTGCTCTGGTTAGTTTTAAAATGGAGTCTCCCTTTTTTGCTCAGGCCAGCCTGGACCACAAACCTCCTATTTTACACCTCCCACTGGAGCTGGAATAACAGGCATGTGCCACCACACCCAGCTTTTTTCTGTTGTGATGGAGTCTCGCTAGCTTTATTTTTCCCTGGTACCACGATCTTCTTGATCTCAGCCTCCCATGTAGCTGGGATGACAGGTCACCTTCACGTCTAGCTATTAATTGAGTTGAGGTCTCACTTTTTGTCCGGTCTCTGACTTCAAACTGCAATCCTCCATATTTCAGCCTTCCAAGTAGCTAGGATTAGAGGATGAACCACCGCTGCCCAGGTTCAGCTTTTTTTTTTTTTTTTGAGATAGGGTCTCACTGACTTTTTGCAAGGGCTGGTCTTTAACTGCATTCCTCCCGTCTCTGTCTCATGCTGGCTGGGATTACTGACGTGCACTGCCACGCCCAGCATCCTGACATATTTCTTGAATCATTGCCATAGCTTAAAAAAGTGTGACTAATTCTTGTACCCTGCAGATGGTGACAAGTTTTACACACCAGGCAGTCCATTTTTATATTTCCTGAGCCCCTTTCAGAGAGTAGATTATTAGAGAATTGTTAGAGGAAAAACAATAAACGGTTTTCTTGAATCTGTTATTTTATATCATCACAACCTGGTATCAGCTTAGCCACAATCCAGCAGGAACCTCGCAATCATGACTTCTGTGATTAACCAAACCACGCAGGCAGACGCACTATCTTAAGATAGCTGTACTTAGTGCTTCAAGGTACTTTATTTTGAAATCACTTAGGTTAAACTATAGGCTTATTTAAAATAAACTTTAAACCATTCAGAGGCTTGGCATTTTATTTAATTTTATCCTTCCAAACAGGTGAAATGTTGTTTCGTTAGGCCTTGCTACTTCTGTTATTTATTATCTCATAACTCTCAATAAGTACTTACTGACGTTGCAATTTTTTTCAAGATGACAACATCAGGAGGTGGAGGTTTCTGTGACTGTGGTGATACTGAAGCTTGGAAAGAGGGTCCTTATTGTCAAAAACATGAACTTAACACCTCTGAAGTTGAGGAAGAAGAGGTAAAAACATTTTCACAAAGTTATTTTAAAGGAAATCCTATTATAACTATGAATTTTGACTATTTTCAAAAGTAGGAGCTAGGTTATGTGAGAGATGGGTAATCGCAGGGTCCTGTCACTATTTACTGTGACAGGGCTTTGCAGTGTGTGGACACTGTATCATTGCTTTTGAAATTCTAGAAAATTAGTTTAATTCAGTTTTTATTTGGTTCAGGTTTTGTTTGAGCAGGAGGGATTTCTTAAAGCCCTAAATTATTATGGAAGTGTTTATTTTTCCTGTATGTGTAGAGCAGTTCAGTTGGTTTTGCCTATTTCTGCTGTGTATGTTGGGCAGATAACCCTTCTTTTCTGTTACCATACATGGGAGCCTACCCTAATTTTAGCCCAGTAAGTTTGTGTCATTGGCTTTGTGTTGGGACCAAGTGCAGAGATGATAGTTCTGCAAACATTAGCCCCACTTCAGTGTGTTTCTTTAAGCTGTTGTTTCCGAGCTGTCGTCCTCTAAATGATGCTTGTAGTGAAGTAGAAGACTCAGTAAATCAATGCCTGCATCTCTGCATCCGATGGTACACTGATGTTTGATTCAAGAGCTTTGTATTCGTTGGCTTTTTGTCTCTGTGACCAAAATACCTGCTATAAACAACTTAAGCGAGAAAAAGGATTTATTTTGGCTCACAGTTTCAGAGGTTCAGTCCATAGTTGCCTGACCCCATATGGTGGGAGAGTGTTGCACAGGAGCTGCTTCTCCTCTTTGCTGACAGGAAGCAAGAGAGCGAGACAGGCGGGGGCCAGTGGCAAGATCCCCCAGGGATGTCCCTAGGAACCTACTTCTTCTAGCTAGTTCCCCCCAAAAAAGTTTCCAGAACCTCCCAAAATAGCACCACCAGCTGGGGACCTAGGCTTTGACACATGAACCTGTGGGGGACATTTCATAGTCAAACCATAATAATCTTTATTCCAGATTTTAGTATTTTTGAATGGCAGGATGGTAGGTACATTCACAATACTCAGAAGGACTGATACACACTCAGGACAAGTGGACAACTGTATTCCTTCCTGGTGCACATACTGTGCAGGCTCAAATGTTTTAACAGAATGGCCAAAACTTTTTGGTGTCAGAATAACATCTGTAGACAGTGTTCCACTGTATTTTGCCTAGATCAGAATTTGTACAGAATGATTCAGTGCTATAGAAAACGTGTTTTATCTGTCTGAGGATCATTCAAGTATTCTGGATTTGCTTCAGGAGAAGTAGGTGGTTGTGGCCAAATTTCCCCACCTCTTTTGGAGCAACTCCGTTTTGAAAACTAGATTACAGTTCTGCATGTAAATATGAGACAAATTCCTTCCTGTTATTGCTTATACTCTCTCTTCAACAAAATTAGAGATAAGGGCAAAATAGTTTCTGCCGGGTAGCGAGGAGTAAGGGGGGGGTAAGGGAAGGGGCGGGGGGAAGGGGGGAGAAATGACCCAAACATTGTAGGCGTATATGAATAAAATAAAAATTAAAAAAAAAAAGATAAAAAAAATGAGACAAATTAAGATATATTTGAAAAACAACCACTAATATAAAACTTTAGAACTATGGGAAAAAATATTTATAAATCATGTTTATCTGCCTAAGGATCTAGTTTCCAGATATGTATCTTAATAATTCACAATAAAAAGACAAACAGTCCAATTAAAAAATAGGCAAAGTACTTGAATAGACATGGCTTAAAAATGGATAAGTGACCAACAAATACACAACAAGATGTTCAGCACCATTAGTGCTACCAGTAAGGTAGCAAATCAAAACCACCGTGACAAGATGCCCCAGCACTGACAAATGGATTAAGAAAATGTGGTATCTATACACAATGGAATTTTATGCAGCCATGAAGAAGAACGAAATGTTATCATTCGCTGGTAAATGGATGGAATTGGAGAACATCATTCTGAGTGAGGTTAGCCTGGCTCAAAAGACCAAAAATCATATGTTCTCCCTCATATGTGGACATTAGATCAAGGGCAAACACAACAAGGGGATTGGACTATGAGCACATGATAAAAGCGAGAGCACACAAGGGAGGGGTGAGGATAGGTAAGACACCTAAAAAACTAGCTAGCATTTGTTGCCCTTAACGCAGAGAAACTAAAGCAGATACCTTAAAGCAACTGAGGCCAATAGGAAAAGGGGAACAGGTACTAGAGAAAAGGTGAGATCAGAAAGAATTAACCTAGAAGGTAACACCCATGCACAGGAAATCAATGTGAGTCAATGCCCTGTATAGCTATCCTTATCTCAACCAGCAAAAACCCTTGTTCCTTCCTATTATTGCTTATACTCTCTCTACAACAAAATTAGAAATAAGGACAAAATAGTTTCTGCTGGGTATTGAGGGGGGGGAGAGGGAGGGGGCGGAGTGGGTGGTAAGGGAGGGGGTGGGGGCAGGGGGGAGAAATGAACCAAGCCTTGTATGCACATATGAATAATAAAAGAAAAATGAAAAAAAAATCATATGAAAAAAAAAAATACCGTGACACACTACTTCAAAGCCACAAAGAGAATAGACCCCCCCCCAGCTACTTGACAAATGATAAAACTACCATATTCTGCCACTTAATACTTATTTATGGATTCATGTAAGAGAAATGAAGCCTTCAAGGGATTAATTGTGATATACTAAAAGATAGCATTGTGTTTACCACACCCAGTCTCTACTCACTAAATCCACATGTACACCTAGGCTGTCTACATTATATGGTTGCAAAAGAAGAGAGCTATATATATATTGGAACATGACTTTTTAGTCATAGAATTGTTTTTATTGGTATAGGGTTTTTTTTGTTATATATTCAGCCTTCATTGTAAGAGAAAGCTGGAGGAAACTTGAGCATACTCTCCTGTGGGGTTACTGTTTAGGAGTTCCCCATATCTTCTCACCTCTTGGCATTTACAATGGGACATTTCTTCATTGTAGAGGGCAAGGGTCAGCAAATTATGACCCTACAATGCAGCCTTTTTTGTCTGGCACCCCCATAAGCTAAGATTGGTTATTCTGTTTTTAAGTATTTGGGAAAAACATCAACACAATAGTATTTGTGATGTGTGAGAATGATATGAAATCTAAATTGCAGTGTCCATAATAATTTATTGGAACACAGCCATGCTTAACTTTTTTATTTATTGTCTGTAGCTGCTTTTCCACTAAGACAGCAGAAGAGTTGTTACTTTAGACACCCTATTACTTGTGAAGACTGAAATACTTACTCTTTTTGGGAAAAGTTTGTAGACCAGGAGCTGTTGGAAGCATTCTGTTTAGCATACCTGGTTCCCACTCACTAAATGGCAGTAGCATCTCTCATCAGTGACAGTTTAAAAAAAGCCCAGCCCAGATTCCAAATGGCTGCTTGCTAGAATGGGAGGGCAGTGAGTAGTACATTTGGTTGAGAACCATCACATACTGTGTGCTGTCTGGCTTGTTGATCTTCATAGGAGTTCATAAGAAATTTCTCTCAGGTCTCTGCATTAAGAAATGATACGTTTGTTTACATAAATCTGATAACTGTGTTTCATTTTTTGATGTTTCTGGAAGAAGAGCCAAATGTTTGGAAATAGAGCCTATATATAGTAGGTCTGTGGAAATTTGTATGTCTGAACTATGAATAAATGTTATCTTGAACTGTAATTTTTCTCCTTTGTTTTCCTTTGCCTGCTTTGTACTTGTACTTTTTTGAGTACTATCCTATTGTATTAGGTATTAGTCTTAAGTTGCTATAAATCCTCCTTGGAATGAGATTTAATTAAATAATAAGTATTAACTGAATGACAACCTTAGTGAAGGTTTTGTAATGTAGGATTTTTAATTACAGATGCTGTTCTCATATCATTTGAATGCAGATCAGTGATTAGTAATCACTAGCTACTATGCGAAGTATTTCAGTTGACCTCAAAACAGTTTTATAAGATAGAAAAATACTGCTATTGCCAAAATTTTATAGATAACAAAGTTTGAGTTTCAGTTTAAAAAACTTACCCACAGAGCAAATATATGGTCATATATCTTGAGGGATTTTTGTGGTCAGAGGAGAAATGTGATCCTCCTAGGAAAAGCAGACTTGGAAAGGAGAGCGACACATCTTGCAGCAGGAATCTGTTGATGAGAGATCCTAGAATGGAGGATGGAGCAGCAGACCAAGCTGCAAGCAGAGAAGCTCCATTCTTCAAACAGACACCCTTGATGAGTATTAGTTCCTTTGCTCAGAGGCTCTTGCTCTCAGAGAACGGGCTGTTACTGAATAAAAGTGACATCCTGGTCACCTCACACGTATGACCAGAGACAGTAGTTTCGAAGTAATTTTTAGTTTTAATTCTTTCTTATACATAATATGAAGAAATCATGGGATTTTGTTTTGCTTTAATAACAAAATCGTTGTTTAAAGAAACAGTAGCATGGATTCCATTCATGTACACGTCACTGCAGAGCCAGCAGCTCTGTCTTTCTGTTAATGTTCTTATAAGTTTATGTTTTCATTTACTTGTAAATAAAGTATGAATTCAAGAAAAAGAAAAAAAAAATTTGCCCACGTAGAGCGAGAGCTGTGGTAGTGTGTACTCCAGTAATGAAACTTTTTACAGCACATTATACTGGTTTTTTAAAAAAGCTTTTAGCAGTAAACTATTTTTAATGAGATTCTACTGTAAAAATCCTAGTATTAAAACCTATAAATGTGGTATTAATACATTTTAAAAGTTAATACTTGTATTATTTTACTTTCTGATGCATCAACTGCTCGGCCTCTAGTTTATATTTTCAGTTGGGGAATACAGAGAAAATCTTCATAGTTTATTAGCATATGACAGCAGTTAAAGTCTTTATTGTGATTCAGCAATACAGTACATAAATGTTGTAGTAGTGTATCACAAAAAAGATTCTCCATAATTCCCTCTGGAAGATAACCACTGATAACCCATTTAACAGTGTACCTTATATTCTTTTAGCTTGAAAATGGAGCATAGCAGAGATCCTCCTGCCTCTGCCTCCTGAGTGCTGGGGTTACAGGCATGTGCCACCATACCTGGCAATACAGTGAACTTTTCTGTTGTAAATATATATATATATATTTTTTTTTTTTCCTTCAGTATTGGGGCTTAAACTCAGGGCCTATGCCTTGAATCATTCCATTAACCCTTTTTTTGTAATGGGTTTTTTCAGGATAGGGTCTCATGAACTATTTTCCCGTGCTGGCTTTGAACTGTGATCCTCCTAATCTCTGCCTCCTGAGTCACTAGGGTTACAGGCGTGAGGCACCAGCGCCCGGCTTAATTATATATTTTTAAACTGAGATATAATTCAATAGAAAACATGTCTACCAGGCCAAGTGGTTTTGTAGCGTTTGGACCCTACTGGTTAGGATTCTCAAGAATTGTTAGCTGTTTCTGGCCAGACCATTAATTCTTCAATCTAATTCTTCAATCTTTGAATGTTTGGCATTGTAAGATGTAATTTTAAGAAGTAGAATGACTATTTGGTGAAGTAATATCACTAAGAAAACTGAGTTTTGGTTCTGTGTTTTATTTTGGGATAGTGTGAAGGTCATGTCATTATTAATACTTACTCTCTCTTGAATTCCCAGGAGGTACCAGTTCTGGTGTTTTCTGTATACCTGTAGTTTCATCATATTAATGACTTCTAAAGCTTCCATGACAAATAGTAATGAAGCATACTAATAGGAGGGGAAAAACAAAACAAAACAAAAGCTCGATGGGCCATGTAAAGTGGCCTGTGTGAGACTAGTTTATATTACAAAAGGTGCTGTAAGAATCTAAAAACTGCTTATTACTGAAAAAAGAAAATTGGCATCTTCAAGCCTTAGAGTCATCTCCTTTAGGAATTTTGTTATTACACCTTCTCCATTTTCCTTCTGTCAATTTCACCAGGATTCTTTTGAGTATGGGTATACAAAAATTTTCTTTGTGTGTGTGTATGTATGTTGTCTGTTTACAAGAATTTGCTGATTGCTGTTCCCATGATGTTGGGACATACTGCTTCTCTAATATGAGAAATGGATACAATATTATTTAGTTAAATAAATAAACTTGTTTAGATTTAAGATAAAGCAGTAAAAATAAAAGGTTTTCAAACATTTTGCCAGCCTTGACTGAAAGATGCCAGTGATAAACACATGCTTAAGTTTAAATTAATACTTTTTTGGACTAACCTAGAAATTTAGTGACTCGTTCCCTGTTAGGTCTCTTATACAGTTCCCTGTTCACATGCATGCACATCTTACCCTGCTAAAGGATAGTAGGCAAATGAGTGATTCTTAAGAACATCAGGGGACAATTTTCTGACTTTAGTGAGTTCTCCTCTTTGAAATTGTCAGTCAAGTAAACTTCTAGAACTAAATACTGCTTGTCCATTCTTAGAGACTATTCCCTGTTCATTTATTCTGTAAATTGGGGATTAGGATACAAAGCTAGAAAGATGGTAGATTTTAGAGATTCTGGAATACCATTCCAAAATGTTTAAATTTATTCATTAGACATTAGAGTACCATTGAATATTCTGATTTAGTTGGTTCAAAATTGAGATTCTTCTGAATAAAATATTTGGTAAGTTCAATTTAGTAGATTGTTATGTATAGGATTCAGTTCATTAGAAAAGTTGAAGCTGGAAAACCTGCCAGCTTTTTCTATAGTATTTTCAGGGCAGAATGGGAAAGAAGAATATTAGTAACGTATTTAACATGGCTGCATTTTTTCTCTGTCCTTTCATTCAGGATCCTCTTATGCATTTATCAGAAGATGTGATAGCAAGAACTTACAACATTTTTGCTATTATGTTTCGATATGCAGTAGAGATACTAACCTGGGAAAAAGAAAGTGAATTGCCAGCAGATTTAGAGAGCTCGTAAGTATAGCTCATGTAGTCTTTGTGTATGTGGGACTGCTAAAATTTTAACTTTCATTCAGCTAGAAGTTGGACATAACTTTTTAATGATTAGTTTTTAGCAAAATAATAACTTAATATTATAATTTGAAATATGTATGAGCTAATTAATTAATGAAGGTTTCTCTTGATTGGTTGGTTTATAGCCATATTTAAACTATGTCAAGACTCTATCTGGTTTCATACATTAGCAGTTTTCTGATTTTGATTATATGGTAATACATATAAATAACTACAGTTCAATTTTTTTATTGTTTACAATAGTGGGGATTGACCTCAAGGCCTCCAGCTTGCTAAGCAAGCACTCTACCACTTGAGCCATGCCCCAAGCCTTTGCAATTTTGCCTTTTGTTTCCTTAATCCTATATTAAGAAATGAGCTCTCTGATATAAGTAAGTTTGGAGGTTTGAATTAATTCTCATACTTAATTTTAACCATTTTGATTCTCAGTGTGAAATTTATTCAGCAGTTTGTGGGGTTTTTTTACTGTACATATGCCATTTTTACTTAGATTGTTGAAGCCATAAACTTGTAAATGAAGAGTTGGATTCTGCCATAGCTGTGCCGGGGGAAAGACATACTTTTCCTTGTTAATGTGCTTGTTTCAAACAGCCTCCTCTTTTACTAAAAAATTGGAATTGTGTTCATAGCTAAGGTTGAATTCAGGCTGATCCGAAGTCATTGGTGGTGGTGGTTTTTCTTTCTCACACTATGTTCCATATAATTGAGGCTGTGGGTGGATTTTTTTTTTTTTTTAATAATACGAGGTGGTGTGCTTTACCTTTTTTGACAGTGTTGAAGATTACTTAGTCATCTCCTAACTGTATCTTCATGAAATTCAAATGGGGATTTTTTTTATCTAACATCTGAGTTTAGAGTCTAATAAATGGAATAGTTTTGTTTTTATTTATTTCAGGGCCACCAGCACAAAAGGGAAAAGAATCTGACTCTCTTCACTTGTAGTGTTTCCTCTTTACTTCCATCTATCCAGAAACTTGAATTGCCCATATGCATTTAGAAATGCCAAGTCCAGCTGACTCTCCCTCCCTTAAATTGTTCTGCTTCTGCTCACCTCTGTTTCTACTATACGGAGACTGCCAGATTCACTCTTGCCCTTTACAGTTCATTCTCCACACTGCAGCCAAAGTGAACTTTAAGGCAAATCTGATTGCATGTCCTGTTTCAAATCTTTGATTACCCTTAAGACAACAAAAATGTACATCCATTTTAAGATATTCAAGATTTCTGTCTGTCTAAACCAAACTAATGTCATATAATTTCTGTGCTTTCCTCCCTTTGCTCCAACTTCCAAAATTCACTTTTGCCACCTTTGCTTTTACCTCCCTCCAGGCCCAGGGTTTCTCAGCTTTGGTACTGGTGGTATTTGGGGCCAGATTAATTATTTTCAGGGGAGTTATCGGGTAGATTGCTGGATATTGAGCAGTATTCCTGGCCTTCATCCACTAGAGGCCTGTAGGCAGACCTCCACCCCACCCCCAGTCTAGTCATAACCAAAAATGTCTTGAGACATTGCCAAATGGTCAACTACTGTGGACAGAGGGGACTTGTTCCTGATTGAGAATCACTGATAACCAGTCCTGACATCAGGGCCCAGGTCACTTTCCCAGAAGGTCTTCTTTCAACTTGCAGACCTGTTAAGCCCTGCTCTAGCACCTTGCTGTTCTTGATAAAAGCTAATTCACACAGAGTTATATATTCAGTATGTTTTCCCCATCAGATTGTAACTGTAAGGTCATAGAGCATAGAGACCACAGATAACTTCTTTACTATAAGGTACCCAATTCCTAGCATATTATGTAGGACAAAGTATGTTCTGCTTCTTTTCTTTTGTTTTGGCAGTACAGGGGTTTGCCTCACACTTCCTAGGCAGGCGCTGTACTATTGAGCCATGCATCCTGTTCACACAGTCTGTTCTTAATAAATCAGCCTGGAGAGCTGGAGATATAGCTCAGGTGGTAGAGTTCCTACCTAGCAAGCATGAAACCCTGAGTTTAAACCCCATTACTGCCAATAAATAAGTAAGCAAGCAAGCAAGCTTAAAAAGATAATGTGTAAATAGATAATCCAATAGCACCTTAATGTTTTATCCCACAGAGAGAAGAGTGACACCTACTATTGCATGTTGTTTAATGATGAGGTTCACACTTATGAGCAAGTTATTTACACTCTTCAGAAAGCTGTCAACTGTACACAAAAGGAAGCTATTGGTTTTGCAACTACAGTAGATCGAGACGTAAGCAATTTCATAATATCACAAAACAAAATGTATATTGGTATAGCTAAGGTATTACCAGATAGAAAGTTTAAAAAGATACACATTTATCTTTGTTCTACATAGTGATCAAAAACACTCATCTATGAAAAGAGAGTTTATAGAAGTCTACTAGAAGAAATGTATTGTTGAAGGAAATATATTTAGTAATGGCTTGATAAATGGTAGGATAGCTTTGAAAGAAATTTTTATTTTTCATTGATGAGTAGGATGAATGTGGTAAATATTAAAAATTGTTAAGAGCCAGGCGTGGTGGTGCACAGCCAGCACTTGGGAGGCTGAGGCAGGAGGATTATGAGTTCAAGGCCAGCCAGGCTATGTAACATAGTAAGACTCTGTCGCTAACAAAAGAAAGGAAAATACACTACAATTGTCATATTTTCAAATGTATGTTTTTATTTACTGGTTTAAAGTTACTAGCAATGAATATAATATTTTATAGGTTAATTTTAAATATCTTTATTTACAGGGGCGTAGGTCTGTTCGATATGGAGACTTCCAATATTGTGAGCAAGCAAAATCAGTAATTGTGGTAAGTAATTTAAAAACAAATACATATATATATATTTTTTTAATTTTTATTAGCTTAAGACTAGCTGCATATTTTAGTACTTGTAAGCACATTTTAATGCCTTCATGAATATAAAGTCAGTGTCAACTAAAAATCATGTTCAAAGATGTTCTTGAGCATTACATTAGTTTAATTTTTTAAGCTATGATCAATAATAGAAAATTAATATTTATATCTGTCTTCCTATGTCTTCATCAGAGAAATTTTAGAAAATTGTTTGGGTTTTCTTTTGTTTTTAATTAGTAAGATTTCACACTACCTTTTTAGTAATTAAATTAGGCCTTTTGCACATTTCCAAGAAATGTGTTTCTTGCTACATTATGGCAAGATACACTGCATATCCTGATAGAATTTAGTATATTATTTTTCTGAAAGGAAACTCTTCCCCACTTTTTGATTTATTTTCTAAAGTTTCTTTTTAATTATTCCATGTAACTGCATTTCATGTAATTGTTCTTAAGAAATAATTTTGTATATTATAAAATGTTTTAAATATACAAAAATAGAAATGCCACAATCAACACCTGTGTGCCCACATTGTGCTTTATTCTCTTTTCTTCCTGCTTATTTTGAATAAGTAAAGTAGTCTAGAGACCCCTGTATTATTTCTTAAATCCATTATCTTTCCTCCTTTCCTAGAGATGGCTACTTGCTATCACTCTTTCCATTTCTTATGAGTGTTGTATAATAAATATCTGTCAACATCATTTGTATTGATGTGAAGGCATTTAAAGGCTGGAGGTATGGCTTAAGCAATCGAGCACCAGACTAGCAAGTGTGAAACCCTGAGTTTGAACTCAAGTTCCACCAAAAAAAAAAAAAAAGTTCTTACTAAATATATTAATTATACTGCTACTTGCCTTTCATTTCACTATTGTTTTTAGATTTTTCTGTATTGATACCTATAGTGGTTTGTTCACTTTTCTAACCAAAATAAATAATGTTATTCTTCTGGCAATTGTACCACAGCTTTTTCATTCTCCAGTTGGTAAACAAATTGGATGCTTCCAATTTTTTGCTGTGAAAAATACTCCTGCTATAGAGTATTCTTTTGTCAGTATTTTTAGTTTTTAACAATTTGATGTAGATGGAATGGCATCTCATCTGTTAAATTTGCATTTCCTTGATTTTTTTTTTAATTGTAGATTTATTTTTTTGTTGTGCTGAGTGGGGGAATTTTTTTTTTTTTTTTTTTTTTTTCCTGACAGGGTCTCAGGCTGGCCTTGAATTAATGTGTATGTGTGTTACTGGGGTTTGAACTCCAGGCCTCATGTGTACTAGCAAGGCTCTCTGCCACTTGAGTCACACCCCAAGCCCTGACCTAGAACTCTATTCTCCTGCCTCAGCCTCCTGAATGCTAGAATCATAGGTGTACACCACCCCATGTTGTGCATTTCCTTAGTTTCTAAGTATCTTTTTAAACATAATCAATTTAATAACACATCACACATATATTATGGTCATAGTAAAGAATATTCCCATTTGCAGGAAATGCATGCTGATATATTTAGGGATGAAAGGCCATGATGCATATAACTGAACCCTGAATGATTTTTTTTTAAAAAAATGTGTAAAGATGGTGTGTAAACCATAAAGTATTTGGAATAAAATGCTTACAGTATATGAGTCTGGGTAAACGATAGAGTGTATGGATGTACTTTGTACCGTTCTTATTATTGTAAGTTGAAATTATTTTCCAAATAAAAAGTTTTTAAAAATATTCATAAGATACTGAATTTTGTATTACTATAGCTCTGATGTTTAAAGATACTTTTAAATGGGACTGTTAATAATTCTAGATTGCTCTTCTTCAGAAAAGTGAGAATGTAAGACTTAGAAGCAACATTGTTTCTATGATTTTGTTAAATTTTTTCTTTTACATTTGGTACTTCATATCTCCTTATATGTTCAATAGTATCTTTAAATTTTTTCCTTTTTTAAAAAATTAGTATTTGTAATCCCTGGTAGTGTTTGCATTGGAATGGAGAGATATATTAGTGATACAGATTAGAGTCCAGACGTAGTTCCTCCAGTGAGGAAAATCTAGGAACTGCAAGAGGGAGCACTTCTCAACTGAGACTAGAACCCCAACTGAGAAATTACACACATTTTAAGTCAATAGACAAATGACTGCTTTGGAAAAACCATTTCTAACCCTGCAGACTACTGATGGGAATGTAAAATACACCGTGAAAAACAGTATGACCGTTCTCAGAAAATTCAGATAGAATTACCATGTGATCCAGCAGTTTTGCTTCTGTGGATATATACAAAAGAATTGAAAGCAGAGTCTCTTAAGAGAAATGTCTACAATCCACATGTCTGTTGGCAGATGAGTAGAGAAGCAAAGTGTAGTGAATACATACAGAGGGATACTCAGTGTTAGAGATGAAGACTTTGCTACAACATGACTACTGTGGACATAGGCGAAGAGAAGTAAGCAAGCAGCGGAGGATACCGTGTGAGGTAACTTGAATGAGATATCTGGCGTGGTCAGATTCAGACTGGCAGAGAAGTAGAATGGCGATCGCTAGGGAAGGGAAAAGTGGAGACTTGCTTGTTTATTGGGTTTCAGTGTTGCAAGATGAAGAGCTCTGAAAATTTATTTCACAACAGTGTGAGCACACTTAATAGTACTGAATTATGTACTTAAAAATGATTACACTGGTAAATTTTATGCTGTATGTATTTTACCATGATTTTAAAAAAGTGTTGATAACAAGATTACAAATATGCCATGAGAAAGTTATTTAAATAAGCATGTGACTGGGCTGGGAAACTAGTATAAAGGCATTAGCAAGCTTAAGTGTTTAAGACATTGATAATTAGCATGGCAGATTTTCAAATGCATGACAAAGATTCAGGTTACTCATAAGCTGGGCCTTCCAATTTTATATGAATCCTCAGATTCCCTCCAGGAAATTAGGATCTGAATCAAGTAAGGAGAACAGAGTAGTGCTTTTCTTACACATATACACGGAAATTCTCATGGTGACAATGGTGCGGTTATGGTAAATAAAATGTTAACTTTTTTCTTCCAATAAAATAGTCTTTTTAAGTTAGTTTTTTCATCTTGCCATTTCTTTTTAAGAGAAATACCAGTAGACAGACAAAGCCACTCAAAGTTCAAGTTATGCATTCGTCTATTGTTGCACATCAGAATTTTGGTTTGAAACTTTTGTCTTGGCTGGGAAGTATAATTGGATATTCAGGTAGGTTTGTAAAAGCTTGTACTAATTGACTATTAAAAATGAGTTCATATGCCCTTGCAAAACTGTTTTTGGAAAAAATATCAAGTAATAATTTCTTGCTTTAATTTCACATTTTAATATACCATCTCAGAATATCTTTATGCACAGAAAACTTGTATTTACCTAATTTTGTCTCACAAGATTTTTTTTTAATATGTACACAAAGGATTCTCTGTTGCAAGAATGCAGGAAACATTGGGTTAGACAATTATGAACAATTTTAATATGTTAATACAGTATAAATCTCAATAACTTTATAAAAGAACTTATTTTTCTCCCAATGGTGCATTCTGTAGAACTCTTCACAAACTACTGGAAAATACCCCTTAATTAAAATCTAATGGTAGGCAATTTAAATGATAAAATACTAACCTCGATGTAATTGTTTTTACTCCTATAACTTTTGGTTACTGCTATTTTGCAACTCTGGAAATTTGTTTTGGTTTGGTTTGGTTTTTGCTTTTCCACATTCTACAGACTAGGTAATTTGTAATGTAATGGTAACATAGTTATGAACCCTCATGCCCGAAGTTAAAAACACAAGTTGGATGGGTAGCACTGAAGTATAAATTAAGAATAGATCTAAGGTAAATGTCATGGGTTTTTTTTTGGTTTTGTTTTGTTTTTTTCTTGAGGGGGCGGGTTGGAGTTGTTTTTTGTGGTTCTAGGGTTTGAACTCGGAACCTCACATTTGCTAGGCAGGTACTCTAGCATTTGAGCCATGCCCCCAGACCTTTCAGACCTTTTTGCTTTTTAAATATTTTTGGAATAGGATCTCACAATTTTGCCCAGTCTGGTCTCCTGGCCTTTGATTCTCCTATTTAAACTTCTCGCTGTAGTTGTGATGGCAGATGTGCCCAACCATGCCCAGCTTATTGCTTGAGTTGGAGGTCTCATTAACTTTTCGCCCGGATTGGCTTTGAGCCATGATCCTCCTATCTCTGCCTCCCAAATAGCTAGGATTACAGGTTTGAGCCACCTCATCCAGTCCTGTCATACTATTTTTTAAGCCAAACTATGGATAAATGACAATACCAATGTTACTGTAAAGAAAATTCCTATTTGTATTGAAAGCTATTAGAAAGAACACACTGCGACCTGACAGTTGAAAATATGGAAGCGTGGATATTTGAGAGAATACCTTTGCTTGTCTTTTAAATGTCTAATTATTTCTCTTAGCCCCATATTCTTTAGCTTTCATTTTCTCTTATACCTGATGCTGAGTACCATGGTGCAGTATTAGTGAATAGAACCATTAAAGTAATTTTCTACTGAAAATTTTCTTTGTTATATTAATTTAAGTACTTACATTTAATACATGAATACAAAAATTTTTTTTGTTATTATTAGTTTAAGTACTTACATTTAATACATGAGGTTTTCTCTTTAACCTTTTAAATGACTTCTGACAGATTTTATAATTAAATTTAAAGTTACTCAGTTTTTTCTGATTTTAATTCATGCTTGAAAGACGACTGAAAACAGCAATTTAAATTATTAAGTCTGGAATAAAAACATGTTACAAGCTTTGGTTATTTTAATGTTTACTCTCATGTTTGAAGAACATTTCTAAAATTTGACATCTAGAAGACGTAGGAATTTGTCTTCCAAGGCCTCTCACGTGGCAGATCCACAAAGAATTCTTGCTTGGTGAATTAAAAACATTTTGCATAACATTAATAAAATATGCTAGTATATATGCATTTTTTTAAATGTTAGCACAATTTTATATTATACCTACCTTAAGATACAATATATAGGATTACAGTACGTAGTCTGCTTTAATTAGCACAAGTGCTTAAAGAACAATATTTATTGTAGCTTAAAAGTTGCACATCACTGGGCACCTGTGACTCATGCCTATAATCCTAGCTACTTGGGAAGCTGGGATTAGGAGGATCACAAGTTGCATGTAATGTGAGTTTGGAATTTTTCTCCTTGTGAAAATACTAGTAAAATAGTAACTGTGTCCACTTTTTCTAAATAAATTTCTTTAATAAAACATTTAAACTGTAAAGATGTATTTGAACATACAATGTCACTTTATTTTAATATTAGAAGTTGCCATCTCATGAATATTGTTCCCCTATTTAAAGATGGCCTCCGCCGGGTTTTATGTCAAGTTGGATTACAAGAAGGGCCAAATGGGGAGAACTCTTCTCTGGTGGACAGATTGATGCTTAGTGATTCCAAGTTGTGGAAAGGTAAGTCTCTTAAACTACTTTTAAGATACAGGGATAGGGGCTAGTAGAGTGTCTCAAGTATAAAGGGTCTGCCTAACAATATAAGGCCCTGAGTTCAAACCCTAGTACTGAAAAATAATTTTAAAAAAAAGATACAGGGTTGAAATGGAAAGGTATGTAATAAATATATTTATGCCTTTAACATTTAGCATTGCAAAGCTGGGGGATCCTAGGGCCCCCCTCAAAAAAACAGCACTGCAAAAATAGTCAAAAAATACAAATTTTTGGGGGGGAGGGCTATGACCCAAATTAGATAGCCTTTATATTTTGTTAAAAATTTTTTATTTAGAAAATCTGATCTTATCAAAAAAATAAACAGATTACAAATATTTTATGCTAAGGGAAATACATAGAGTTTTGCTATTAAGATTTTAAAATACAGGTGATCACATAAAATGTCATGTTTGGCTTGTTTGGTATGTACTTATCTTGTGCCCTGGTCTTTCTATAAAGGTGCTAGGAGCATGTATCACCAGTTGTTCATGAGCAGCCTCCTTATGGACTTGAAATACAAGAAATTATTTGCTGTTCGATTTGCCAAAGTAAGTACTTTCTCAGTTTTGAAGATTTATAAAATAAGTTATATGTGGAATAACTATAACCCAGAATTTTACCTAGGCTCTGAAATACAGTAACAAAACAAAATAAAAACAAATCAAAAAAAAGTAACATGTCAATGTGTTGATTATATATTCCAAGAAACTTCATAAATAATCTTTTTATCTTTAATCCGTAAAGTTAATAGAAGTGAGACTTCTTGTTCATCACTTCCCATAATAATATAAATATCCATCTATGAGTGTTTATGATAGGAAGTGATAAATGAATTGTGACATGGTCCTATGAAAGTTCATGAAGGAAAGTGGTAATCTTGGTTGAAACATGTATATACAGGTATGATTTAGCTATCAGCAATTCTAGGTGGTTGATTACTTGAATTAAGTTCTCCCTTTCAGCAGTATATGATAAGCTAATCACTTATTTTTCTTATATTCCCCTGAATTAGGAGTTCTTAACTAAGGAAACATGTAAGAATCATTTGGAGAGCTCTTTCAAAATACCTGTGTTTGTTTTCCTTTCTCAAATCTACTGATGCTTCACTAAGAGTGGGGCCTAATCATGTGTACTTTGCAGGAGTCATCAGAGGATGTCGAAGTGCATCAGAAGTAATGGGAGCCTGGCTTTATCACACACAGTGTGATGTTGTTGGGGTTCCCCCGACCCCCCCAGTATACAGTGGCATCATAGGATTTTAGTAGTTCTTACTCCCTATTTGGGCTGCTGAACCACCATTGTGCCAAAGAATCAGTATTTATGCAGCATTCCCCAGATACCCCAGTAAATCAATATTCATACAGGATTTAATTGGCAGAAATGATTCCACTTATTGCTTTCATAGCAGTGTTATCCTGTTGACTTCTCCAGCACTGACTTTTCATTATAATCCTTCAACACTTGGTCAATGTGGATTAGAGGTGAATCTCCCCCTTGTTGTTTAGAATTACCAGCAGTTGCAGAGAGATTTTATGGAGGATGATCATGAACGAGCAGTGTCGGTGACTGCTCTGTCTGTCCAGTTCTTCACCGCACCTACTCTGGTGAGTAGTGCTTGCCTTTTCTTTGTAACTGATAGCTGGCACTCCTTGCCTTTTTTTGCCTTCTTAATAGAACTATGAGCGTTTGCAGAGTGATTATGTGACAGATGACCACGACAGAGAGTTTTCAGTCGCAGACCTCTCGGTTCAGATATTCACAGTTCCTTCACTTGTAAGTACTGAAAGACTAGAAGAACTTTCTTGTTTTCAATTAATAAAAGTAAAACCTTGAAGTAATAGCAAAGTAAGATCTGTATATTCCTGAATAGGGTAGTATTTGGTTAATAGGTAATCGGACACTATATCTTCAACCACACTAGAGTGTATCCTTGAATATCAAAGTAATTATGAGGGGAACTTCATTTAAACTTAATCCTTATTTTCTCATTGGAACTGATGAGTTAACATTAGCTGATTTGTTTATCAGAGATCTCCCTAACATTAAGTCAGACACATACTGTATACCATCTCACGGTGTAAGAAATCTTCCTCCTTGCCTCGCCTAATAAGGAAAGGGATGGTTAAGGCATTGAATCACAGTGATTGAGTGGTCTTTCATTAACCTTCACTAGTAGCTCCTGTAGTAATTAAAAATCATATGTATTTGTTCCACAAATTTATTAAGCACGTATTTATTAGACACAGTTCTAGATTGTAAACATACAATGGAGTAACACAAAACCCTGAGTTCACACCCCAGTACTGCCCAAAACAAAAAAAATGGTAAAAATACAATGAAAACAAAATCAGATATGATTCTTGCCCCTTCCCTAGTGGGAAAGATTCACATAGTTAATTTAAATAACAATAAAAATTGTGAAGAATTATTTCTTGAGAGATAATCTGACCTTTCATCCCAGTTGAGAGAGGGCTTTTCTAAGGAAGGCACTTTTATGTAGGGGCTTTTATGTGGGGGCTGACTGAAGGCTCATTCAGAGGGACTAGCACTTGAGAAAGTCTGGCAGCAGGAAGGAATATTGCCTATGTGGGAAGCATTGGAAAGCCAGTGTACTTGAACAGATCTTAAACATGGAGCAAATTGTGTAGTTCTAAGAGCATTTTATAGTTACCTTACTGACAAAGCGTGTTTTCTAGATTTTTTTTAAATGACTGTTTTTTTCCATTTTTCTACTATGCTAAAGGACACATTTTACAAAAGGGTATTTTCTGGTATTTTCCCCATTATTGCTATTATTACAGGCCAAATCAAGGAATTTGGTTTTTATCTTGAGAGCATGGGAGGGCGGTGAAAAGTTTTAAGTGGCATTTTACATCATCACATTAGTGATTCTAAAAGATCATGCTGTTCACGATTTAGGGGACAAATTAGAAGGCAAAAGTGAATATGGGGAACCTAAGTTAGAAGCAAAGCAAGAGTCCTGACAAGGCTTATGGCGACTTGAACTGGGGTGCTAACAGTGGGTGTAACAATTTTAAGAGATAATTTGTTAGTAAATTCTATAGAACCAGCCAAGTGGGTTTAATGGATGTTGAGTGTGGTGATGAATTAGATGTTGGGAGGTTTCTTGACAGGGTGGAATTTCTAGACATAGGTTCGTATATCAAGATTTTTTTTTCTCTTCAGTCCACTTACCTCTTCAGTAAGTAGTCAGTATTGAGCACATACGGGCTGCTGGGAAATACGGAAGACTGACAGTGTCATGTATTCAAAATGGCCTTACCATCTTACTATCTTCAGGTCAAACTATGTTCCTGGAATCTTTCTGCCATTGCTTATACATCAACTCTACTACCTCTGCTTGCTTGACAAACATATCCCAACCTAAGCTCGCCACAATTCAGGTTCTGAAGTTTAGAATCATGAAACTTAAAGATAATGCTTTAATAATTAGAAGTAGACTCCTGAGTGGAATGAGATCACTCAAGAAAGAAAGAATAACTTCCTTACTACAGAAATACGCAAAGTATCTCAACACCTGAGTGAGGGAATTAATCCTATATAAAGGAAAGGCAAGAGTGTAGGCCAAATGGTCAGTAAGATCCCTCACCTCTGATGTTTTAATGCTTTCAGACACTTTTACTCTACTACGTTAATACCCTTAACAAATAAAGTAAATGAGAAGGAACAGAGTAGCTGGACACAGAGGCGGGTGCCCGTCATCCCAAGCTATGCTGGAACCTATCGAGGTTCCAGGCCAGCCCAGGCAAAAAGTAAGACCTGATCTCAACAGATAAAAGCTGGGTATAGTGGTGTGCACCTGTCATCCCAGCTATGGTGGGAAGCATGAAATAGGATCACAATCCAGGTCAGCCTGGCCAAAAAAACACGACCCTGTCTCCAGAATAAACTGAGCAAAAAGGGCTGCAAGTATGGCTAAAGCAGTAAGAGCACCTGCCTAGCAAGCATGAAGCCCTGAGTTCAAACCCCAGTGCTGCCAAAAAAAAAAAAAAAAAACAGAGAACAAAAGCACACATATACACACACTTGTTAGTTGTATATTCATCTAATATTCTCTTAAGGATTACTCTAGTACATGACAAAATAAATAACTTGTTCCAAGATGTTAGTCAGCATACTGCTTCTTTCCAGCAAAAATGTTGCTTTGAAAAATGTCAGTCAGAATGGTTGCTTCACTTTCTTGCACTTTCACAACAAACAAGAAGCAGTTTGTAGGCTGCTAGCCCATGGGCACTAAATAGCATTGTCCTAGAGGCTACAGCATGTATCTTGGCTTGCTATGGCTGGGCACCACATTGTTTGCTTCCAGGGTGGAATCCCAGGCTCCGTCCTCAGCCTTTATTGGTGTGCATGAAGATGGGGTCAGTTTTTTTCTGTGGTGGTTGCCTAGCATAGAGGAGTTACTGCCTGAAAGTTTTCTGTCTTGCTCAGTTACTCCTTTCCTGTGGCTACAGAAAACAGGCCTTTGATTGGTTGGTTGGTGTTTTATTTTTTGATATGGACTCATTGGGCAAGGTGCCAATGGCTCATGTCTATGATCCTTGCTACTCATGAGGCAGCCATTAGGAGAATCATGGTTTGAAGCCAGCCTGGGAAATTAGTTTGCAAGACCCTATCTTGAGGGGAGAGGTTTTTTTTTTTTTTTGTCTTTTCTTTTTTGGTACTGGGATCGAACCCAGTGCCTCATTGCTAGGCAAGCGCTGTACCACTGAGCTACATCCCGGCTCAAGACCCTATCTTGAAAAAACCCAACACAAAAAAGGGCTGGTGGAGTGGCTCAAGGTGTATGCCCTGAGTTCAAACCCCAGTACCACACACACACACACAAAAAAAAACTCTTCTCCTCCCTCGCAGGTTCAGTAACTAAGGGGCCCTGAAAATTGCTGGGCAACGACAAATGAACAAGGAAAAAGTATATTTAATTTCATACACATACAGGAGTTGTGAAAATAGTGTGGTTGAGGAGGTAGTTAGATTCGGGTATGGCTGTTGAGTTGTACCCAGCCCTTTCTGCTTTAGTAATTTCCCAGATGCCTCTCCTACCGCAATGCCTCTCATATAGCTGGCCTGTCCACCATGCCCAGCTGTGCCATCTTTTTTTTTTTTGACATTTAGTTTAACCAAAGTGTGTGCATAGACCATTGTTATTATTATTATTCAGTGAAGTTTTTCAGTCTTTGGGAAGAATTTGGCCCATTTTGTCTTTTTTTGGGGGGGGGTGGGACTAGGGTTTGAACTCAGGGCTTCACACTTAAGTGGCAGGCATTCTACTGCTTGAGCCACACCTCCAGTCTGAATTCGGCCCATTTTGAATATATTGTTAGATGTTTATGAGCCTTGCAATGCAATATTGAATATTACAAAAAAATGAATAATACTTGTAATTAAGGTAAATAGTGGTGATAATTTTTAAAGGAAAGTATATTGTAGGCATAAAAGTTGAGGGATGTTTTTAGAGCATGTGATATTAAGTGCTAGGACTGTATAATAATGTTAAATATTTAATACTAAAAAGTTACCTTGAAAGGCTAGCCCAATGTAGGCATAAAGTAATAAGGCTAAGCACTTAAAGTATTTTATCCTTACTTTCTGTTTGTGACTTTGGAAAATGTGCTCCTTCATTTATCTTTTTAGAAGTTGGAAATGTCTGCATAACTCCCCTGTCTTAACGGGACATTACTAATGGGCCACCCTGTTCATTTTTTAATTTGGCAACCAGTAAGAACAATTAGATTCCAACCCAAACTATGTAATAGGTGAGCTATCTCTTTTAACATTCACCTGAAACCAAATTTCAGTAAGTGCCCTGATGGTAAGATTTATATGCTCACAATACTGAGTTGTCTCTCCACCACACTTCCTCTTACTACCTGCTCATAAGTCTTATAAGCTAGTTCCAGTGACTACTTAGTTCAAATGGAATTTAATCATATTCATTTAACTTCTTCTGTATCAATCAGTATACCAATCAAAAAGGAGAATCTCTTTACTTAACCTATCAGTATCCCCACACCCTTCAAGCTTGACCCTAATCTTCACTGGAAAATTCTTCACATTCTTATAACTTTAATTTGTCTTAGTAAAGTCAAAAGGTCTAATTTTACTTTGAATACCACATTTTTACTCTGATTTAAAAAAAAAAAAATCATGATCTTTGGGCTGGCAGAATGGCTCAAGTCGTAGAGCATCTGCCTAGCAAGGATGAGGACCTGAGTTCAAACCCTAGTACTGTCAAAAACAAACAGATAAAGATTGTGATCAGAATGGCAAAGGTCAAAATATTTGAAGACATGAGGGAAAGGGTCACATCGTAGGCATGTGGATTGTTAAGTCCCTTTGTGGGGACAGTTTGGTACTGTCAAAACTTACAATGTATAGACTCTCGCTAGTAATTCCACTGTTAGGAAATTGGTTTTTAAGTATTCTTACAGTGCTACACTGGATATTTGTTACACATCTTTTATAATAGCAGAGAACTGCAAATAACCCACATGCCTTACTAGTAAGGACCTGCCTAAATAAAATATGGTATGAAGGTAAACCTAGTAATAGTTTAAAAGAATGAGGGAAATTTATATGAACTGCTATGGGAAAATCTCTAAGATGTATCTAATAAAAAAAAAGCTTTATAATAAACTCTCCTCAGGCAGGAAAGAAATACATACAGTTATACATACCCATTCTTGTATATACTTAATGTACACTTGATCTCTATTATATATTTGTACGTGTGTGTGTTTGTGTATATATATGTAAATATTATACACACTTAGACCATTTCGGGAAGAACATGCAAGAAACTGCTAACGAGGTTTGTGTCCAGACAGTAGACCTCAGAGCTAGGAGACTTTTACCCATCATATTTGGCATCATTTAAATGTATTTGCTACTCAAAAATACATATATGTATATATATAGAAAGAGAGAAAAGCAAAAATATACACACAGAAATAAAAGCAAAAATAAATTTCGACTAGGAAGATTAAAAGGAAATAGTTTCATACTGAATTCTAGAAAATCTGTGATATAAACCTCTGAATCCTAGAATAATTATGCCATACCATTGTAGGTGTCCAAATGTCTCAGTTAAGGAAAATTTGCAGCCTGGTTCAGATCCCCTACCCTGAATTATCTTTGAATAATGAGCGTTGGATCTGTCTTCTAACATTCTGGCATCTGATATAATTGTTGCTCCATACTCGTGACAATTGGAGTAAGTAATTGTTATTTAGAAATATCCAGTCATGCATTTGCGATATATATTTTGTTGGAGAAGTTGAAACTGCAAATGCTAAGCAATGTTGCTGACTTTTTAGTAAGTAGTTTTTGATTGCCATGGACTAATACTTGTTTCAGGCTCGAATGCTCATCATAGAAGAAAACCTGATGACCATTATCATTAAGACTTTCATGGATCATTTGAGACAACGAGATGCCCAAGGCAGATTTCAGTTTGAACGATACACCGCTTTACAAGCTTTCAAGTTTAGGAGAGTTCAGAGCCTTATTTTAGATCTCAAGTAAGTTTTTGTTCAGCTATCAAACCAGTTGAAACTTGTAAAAATGTCAGTGTTTATATATTCATTGCTACTGTTACTTTTTTGTTCAGGTATGTGTTAATTAGCAAACCAACTGAATGGTCAGATGAACTGAGGCAGAAATTCTTGGAAGGGTTTGATGCTTTTTTGGAATTACTGAAATGCATGCAGGTATGTATACATTGACATGTTTTTCATTTTCTTTTTTTTTTTTTTTTTTAATTCATATGTGCATACAATGTTTGGGTCATTTCTCCCCCCCTTCCCCCACCCCCTCCCTTACACTCCTCTTCCCCCCACCCCCTCACTACCCGGCAGAAACTATTTTGCCCTTATCTCTAATTTTGTTGAAGAGAGAGTATAAACAGTAATAGCAAGGAACAAGAGTTTTTGCTAGTTGAGATAAGGATATACTATACAGGGAGTTGACTCGCATTGATTTCCTGTGCATGTCTGTTACCTTCTAAGTTAATTCTTTTTGACCTAACCTTTTCCCTAGTTCCTGGTCCCCTTCTCCTATTGGCCTCAGTTGCTTTAAAGTATCTGCTTTAGTTTCTCTGCGTTGAGGGCAACAAATGCTATCTAGTTTTTTAGGTGTCTTACCTATCCCCATACCTCCCTTGTGTGCTGTCACTTTATCACGTGACAATCCCCTTGTGTTTGTCCTTCATCTAATGTCCACATATGAGGGAGAACATACGATTTTTGGTCTTTTGGGCCAGGCTAACCTCACTCTCCAATTCCATCCATTTACCAGCGAATGATAACATTTCGTTCTTCTTCACGGCTGCATAAAATTCCATTGTGTATAGATACCACATTTTCTTAATCCATTCGTCAGTGATGGGGCATCTTGGCTGTTTCCATAACTTGGCTATTGTGAATAGTGCTGCAATAAACATGGGTGTGCAGGTGCTTCTGGAGTAACCTGTGTCACATTCTTTTGGGTATATCCCAAAGAGTGGTATTGCTGGATCATATGGTAGATGAATGTTTAGCTTTTTAAGTAGCCTCCAAATTTTTTTCCAGAGTGGTTGTACTAGTTTACATTCCCACCAGCAGTGTAAGAGGGTTCCTTTTTCCCCACATCCTCACCAACACCTGTTGTTCGTGGTGTTTCATTTTCTTTTTAAATTTTAACTTGCTTGTTTTTTCTTGTCATCCAGGAAACTAAACACATTGCTCTGTATTGCCCAATTATTAATTTGAGACACATTTCCAGAGGATCGATTTAGATTGCTGTAATTTGGACTAAGAAATTCTTCTACAAATAGAGGCTCTTAGGTGTAGAGCAACTGAGATTCCAGTAAAGGTCCTGGCATCTACTGCTCTTTTGTATTTGGTGATTCTTTTGATTAACCACTACTGTTTCTTTAGAGGTTGAAAGTTTCTTTTGTTGAAAGTTTCTTTTGTTGAAAGTTTTGTGTTAATGGTAGTGGGTGTTAAACTCAGAACCTTGAGGTTGCTAGGCAGGCACTCTACTGCTTGAGCCATGCCTGTAGTCCTTTTTGCTTCAGTTATTTTTCAAATAGGGTCTCGCATTTATGCCTATCTAACCTTGACCGGGATCTTCCCCATCTTTGCCTCCTGGGAAGCTAAGATTATGGGCATGAGTCATCATGCCTGGCTTCTTTTTTTTTTTCTTTTTTTTGCTATGCTTACTTGGAAATACAGTCAGTTATTTGAGAAACTATGGTTATTATTATTTTCTGGTGCTCAAACCCAGGGTGTTGCATATAGTAGGCAAATACTCTACCACTGAGCTACACCCCCAACCCCTCTTTTTGTTTGTTTGTTTGATGTTTCCATAGTTCTTTTTCTCTCCTTGGTGTGTTATATAATACAGTGTAGATCTTCTTCCCTGTTTAATTCTCTTTCTGAAACATACCTATGTATAAAACAGGATTTAGAAGTAGAAACAAACAACTGTATTTAACTGTTTCTAACTTTTACAAAACAGGAGACATCTCTGAAAACCTGAGCAAATACTATTGTAAGCCAATGTTGCAGTCATCTGGCTTTCTTGAGAGAAATAGCCAAAGCTGGCCCATCCTTCTTAAAGAACATCTAGTTTATAAATTGGGTGGTGATTCATGGGGTGTTTCATTTATTATAATACTGTTGTGGTTTTTCATGTACCTACAAAAATAATAGTCATTATTGACTAATGGTCATTTTGAATATTTGAGGTATTCTGTACTCTATTGTTTAATAGCTGGTTAGTTAAGCTAACTTCTTAATAGTGATACTCCTTTTTTATTAAAAACTGCTTATTCTGATTTTGTTTTCATTCAGGCACTGAAAACTTTTAAAACACATTAAGGAATGAGTATAAAACCTGTATTGTAATGTATTCATAAGTCCAGTACATTTTAAAGGACTGTCAAGGGACTGAGTGGTAGGCCATGTGCTTGCATACGTCAGACCCTGGGTTCAATCACCAGAGCCACAAGTAAAAACAAAAAGCCTGTCAAATTTCTTCTAACAAACATTTTTTTTTTTTTTTAGATAATGAAGTTAAAAAGGAACTAGAAAGATTATTTCAACAAATATTTGAAGTATTTCATTGTCTAAAACATATAGGAGAGTGCCTCAGAAATAAATTGTCCTATATTTTACTGGGATATTTTTATCTTACAGCATGTTATATAAACATAATTTTTAAAACTATGACTTTTCATAGTTTTTGAAGCTCCTTGCTAAAATTTACCGTATATTATAATCAACATGTATTTCCTCTATGTTATTTCCTCAGTTTTCATATGAGGAAAAACTATAATTTTTATTCATATAAAGTTTTTTCACTTTCTTTAAGGGAATGGATCCAATCACACGTCAAGTAGGACAGCATATTGAAATGGAACCAGAATGGGAAGCAGCCTTTACACTACAGATGAAATTAACACATGTCATTTCAATGATGCAGGACTGGTGTGCTTTAGATGTGAGTTTCTTCTAGGTGTGGGGAATATGAGGAAAATGAAGGGAAATAAATAGAATCCTAAATAAAAATTGAGGAGATTGGGAGAAAATAGTTTTCTTCTAGCGTAGTTCATAAAATATTTTTCCCTTCCACCCATAAACTTAGTAGAGATTTAAAAGTTAAAATCCTAATGCCTTAGGAAAAAAACTTGAAAAACAGAGGAAGAAATAATCTATATGTTCTCCTTCTTAATGTGAACTATTTTCCTTTTCTCCATAATCATTTCTAGAATTTGAGCATATAAATATAGTGATTTATAAATCTACCAAAATTAAAGTTTTACGATTAGTACATTTATCCTGTGTTTTAAAATAATTTTGACTTATTCCTTTACCAGTAAAGTCTAGATAAGTCAGGCAATTGGGAAAGGCTTCCTTGAGATCCAAATAACATGTAAAAATGTACTGAACAAAGAATATAGAATACTCCTTATTCAGAGGACAACTACATCATATTCTGTGATGAGAGGGCCTGTGGTTGTTCCAGAAACTATGAGCTATCTGTGTTTGGAGCACAGAAGTTGAGGGCAGAGAGATGGGCAGAGCTACCTGACTTTGCAGGGCCTTTGGAGGCCATGGAAATAAGTTTGGATTGTATTCTAATTGAAGTGGGGTGCCGTTGGAATCTAACTAGCAGGAAAGTGATATGTTTTTAAACACTGCTTTGTGTGGACAGTGGATGGATGGGGCAAGGAATTTAATAAAGAGATGGTTGGCAGGGCATTGGAATTACTGAGGAAAGAAAAGCATGGCTAGTTTTGAGGGTATTTTGAAAAAGAGGTTGCCAGCTTGGTTATAGACAAGACAGTGTGGAATGAGGTAAAGGAGAGCATTGCATATTCTTGATTTCCACAGCTTTATTGCTAAGTGAGGTCAGTGGGACAGGGGCCACTGGGAGAGAGACCAAGTTTGGGAGGGAAGATTGAGTTTGGTTTTGCGCATATTGTTATTTGACAAACTTACTCATCATCAAATTGAGGTGCTTATTCAATGTTGTAGCAACCCAGTCTTTTGAATAACTTAACAGAAAAACCCTCTTTTTTAGGAAAAAGTGTTAATTGAAGCTTACAAGAAATGCCTCGCTGTATTGATGCAGTGTCATGGTGGTTTTACTGATGGTGAACAGCCAATCACACTAAATATTTGTGGACATTCAGTGGAAACTATCAGATACTGTGTTTCCCAAGAAAAAGTTAGCATTCACCTCCCAGTTTCTCGCTTACTTGCAGGTAAAGCATTTCCCCCTTAAAAAAACAAAAAAAGAACCCTAAAATTATCTTAAACTATTGTTTGTGGTGATTAATATTTATGAATACCAACCATGTGCCAGCCATTATTCTGAGCATTTTACATGCATTAGCTTATTTGATCATTACATGAGCCTATGAGGTAGGTTTTATGAAGCTCGCTTCACAGATGGGAAGACTAAGCCATAGAGATACTTAGCATCACACAGCCAGATAGAATCAGAGTTGTCATTTTGAGGCAGTTTGGCACCAGCTGCCATGTTTGCAACCATTGTACTATAGTGCTTCTTCAGACTTAACTACAGAAACCACATGTTTTATTTTTTAATTCAATCCAGCTTCAAAGTCTGTGTTACTACAAGTCAAACTAGTCTGTCACTTAAGTGACTGCTAGTAAATTGAAGCCACCTTAGGTTTTCTCTTCCTCTGAGCTGTTTCTGGCTCTTTTATTGATAACCTTTTAAGCAGAAGTAATAAGTGAGTGCCATATTGGGGTGGCATACACTTACAGGCCATTTATAATGGTTAAAATATCTAAAGCTGCCACCTTGCAGCAGCCAAAGACTTTGAATATGCACTTATCCATCTCTGTGATTCATTTCAGCACAGCTTCATATTTCTTGATTCTGGGTATTATCCTGCTGACATACTGTTACTTCATTTCATTCCACTTTACCTAAAAGAACAGAAAGAAGATCTAAAGATACTGTTACACAATGCAGGATATATGATTTATCTTAGTTTTTGGTTCAGTAACTTTTAATGTGATGTGAAGGTGTATTCTTTGTTTTGTTTCAAGAAGAGATTGTGGAGAATTTATGTCATTTTTTTCCTTAAATGTTTGCTAGAATTCACCAGCATAACCATCTCATGCTTTAGTTTGGAAGGCTACTGATTATTGATTTAATTTCTGTAATATATATAGTCCTATTCAAGTTATCGGTTTCTCCTTGTGTGAGTTTTGGTAGTTTGTGTCTTTCAAGGAATTGATCCATTTATCTAAGTTATCAGATTTATGAACCTAGAGTTGTTCATAGCATTCCTTCATTGTCCCTATAATGGAATAGGGTCAAGCAGTAAGGATCCCTTTCATTCTGAAGGTATTTTATTCATTGTTCTGAGCATTAGCATATTATCCTGCTGATGGATCTTTACATTTCAAAAGTCTTTGAGTGTGTTACTGAAGTTGTAATGATTTGTGATTCCTTTGAGGCTTGTGACGGTTTTATTCTTAAACAGATGAATACTGAAGTAGCAGTACAACAGATAATTAACTAAAATGAAATGTGACTGTAAGAATCATATCTTTCTTACCCTTATAACTTGTTTAGGTGTAGGTTTGTTTAATAAGTGTTTTCAGAAGTTGAAAACTTTGGTCCTAAACACAGGCAACTGACAGCATAGTGTTGTGGAAAAGTATTTGACTAGAAGAGAAGAAAGTGGGCCCCTTGTCCAACTCAGCCATTAATCTCTTCCTTCAAAATCTGGTTGCATGAGTAGAAGCTGAGGCTGATAATTATTCACAGTGGAAAAAAACAATACTCCAAAAATGTACTGATTTTTGCCTAGGTCTTTACCTCCATAAAATCTGTGCAGTGAGTAATTGGGAGTATTGATCTCACTATATTAGGGAAATGCTGTTCTGAATGCTTATCATGTAGCTGGAGAGTTAAGTAAACATACACAAAACAGGTCGTGAACAACTTGGAGTGTGTGCTAGTGGAGCTTGAGCATGACTCTTGAGAGCAAATTTTATTAATTATTAGAATGGGTCAGCATGGCTTGCTCGATGAAGAAAGCCTCTTGTCAGGCTTGGACAGGTGTCCCGTATATACTGATGAGACTGTAAAGAGCATTCTTTGTTTAAGCAATGACATAAATAGAACACAATCAGAATGAACTGAGGTCGAACTACAAAAAAGCTCCTGGAGATTAGGAACCAAAAGGGTTTTAATCCTAAACTGGAAATTCTGGAAAACCTAATTTTGAGGTCAAGAGCAGTGCATACCATGAATTCAAGGCTAGTTTTTCTATTCAATTGCCAGAAGGATCTCTCAACATTGTAGTTTAAATGATAACAAACTCCATGGTCCAGTGAAATATGACTTATAATTGGCATAACATGTATGAATTGTTTTGTGTTTATATAACTACTTCTGATGTTTGTACATCTAACATTTACTTCTAAAAATGTCACCGGTGTGTGTAGGGATGTGTGGTCAGGATTAGTTCTAACTATGCCTTTGCTATAGAAACTCATTAGAATAACCACTGAAAATCTTAATCTATGGATAAATAGATTTCATATCTAATATTTAACCTGATAGGTTCCCAAGGTTTTTTTTAAAGTTTGATAATAAAGTTGAGTGACTATTTAGTTGAGTGAATGTTATTTTAACTTACAGAAGTACTTGTTTGTTCTTCCATGCAGGTTTGCATGTGTTACTGAGCAAAAGTGAAGTGGCATATACATTTCCAGAACTCCTACCTCTAGTAAGTGTTTCTGACACTTAGAACTGAATGACTACTTACTGTGTTCCTTTTATTTGAAACAAATTTTATGAATCTAGGTTCACCAATAAGGTAGGGGCATGTGTGTGTGTGTGTGTGTGTGTGTGTGTGTGTGTGTGTGTGTGTGTGTATGCACATGTTTAGAGAGAGAAAGAGATGTTTATTTTAAAGAATTGCCTTCTGGAAAGTCTAGAGTCTGCGGGGCAGCCTGGCAAACTTGGGAGACCCAGAGAAGAGTTAAGGTTGGAAGCAGAACTCTTCCTTCCTCCTCAGGAACCTAAATTTTTTCGCTTAATTTTTTTCTGTGCATTGATGAGGTCTGCCCACTTTATGGAGGGTAAATTGCTTTGCTCAAAGTCTACTAAAATATGACTCCCATATAAGAATTACCTTCATGGCAGCATGGTAAATGGGTGCCATAGATTACCTAACTTAACACAAAATTAACTGTCACACAGACATATCTTAAAATAATTTTAATCTGTGTTTTATGAAAGCTTTCTTCTGTCAACCAACTTTCTTTATGGACTTGATTTTTTACGAGTTTTATTTTTGAATACACAGAGTGAACTTAGTCCGCCCATGTTGATAGAACACCCTCTTAGATGTCTTGTTTTGTGTGCCCAAGTACATGCTGGAATGTGGAGAAGAAATGGGTTCTCTCTAGTAAACCAGGTAAGTGTTGTTTAATCCTGTGGAGGGTTTAGCTTTTTTGTAGATTGTAGTTTTTGATGGACTATGTCATTGAAACTTTAGTGTCTGTATTAAAATTGTTAGCTCGTCAGGAAATAATATCAAAAGTAGACATGAATAACAGTAGTTTTGACATTTACTTAAAATAACTTTTAGAGCAGAGTTGGATACTAAATGATAAAATTTGTTTCATTTTATTTAAATTGGGTTAAAAGATAAAAGTCCTCTCAGTGTATCTCTGAAGTTGAGGTTTTAATTTCTAAACCTCACAAAGACTTAGAATGGATTCTTCCTCCACTACCCCCCCACCCCCATTTTTGGAAACTAAACTTTATTTTTTTGGGAGACCCAGTACAAAATGTGAACCATGCAGTGACCACTAATGGAAATTTCTAATTAATTAATGTATACTAAGACAATGTTAACTGTTCAGAAAACCACCTTGTCCATATACACACACACTTGTACTTACACAAACCCATGTGGGTTTTTTTTTTTTGGTGGGGGGAGGGGTTGAAAGGAGAGAGGGAGCTACACTAATAAAAGCCTATTTACCCAGTATAATTAATTTTTTTTAGATTTATTACTACCATAATGTGAAATGCAGGCGTGAGATGTTTGACAAGGATATAGTAATGCTTCAGGTAATGAATTAAAAGCATTAAGTGGATGTTTGTGGTGAGTCTTTTGCTTATTTCCACCAAGCCCAGTCACTTGTCTGTAAAGCTCCTTACACACACATGGCTAATGGCCTGTGGAGCATTTCTAGATGTTCCGGACACATCTCAGACTCAAAATGTTCAAAACAACTCATCTTATTTCTCCCGTGCCTTCTTTCCTTAGGCTCCCAACCTTGGTGAATTGTTGCACGGATACCCAGTTGCTCAAGTCAGAAACCTGAAAACCATCCTTCAGTCATTGATTGTTCTCTGGTTATTTAACTGATTTTAAACCCCTTAGTTTAAACTCCTTAAATTAATTTTCAAGGCCTATCATACTTAGCTACATTAGAGTTCCCTGAATTTGCCACGTCCTCTTTTAAGTCTTAAACTCTACACATTTCTTTTGCTCCCTTGCCGCTTTCCCATTCATCTAGCTATTATTTTCCAGTATGTCTTGGTGTTTAGTTTAGTGTCAGTTTGTCCACAAATCCCTCTTGGAACATATTAGAACTTGGCTAAGTATACTTTTTGTGAGGACCCTTAGGAACTGTGGTACTTAATTCTGCCAGTATACCCACAACCCTGGATTGCCAGTACCTGTTTACCTTTAATCCACCTCTCCACCCCCACCCAGACTGTGGCAACTGTATCTTGTTCCTTGTTTTTGTACCTTTTGCCTAGCACAGTGCTGGTCACTAAATGGATTCAGTAATTATTTTTTTAAAAAAAAGTTAAAAAAAATCTCAGTCTCAAAAAAAAAAAAATTATTGGTTCCAAGTAAAGGAAGATCTGGGTTGATTTAGAATTTTTACAAATGGAATTATAGTCCCTGGTGGTCTAGTGGTTAAATAAAAAAAAACAAAAAACAAAAAAAACAAATGGAATTATAGGAGAATTAAAACTAATATTTAAAATTAAATATTAGTTGGCTGGGTGCTGGTAGCTCACGCCTATAATCCTAACTACTCAGGTGGCAGAGATCAGGAGGATTAAGGTTTGAAGCCAACTCAGGAAATAGTTTGTGAGACCCTATCTCAAAAACCCAGTCACACACACAAAAAAAAAGGGTGGAGGGGCTTGGTGGAATGGCTCAAGGTGTAAGCCCTGAGTTCAAACCACAGTACTACAAAAAAAAAAAGTTGTCACTTGAGTTAGTATACTCCTTACCACAAAAAAAAAAGCACTTGAAAATAATTGAATATGATATATATATTTTTGAAATACTACAAGCAGGCTGATGGCTCAGTGGTAGAGCAGCTGCCTCGAAAGCACAAGGTCCTAAGTTCAATCTCCAGTGCCACCAAGAAACGGTAGAAGTTTAATTGGCATTTCTCTCAGAGTTTAGAGTGATCACCAGACAGTAAGCTCTGACAAAACTTTGGAACCAAATTCATAGGACTAGATTTCTAAGTATGTAAAGGAAAGAAGGTTGAGTAAAGTCTGTGTTACTCTCATGTGTGGGTTTAGGTTTTAGAGGGTTTTTGTTTGTGTTTGATTGGCTTAGATCTCTGTCCCCACTTGTCAGTTCCCTGAAGTAGGGATTGGGGCTAAATGGGTGTCCAGCTTTTATTGGACTGGTAAACAAATAAGCTGTTTTCTCTTGTACAAATCAAAATACCTGTCACTAATTGTTCAGTGTCCCCTTTGACCTTCCTTTTTCCTTTATTTGAAAAAACAAACCAAAAAAAGACAGGTGTCTCCATGATGGATCCAAATCACTTCCTGATGATAATGCTCAGCCGCTTTGAGCTGTACCAGATTTTCAGTACACCAGACTATGGGAAAAGATTTAGTTCCGAGGTCACACACAAGGTAAGAACGTGCTTCATGAGACCACAGGCCATCACTCAGATGATGCTAACACTCTGAGAGAATGCAGCGTATGTGCTCTTATCAGTGAACTTCGTCTTCCCACTTGCAGGATGTCGTTCAGCAGAACAATACTCTCATAGAAGAGATGCTGTACCTCATTATAATGCTTGTTGGTAAGTTTAGGTTGTGTTTTGACGTGTTTATAAATTATACCGCTTCTTGTGGTAGCAAATAGCTCAGTACTTGTGAAATATGTTTCTTTTGTGAGAAGGTAAGCCCTCAGATGTAGGGGAAGGGACTTGGGCTCAGGTTACTGTTAATGTTGAGAGCGACAGTGCTGTGGTAAGAGGCAAAGGTACAACAGCTGAAGCAGAATAAACTAGAGGACTGTTTTGGGGGGAAAAGCAGGGAGGTGGGGATAGGAGAATCTAGGAGTAGAATATTTAGGAGTAACTTACTGTTGCTGTAAATCTTGGCTATGTTCTCTGCAAGGTTTTGTGATACACAAATGTCTTTTTGACCACAGATGTGAGCTAAGTTAATGGAGACCTAGAGCTAATAGATGTGGTTTTCTTCTCTTGTCATCTATATTTTCAGTCTTTACTCTGTCCCCATCCTTCCCATTCTTTTATCCCTTACTCCGTCTCTTCCCTTGCTATTTCAAACCCTCTAAAGAAGATGGTCCTAGTTACCGACAGGTGATACCAATAAGAAGGTCTCAGAAGATAATCCCTTGCTTGCTATAGGTAAAAAAGGAAAGGAAGGTTCTTCCCCCTTGCTCTCACAAAGGATGGAGTGAACCTAGTTCTCTTCACTACATCTAATCTCTTCCCACTGTCTGATTCTTCCTCCAAAGCAGCCACTTGTGCACTCTCCTGCCTAAAGCTTGCCTTCCCTTATCATGCCTAAGACTCACAGTGTGATCAGGAATCTCTCTCTCCCTATTTGTTTTCATGCCAGTTGTTGCTTTCCCATGGTGCAGAGGCTTGAACAGAAGAATACATTGTGTTGCATGAATTATAGGTGTATGTCATACAAGTGAGTGATGTGATCATGTAAAATGTGTATACATGTACCTTTTCATTTTTGACAGGAGAAAGATTTAGTCCTGGAGTTGGACAGGTAAACACTACAGATGAAATTAAGCGGGAGATTATCCATCAGTTGAGCATCAAGCCGATGGCTCATAGTGAATTGGTAAAGTCTTTACCTGAAGATGTAAGTACATACCCTAGCTATCAGTCTAGTGTGTGTACATTGACTTCTTGATAGTTTCCCAAAATTGTAAAATCTACAGTTCTAGGATGCATATCACTCCAGTTCCTCTTATTAAAAGTAATTAGAAAAGAGAATACTAGGGAGTCAGAGTGGAAAGCAGAATAGGAATAGAATCTTTGACAGTAAAGCCTTGAAAGAGATAAGGACACTGGTAAAAAAGGAAATCTAGGCAGTAGAACTAGGTTTTTAGCCAGGTGCTGGTGGCTTATGCCTATAATTGTAGCTACTCTGAAGGCAGAGATCAGGAGGATTACGGTTCAAAACCACCCCTTGGCAAATAGTTCACGAGACCCTATCTCAGGGAAAAAAAAAAAAAAACAAAACCTGGGTTTTTGTATCCACTAGAGAGAGCATTATAGGATCTTTAATACAGATTTGCTGTGGCCATACAGATCACTTTGTAACCTAACATTGAGGAACAGAGTAAGGAAATACCTGCTCACTTGTGTCAAATAGACTTAATAAAGTTTTCCAGAGCTTTTTCCTTCTCAGTTAGCCAAAGACTTCCCTTTTAAATAATGAGCATTATTTCATCTTAGTGAATGTAAAAAAAAAAACATATTCACAAGAACATTGATACATTGTAGTTATTTTTTCTTACTAGGGCAGGATAGGGGAAGGCAGGCTTTAGGCAGGAATGACAGGTTCTGCTGTGTTTTCTATTTCTGCAGATGTTAGAGCATTTTCATATACAGTGTTTAAAATAAGTATTATCTATGCAACAAAAGATTGGTTGAAATCTCAAAAGAATGAACTTTAAGGTTGAAAGTTTTTGATCTCTGTTTCAAATGTGAGAAAACATTTTGAGTAGCCTCAATGAACATAAAGTCCTTTCTTACTGTAAGAGTTGAGTCTCTGAAAAGCTCCACGGCTGGAAAATGGGTGGCTGAATTACCACTTCATCATAAGCAGGACTGTGTAAAGCAGTGCTTCTCAACCGAGAGCAGTTTTCCCCGGAGGGACATTTGACAGTGTCACTGCTCTGTGCTGGTTACTGAATAAAGTACAATGCTCAGATGCTCACAGTCACTGTCATCCCTACTTTTTTCCTGGACCTTTAGGAGAATAAGGAGACTGGCATGGAGAGTGTAATCGAAGAAGTTGCCCATTTCAAGTGAGTGTGCTTCCCATCGTTTCATGTTTTGTGATGTTTTTAATACAGTTATTTTTCTTAGATTGTTTCCTACATGAAACTGAGAATGAAGTTATTGCTTTCAGAGTGATATTTTCAAGTTACAATTCTGAACTAGGTTTCTCACCAGCTTTTATGATCTAGCCCTGCACTCAATCAAGTAAAGTAGCTTTATGAGGGTTTTTTGTAGCATTTAGAATAGATATTCATACCTGATGGTTTCAGTAATAGAGATTGATTTGACCAGTGATTTAAGTAAATGCATTCTAATTGCTTTCTTGGGGCTAGCTGTGGTGATGCATGCCTATAATCCCACTGAGGTGGGAGTCAGAGTTAGGAGGATTGTGTTCAGAAGTCAGCCCCAGGGCAAAAAGCGTAAGACCTATCTGAAAAATAAACTAAAGCATAAAGGACTGGAGGTATGTCTTAAATGGAGGCTCTGAGCTCAAACTCCAGTACTGCCAAAATAAACAACAAAAACTTGTTTTCCATTTGAATGTGGCACCCAAGTTGTGAGGCGATCTCTGAATGCTGCCTTTTCCACTGTCCTTTGTGCTCCCCAATCAATAAATTAATTTACCCCCTTAAAGTTATTGAAGCAGTTTCTTAATTCTGCCTTCTCCTTGCTCCCTACCCCAACTGCAGTGTCTTTACTTTTGTTGATTATAAAGATAGTACATGCAAAATAAATAATAGAGAGAAAGAAAAGAAAGAAAAGGAAAAGAAAGAGAAAGAAAATGCTTTTAGAGAAAATACAGAAAGGTAGGAAGAAAGCAGTATCACCATAATCCAAAACTCAGGTGAGTTCTACATTTAGATATACATCATTATAAATTTTTCTATACTAATAGCATATCTATATGTGTGTGCAAGTTGTCTAAGAAGATACATATTTTAACAAAAATGAGTTTGCTTTATATTTATGTTCTATAAGTTTTTGGTTTGTTTTTATTTGTGGGGCAAAGGATCAAGCCCAGGGCCTCCTGTACATGAGGCAAACAGTCTTACCCACTAAGCCCTCTATCATCTTTTCTTAATTTATACTTCAATGGGGTGCTTCCACATGTTTGTGATTCTGAGAATTTGTTTTATTGGACTTGATATGCCTTGTCAGTATATATAGGCTCACTCCATTTGTTTACTTTGTAGTTGTTATTATAATGTATTTACCTTCTCTGTTGATGAATGTTTAATTTCTAGATCTTCCTTATTGTAAATAATGTTGATTATCATTGGTCTGTGTATCTTTGACTGTGAAAATGTCTGAGGAATTTGCTAGATCACAAGAAAGGCATATGGTACTTTTTGATTCATACCTCTAAATACATGAGAGCCACTGCTACTTTGTTTTCACGTTATTGTTGAAGTTTTTCTGTTTTTGAGGGATTAGTGCTAGGGATTGAACTCAGGACTTTATCGTGCACTCACTGAGAGTCTTTAGTATTGCCTAGCCCTGTAGGCTCTTTGAGTTCTACAGAGTAGGGGGGTAAAAAGTGTTACCGTATTTTAATTTATATTATTCTGCCTACCAATGCAGTTGAACATCTTCCATGTTATAAAGTTAATCATAGTTCAGTGCATTTTTCTCTGTAGTTGTTTGTCCCCATTTTACTGTTCTGTGAGTATTTTTTACATATTAAATACATTCTCCATATCACTTGGTTCTTAACTTTGTGGTGTCATTTCACACAATGTGTGAAATATGTTTTAAAATATTTTTAAACATTTTTCTGTATTATCTGACTTCTGGAGTTTATAATCTGTTTGTGAAAGTTCTTTAAACCCCAATAATGTGCCTGCTTTTTTCTACTTAATAAACTTATTACAAACATCTTTACACCTCAAAATACAGAAATTGACATCACTTTTAATGGTGTTCAATTGCTTAGAGATGTTGTAATTTATATACTCTATTAAACTTTAAAGTTGTTGCAGCCCCATGTCCATCACATCCACTTGTCCAGTTAGGGTAAATTCAAAGTGGACATGGTAGATAAAGTGGGCGCACAGAAAGCTTTAGAATTGTGGTGCCACATTAACCCTCAGGAAATACCCAGCAAGCAGAATATGACTAAACATAAATTAGTGTGTGATGTTAGCATTGATATCCTAAGGGCCTTTTTTTCATAGGAAACCTGGATTAACAGGACGAGGCATGTATGAGCTAAAACCAGAATGTGCCAAAGAGTTCAACTTGTATTTCTACCACTTTTCAAGGGCAGAGCAATCCAAGGTAATGGAGAAAATTAGTTGTTGAAAAAAATTGGATTTATTTTCCCCCAAAATTTTCACTGCTTTTCACAGCTTGAAAAAGGACTTCCTACATTTTCGTTGTAGGAAGTTTGGAAATATTCCAAATTACCTAGAAAACCACTCTCTAACATTTTAAATCACACACACACAATGTTTTGTGCATAGATATATAAGGTCTATGCAATTATATGCATACTCAGACATATATAATTAGTTGGCTTTCAAAGACAGATTTTCAATTTGTATTATCAGTTAACCCATTTTACACACATTTCAGAATTGGTACTGTTTAACATACTTTTCCATAGTGATTTATCTTTCTTTGCTTTCTATCTTTTTTTTTTTTTTTTTTTTTTTGGAACTGGAGTTTAAACTCAGGGCTTCACACTTGCAAAGCAGGTACTCTACCACTTGAGCCATACCTCCAGCTCACAAGAAGCTTTTGTTTAGTTTTGGATGCATATCATAGAATCCAAACCTAATTAAGTTTTGGGTTTGCATTTTAAGACAATAAAGAATTCACCTGGGGATTCTTTTGGTGGGAAAATAAATTAACCCTGATGGATCAATTTGGGAGTAATACAACACTAAGGATAAAAATCTTCTAAAAACCAGAAGATCATAGAGCTGAGAATGGCTTAATTGTTTTGTATTCAAATTATTTTCCAAATTACTTTCTTTCTTACTAGGCAGAAGAAGCTCAACGGAAGTTGAAAAGACAAAATAGAGAAGACACAGGTATTTTTCATCATCTTTCCAGAAATCTCATTAGTCTCTTTAACTTGCTAAACATCACCTTGGTAGGGCGAGAGATTTAAATATAAGCTTTCCAGTGAGCATCCTCCTATTCAAAGAGTAATAAATATATTACTGTAGTCTGTTCAGAGTAACCTTGAGGTTAATGATTTTAATCTCAGAATTTGAGGCATTTCTAGATAAAAGAAAGTTTTCCTTTGTACTGCTGCTATTTATTCAGCTGCTTTTGTGCATTTGACTGACCTTCAGAAAGTAAAATACAACTTAAAATATGTGCTAATTTATATACTTTTAATGAAGACTATCAAAAAGTATCTAATGAAGGAATAGTTTCTTTAAACACTGTCTCTAAAAGAAACATAATAACTATTTCCAGCACTTCCACCTCCGGTTTTGCCTCCATTCTGCCCTTTGTTTGCAAGTCTGGTTAACATCTTGCAATCAGACGTCATGCTGTGCATCATGGGAACAGTGCTGCAGTGGGCTGCGGAACATAACGGGTATGCCTGGTCAGAGGCTATGCTGCAAAGGGTAGGTGCGAAGGCATTTCTTACTTATTTTTTAGTGTTTTGCAGTACGAAAATTACTTTTGTCTATATCTACACACAGAAAAATTATGTCCAAAATGCACTTTATTTGCTTAATTTGAAACATAGCATTTCGTTACTCGTTTTGTATCTAACAATGAAAATTGTTAGACAGATTTTATTTTTATATCACAGGTTGTGATTACCTCAGTCCCGTTAGCCAATCTGTCTCTCCATCACTGGTCCTGGTCTTTGTATATGCAGTACTCAGATATTAGTATAATGTGTTACTTTTAATTCCCTCTCAAAAAAAATATTGAGTTCATCAATACCCATATTTTACAAGTGAAGAAATTAGAGTTGGACTCTTTCGATAACTAAAAAAGTGGCAAGTTTAGAACCTTGTTTGAATTTTACTTTTATAGCTTTATGTGAGTCATACATTATCTCATCAAATTCCCACAGCACTCCACAAATAGATACTGCTTTTTCCATTGTATTGATGAGGTTCTTTAACTTCCCATGTTACCCAACTAGTGACACAATAATAGCTAGTCAGTTACTAGCTGCCTACTGTGTGCCTTACTCTATGCTAGGCACTTTGCATACAATATTTGCAATCCTCTGAACTCTAGAGGGAAGTAGGCTTCCCTGCAAGTATGTAGGTTGAAAGCAGTAAAGCCAAGGATCAGATGAAGGCAAACCCTCCTCTGCAGCTGCCATTCTTCAGATAGCCTCAGCAGTCTTAAGTGTCTCATTGGATAAGCTGTGTGTGTACTTACACCCTCTCCCATTTATAAACATGTATTTAAAACAGACAAGCAAGGACCTGTGCTCTTCTAGAGACTGTCTTATGTGAGAAAAGATATCTCCTGCATATATTTATGTTGTTCAGGCTAACCTAATTCTTCCAAGTCTCTGACAACAGGTTGTCTTACATGGAAGGAAACATATAGAGGTACCACACACCTGTCTCCTTCAAAAACTGCAGGCAGGATAAGCAGTAAAAATACAAATAGCTCAGTGTAGTTACATGTTTTCTTAGAAGTCTGGTAAGGAATGTTTTGTGAGATACATAGCATATGTGGCAGTAGAGATAAGTCTCTATCTCAGGTGGTTAAGATTCAGTCCTTAGGAACTGGATGAGACTGGTGGATGTGTTAATTTCTATAATATGGCCACTGATGAAACAAAATTGAAAAGTATGTATTGCATGAATTGCTTAGTCATACCTGATGATAATTTTCACTTAATTTTAGAATTTGTACTTGATATTTTTCCTCACTACTTTTTTTCATGCTAAGAATTTTTTTATTAGAACATGAACCTCAGCCCTTTAGTTTAATAAAAGTTAATACTTAGAATTATTTTTATTGCATTTTAGTCCTTATCTTTTCTCTATAGTGAATGAATTCTTTCTGTTATTTCTTATAAAATATGTGCTTGTTATTTGAGGTGTTACATTTAATTGGAATGGCACTACAAGAAGAGAGACAGCATCTAGAGAATGCCGTGGAAGAACACGTAGTAACATTTACCTTCACTCAGAAGATATCAAGTATGTATACACTTTCTGCTAAACTAAGGCGATCTAAGTAATTTGAAATAATCTCTTGTAACCTCTTTTATTGTATAAGTTCTAAATGGGTAATATTGAATTCAAATATATGATACTACATGTATTCATTTGTGCATTAAAGGTACTATATTAGATCGTGATATTAAAATAGTTAGGGTCTTTGTATACTCAAGATACATGCATTTTAATTCATAAATAGCAAAAATAATGAGTCCTTAGTTTGAAATTAGTATAGCACAACACATACATTATCTCTAGGATATACTTTTAAAAACACAAAGTATGCTATCAGGATTTCATTTTTAAATTATTGCTGTTATCTTACACAAATGTAAAATTCTACATTTTAAAAATAAGAAAGTTAGCTATAGAGGATTGAACTGTATTTTTATACAACATAATGTGGCTTGAATCCAGAGCCTTGAGCATACTAGGTAAGTGCTCTGCCACTTGAGCCATACCCCCAACCCTTTTTTGAGACTTGATTTTGCTACCTTTGCCCAGACTAGCCTTGAACTCAAGATCCTCCTGCCTCTGCTTCCTGAATAGCTAGGATTACATATACCACAATGCCCGACCCTGTTTTTAAATTTTCAAACATTACTGGCATCAATCTCCAGTACCACCAAAAAAAATTTCAAGCATATGTACAAGTTGAAAGAGTTGTACAGCAAACATCTATGTACCTGACACCAAGATTCACTATTGGTTTTTTTATGTGTTTATTTTTATATTCACACACTTTTTTGAACCACTGTGCACATCATAACATTTTCACTTCTTAAAGAAAATTTTTTCTTTCTTTGATTTTCAGAATAAGCAGTCAGTATTACCCATGATGGTGGCAACTTTAACTCTTTTTTTGTTTGGGTTATTTGTTTTTATATTATTCATGGGCTGTTATTCAGTGCTTTTAAGTCATTTTTATGTATCTTTTAAAAGAAAAAGTTTTTTCAGTAGTGGATGTTAGACTCAGGGCCTCAAGCTTGCTAGGCAAGTGCTCTACCACTTGAGCCACTCTACCAGTCCTTTACTTTTAGTTTGTTGCTCAACTAGGCTCTCACGCTTTTGTCCAGACTGGCCTCAGACCTCAGTCCTCTAATAACTGCCTTCCAAGGAGCTTGAGATTTCAGGCATGCACCCCCAAACCCCCACTTGTTTTTGAGATAGGGTCTCACTGATTTTTGCCCAGGCTGTCCTCAAACTACAGTCTTCTATCCATGTCTGCCTTCCAAGCAGCTGGAATTACAAGAGTACACACCATACCTGGCCCCTTATTATCCTTATTATTTGTGGGGTTTTGTTGATGGTGGTGGTACTGGTTTTTGAACTCAGGGCTTCATGCTTGCAAAGCAGGCACTATACTGCTGGAGCCATACCTACAATACATTTTGCTGTGTTTACTTTAGAGATGGGGGTCTTACAAACTATTTGCCCAGGCTGGCCTTGAACCGTGATCCTCCAGATCTCATCCTCCCATATAGCTAGGATTACAGGCATGGGCCACTGGTGCCCAGCTTTATTATTTATTTTGATGCTTATACTGTGTCACTTTGGGTTAGTGGCAGTCCATGCAGTCAGTCAGTTCTAAGTCCTTTGACCTGGCCACATTAGTATTTGAGCACCAACTCCCTTGCTGGACCCAGAGATAACGAGGCTCAGCTTGTTCTTTCCATGCCTGGACCTGCAGTCAACCATTTGTTGAGATGTTTGTAAATGAATTTATGATGCTATGATAGCCATTTGTGAATTTCTAGAACTTAAAAAAAAAAAAAAAGGCTGGTGGAATGGGCTCAAGAGGTAGAGCACCTGTTTCACAAGTGTGAGGCCCTTAGTTCAAACCCTAGTAAACCCACATTATTCTGTGCCATTTCTTCCTAAATGATTAAGGGCAGTGAGAATACATATCCTGCAGGGGAGGGGCAGGGGCAGGGGCAGGAAGTAGTCTGTTACCACTAGATCTCTTAAGTTTTCCTGTCTTCCTTTATCCAAGTAAATGGGAGCAAGAGGGCTCGGCTGGAGCTGCCTTTCCCCATTGGATGCTCTCAGTGTCAGTGCCAGCTTTGCCCACAAGTTTCACTGCCAATATTCTTTCCATGGATTAACATTGTGTCTTCTCGCCTTCTTGGTCTCCAGTGTTTACATTAGGGTAGTCACACAGAAAACTCCCTGAATTCATTCACTCATCACTATAAGATAGCAGGCTTTTTCTCACTTTCCATTTGTTTCTTTTTTTAAACAGCCACTTTCTTTGGACATTGCTCTTACTTTTTAAAAACATTTTATGTATAAAGACATATTGTGTATTTATTTGTGAAGAAACCTCTCTCCTCATCTAGAGTCAGATCCCCAGTAGGTAACCACAGAATTTTAGATCTGGAAGAATATTAAGGATGACATAATTCAGTCCTTCTCCCTCTTAGGAAAGAAGAATATTTTGCCAGAATGATTGCACATAAGTCAAGAAAATAAATAACTGGACACTTGTGAACTCAAGAATATGGGCTTGAGCCAGGCACCAGAGGCTCATGCCTATAATCCTAGCTGCGTGGGACACTGAGGTTGGGAGGGTTGTGAGTCGATGCCCATCCAAGCAAATAGTTGAAGACTTCTCCTCCCATCTCCAGAAATAACTGGAGGTGTGGCTTAAGCAGTAGAATGCCTGCTTTGCAAGTGTGAATCCCTGAGTTCAAACCTCACTCCCACCCCTCACCACCCCCAAAAAAGTAAGCAATAAGTTTAGAGAGGGAAGAAATTTTATCTTGAGTCTAGATTTTGCTAAAGAAAATATCCAGGTAAATAGGAACATTTATACATATACATACCCCCATCATCCTAATTAATTTTAATTTTGCTAGAGCCCATATTAAAATAATGGCTTGGTGTAAACAGTCAGTTTTGAAAATACTTAAAGAATTCTAATTGTTAACAATTTGTAAAGTACAAGTATGTCACTTTCGTGAGCAGTATGGAAGGTCTGTAAGCAGAGCTCTGAAGTCAGATGTTGGACAAGGAGATATAAGCAACTGTGCTTGTCTCATATGTAAGAATAAGTGCTGTGACGTGCTTGCTGTTGTGATCATGCCTGTTACTTTTCTGCTGTAGAACCTGGTGAAGCACCAAACAACTCTCCAAGCATACTAGCTATGCTGGAGACACTACAGAATGCTCCCTACCTACAAGTCCACAAAGACATGATCAGGTGGATATTAAAGGTAATGCTTCCTGAATTGCTCTACTCTCTGTGAGAAATAGTAAACATTTGTTATGTATACATTGTGATAATGATAATGTTTCAGAGCTTCAGAATAACTGATTCTTTTGTTTTTTTAATAGACTTTTAATGCTATTAAGAAGATAAGAGAGAGTTCATCTGCTAGTCCCATGGCAGAGACAGAAGGAACCATAATGGAAGAGGTATAAAAAATACAATAATGCAGAAAAACTGTAGCTAGTTTCCATATGAACAAATTAAACTTACCTGCAATAAGTGCATAGTTGATATTATGCAAAAAATGTCCACTTTTTTTTTTTCTTGTACTGGGCTTTGTGCTTACTAGGCAGGCACTCTATCACTTGAGCCATATGGTAGCCCTTTTTGTTTTAGGTATTTCTCTCTCTCTCTCTCTCTCCCTCTCTCTCTCATCTCTCTTTTTGTCAGTACTTGAGTTTGAACTTATGTCCTTGCACTTGCCTTGAACTAGGCTCAGGTGCCTACCACTTGAGCCACAGCACCACCCCTTAGATATTTTTAAATACAACCTCGCTTTTATGCCTGCACTGTGATTGTCCTATGTAGCTGACAGGCATGTGTCACTACATCCAACTTTTTATTGGTTGAGATGGGGTCTCATGAACATTTTGCCCTGACTGGGTCTCCCCCTCCCAAGTAGCTTAGATTATAGGAGTAAGCACTGTGCTCAGCTCTGCCACTATCTGTTATTCTTGTGGCTTTTCTTTTTTTCTTTTTTTTTTAATTTGTCAGGTTAAGAGGTTTTCATTTAAATAGTTAAGATGGTAGAATATTTTTTAGTTAATATTTATAATAAAGATATTTTTCCTTGGGGAAAACATGTGAATGTAGCACCTAAAGATCTAATTGAGTGAAGCATAATTTCAGAGCACAAGAGACAAAGACAAAGCTGAGAGGAAGAGAAAAGCCGAGATTGCTAGGCTGCGCAGAGAAAAGATCATGGCCCAAATGTCTGAGATGCAGCGGCACTTTATTGATGAGAACAAAGAACTCTTTCAGCAGACATTAGAACTGGATGCCTCTACCTCTGCCATTCTTGAGAATAGGTAAAGAAAATGGTCCTATGTGTATTGTCTTTGCCGGTGGTTCTAGAAACAACATTGCATTGCTTTTTCTCCTTATAGGTACATTTTTAATCTTCAGGTAATTGAGTCGATTTGATAGGTAAATTTTGTAGCCTCCAATTAGAGGAGTTCATCTTAGAAACCTCTGGTTCTAGATAATTCACGTGTATACCTCAAGTGCTCTTCCTTGCAGAAGACCTTTGACATTCAGGAAAGAACGTTGTGTACTGTAGGCTCAGCATCTGGGTATGTTGTGCATGGATGGTGAACATTAAAGGAGATGGCTTTCACATGTGAAAGACTTTAGCAAGTCAGGTCATCAAAACATGTTAGAATATATATATATATACATATATATGTGTATATATATATATATATGTGTATATATATATATATACACATATATATATATGTGTGTATATATATATATATATATATACACACATATATATATACCTGGAGTCTATTGTTTTCTGATTATATAGAAACTTCTTAGGTTCGTTCATTGTTTCTATACCCTTTTTATTTTATTATAGCCCTGTAGTTTCAGATATGACACTTACAGCTTTGGGTCCAGCACAAACTCAGGTCCCTGAACACAGACAGTTTGTTACCTGCATATTGTGTCAAGAAGAACAAGAAGTTAATGTGGAAAGCAGAGCAATGGTCTTGGCAGCATTTGTTCAAAGATCAACGGTACTATCAAAAAACAGAAGTAAATTCATTCAGGACCCAGGTAAGTCACAGCTAAGTCTTCATCCTCCCTATTAGTAATGGCTGCCAGTTAGTGTACTTGGTGATAGGTAGAGGTTTTATTAATCTAGTAATTACTCCATAGGCTTGATAGTCTCTTTAGCAGGTAACTAGACAAGAATTGCTCACTTCGTAGATGTGGAACCACTGCACAAGGCTAAGTACCATGCCTGAATCTCACAGCTGGTAAGTGTAGAGCAGGAATTCAAAGCAAACTTTACTTTGTGATGTGACATTGGCACACCTTGATACTGATGGCTCTTTCCCATCATTCAGCATATTTGTAAAGTCCTCATAATTTGTTGACACACTAAAATAACAGTATTTTATCTCATGAACAGTGCCAGATTTGACTGTCTTCAGAATAGTGTTGCCAGTTAGCCTGTGTTGCAGCAATCCTGGAACCAGATTTGAACTCAGAATAACAATATTACCACAAAAAGATTCTCCAGAAAACAGTCCTTTGTCGAGAACATTTATTAGGGATAGCCTTAGGGTCAGCATGTATGGAAAGGAGGGGACAGGAGTAGATTTGGGCAAAGGGAGAGGTTGAGCTACAGTGTAGTGCCCAGAAGGCCTCAGCCAACCTGGTGGGAGCTTGAGCTGGACAGCCCTTCAGAACTGCCCTGTGTTGGGTGAGAGGGCTGATCTTGCACTCTAGCAATGATGAACAATGGGTTTCAGGCACCATGGAAAGAAATCTGACCTTGAATGAGGCAATTTTCACTCAAGGAGGGATAGCAGGTAAGGGTCCTCTTCCAACAACTGAGGAAGTTGGGCATTTCTGCAGGGGATTTGAACTGCACAGCTGTATATTTGTACTCTTCAGCTTGTTTCTGTTGTTCATATGCTTATGTGTGGCACCCATTGAACTTCTTCAGTAGAAATCATCTCTTAGGAGTTTCCAAAGCACTTCTTTACCCAAGCCTTTTATATTGCAGGATGTAAAGAAGGCTCATAGGACCACCTTTTCTCTCTAAGGAAGGTTTTCACAATGTGACTCTGAAGCATCCTAATTATAAAGCATTGGTCTGCTTCTTCTTTAAACTAGGTGTTTTATAAATGTATTTTAAGCCAAAGATAAAGTTCTAATCATTATTTCCTGATGAAAAAGCTTTGGCTGGCACTAAGTGCAATCCCAACTACTTTCACTATAAAAATTAGCACCAGAGACTGAATTTCTTTTTTTCCCTATCCGACCTGGTGTGGGCTTGAATGTTTCATCAGCTTTGTAACCCATACGCTCTGAACATATTAATGGCACCCCATGAAATTATCCTTTTTTACCTTGATCTCAAGGCATAAGGACAGTGTGGAGGGAACTGGAATTTTTCAGTGACCAAAGACTGGATATATATATAGTCATCCTTTAGTGCCCATTGAGGATTGGTTGCAGGACCCCCAATAGAAACCAAAATCACAGATACTCAAGTCTTATAAAGTGGCATAGTGCTGAGGATGTACAATATAGAAGCTTTTTTTTCTCAAATATTTTTTGATCTAGCCTTAATTGAATATGCAGTTGCAGAACTCACAGATACAGAGGACTGACTACTTACCGAGTTCCGGTTTTGTTTACAGTTCAGGAATGTTTAATTAACTTTCTCAGGGTGATAAAAATTAGAGAATTTTGCATAAATTAGTGGTGTCTCAAGTGCAAAGAATAAACTAGTGTTTTCATTTCAAGTTCATAGTCCTTATCAAGGATTTCACAGATTTAAAATTGCACATTTATTATAGGAAAATTAAATACTTGGTTTTTTGTTTTGTTTTTTGTTTGTTTGTTTGTTTTGCAATGCAGAAAAGTATGATCCATTATTCATGCACCCTGATCTGTCTTGTGGAACACACACTGGTAGCTGTGGGCATATTATGCATGCCCATTGTTGGCAAAGGTAATTTATATTCTTAATATTAGTCAAGAGAAGCTTATCTGAAGGTTCAAAATTGAATTTTTAAGTAAAGGAAATTTCATTCTAGACAAAAAGAATCAACAATGTTGACCAAAAAATTCCATAGTTCCCTAATAAATAATAAATCCATTTGCTTGGTCATAAATTTAAAGAAATAATTAGAAACTTCAGAGTATATCAGATATTTTTTTATCTAACTTTATACTAGAATCTCTTTGTCCCACCAAAGAAGGAAAGTAGATCTGTATCTGATAAGCTAGAAGAAGAAAAGGAGTTTTTATAGTGGGATAAACTATAGATGAGTAATGTCTTTTTTCAGATCTATGGTGGCAGCTCTGGAATCCAAAGGGGTTAATATTTGCTCTGTTACTCCCAAGATTTTCATTACTCCCTGTGCTAAGATGACAAAACCCTAAACTTGTTCTCCCTTAGTGCTTTCTGTGCTTTTACAAAACCAACAGATCAATACCATTACCCTAGCACTGTGCTCACTTAGTGTGAACTGCCCCAAACAAGTAGCCACCAGCTCTTAGGAATGGTTCAGGCAGCAGTAGCACCAAAAAATTTCTGTTGCTGCTTTTGAAATGCTTATTGGCAAGTCAGTATGTTTTTATTTTCCTGTTTTAGAATTCTTACTCCAGTTTGAGTGGTAAAACAAATCACAGTGCCACTGTTAAAAATAATTCAGTTCATTTAAAGTTTTTTGTTTTTGAAATATTTGTGGAAACAGATGATTGAACATGTTGAAGTTTGTGATTCTCATTAAAACAAATTACCATCAATTTTGACGCCACCTGTTCTCTAATTGTAAAGGTATTTTGATTCCGTTCAAGCTAAAGAGCAACGAAGGCAGCAGAGATTGCGTTTGCACACAAGCTATGATGTAGAGAATGGAGAATTCCTCTGCCCCCTTTGCGAATGCTTGAGTAACACTGTTATTCCTCTGCTGCCTCCTCCAAGAAATATTTTTAACAGGTAAATGTTGGCTCATAACATCTTGTAATGAAGCAGCAATTTGTTTTGAAGATAATGAAGTACTAAACCAGCAGGGGAACTCGCCCTCAGTATTTGCATGTTTCCCAGATACTTTCCAAATTTTTATTTAGACATTTCTTCTGGCAGATTTGTGGAATATGATTTTCGTTTTTAGAGAGGACCAGGCAGAAATTTAAGTTTTTTATTCACCCATTGTACTATAGAAGATATAAAATTCCTATGTATTCCTGAAAATCAAGTATCTTCCTTATTTCTAGGGCCCTACTTTAAATATTCTCTTTATACTTCTTAAAGATGCTCAGTAAGACTGTAGAGGCAGGTGGGGCAGCCCATATTCTGATTTTTTTTCTTATGCAGCAAATTTTCCCCTAGCCTGAATATTCAAAGTGTGTCTAAAATATACCTGTAAAGATTTAAGAAATCTTTTGTAAACTAATAAATAACTAAGCTTAAATAACAGTAAAGTACTAAATACTCTCTACAATTTTTTCTAGGAGATTAAATTTTTCTGATCAACCAATCTGATTCAGTGGATTAAAACATTATCTCATCAAATAAAAGCATTACGGGCTCTTAGGAAAGAAGAAAGTATCCCTAGTAAGTTCTGGCAGTCTGTTTTCTTTCTTCTCTGAAGTCTGAGGTGCCTGGAAAATATATTTCCAGAAGAAATTGTTTTAATGTATTTAAAAATGAAACCTCACATGGGAAAATTTGGTTCAAGCCAGGTGTGATGGTGCACAGCTGAAATCCCAGCACTTGAGATGCTGAGACAGGAGGATCTCAAGTTTGAGTCCAGTCTGTGCTACATAGTGGGATCCCATCTCAAAAAATTAAAATAAATAATCTAATTCATTCTAATTTTCTTTCTCTTAAATTCAGTGTAACTCTCCTTGAAAACACACTAGCTCATGAAGTTTATAATGAATACTTCTCACTTATTCTCTCATTCTACTGAAGAGCTTGGGGAATTTGGGAGTCATGACTAAGTAATTGAATCAGCTTTAGTTTTTGGTGGGCAGACTCACTTCACTATCAGCAACCCCAGAGCCCCCCAAGTTTCATAGACCACACACTGCACTCAGTAGCCTGTGGATTTATGTCATTGGTTTTCACAGAAACAAAATAGAATATTCCTTTTTGTTGATGTTCTAGTGTCTATCATATGAGAAAAGCATAGGTAACCAAAGCAAGTGACTTGATCAGCCAGAGCTCCAGTATGTGTCATGCTTTATGTGGGTATCATGCCAGTTTTTATTAATTGGAAATTTTTTTAGGTTTTTATTTTCTGGCCTACATGACTGAAATATTGTATAATACGGTGATCTGTTGAATAATGTATAAAATGCCTGTTTCTGTAGATGCTTCCTCTTCAAAGAATTTAGAAAATATAAATGAATTTCAGCTCCCTGAAGGATTCAGGCCTAGTTTTCATCCTAAGTGAGTATATTATTTTATGTCTTTTTAATTTGGCCCATTTGAAATGAGAATTTAAGTCAGCGGTTAGTGATATGATTTGGCAAGCTAGAGAGCAAAATATTACAGGATACGGACCTTGAATTCTGCAGTAAAGCATTACATACATTTATTGCAGTGTATTGAAAAACCATCAACACACCCAGTGGCTTGTTTCACTCTCCAAACTCTCCTGCTCTGCATTGCTCACCTGCTGCTGTCCCTGTAGCTCATCCCCTTGACATCTCCTCAAGGCATGTAATCTACCCTTCTCAGCTTCCCCACCAAGGCCCATGTTTCCTTCTGACTTCCACATTTGTTTATGGGCCCACCAAACTCTTAGTAACCAAAGACCAAAACCAGAGTATTTCAACCCAATTCTACCCAGTAGACAACTAGTTACAAAGTATTGCTTAGATTTAAGTTCCCAACACCACTGCTTTTAGCTGTGTAACTCTAAGTAAATTACTTAACTTCTCTGTACTTCAGTACCCTCATCTATAAGATGAGAGCGATTCACAGGTTTTATAGGGGTGAGATGATGTTCCACCTAGAAGTTGTGCGTGGTGTGTACTAAGTAACAATAAATGCAGAATGGGAAGGCCTGAATAAAAAAATCAGTCCTGCCTGACTCCCCACTCCCAGTCCTGTCATTTTGTCTGTCTCTTTTAGTATTATCACCAGCTCCTTCTCTCCTTCCTTCCCTGACCCCTTCCTTCCTTCCTTCCTTAATGCTCTTCCACTGGACTACACCCCCAACCCTACTTCCATATTTCCAATTCACCATCTTTTTGTTGACTGGTGATTTCACAGTTTTTGGCAAACCAGTTTTTGTACTATAATTGGACTTTGTCTGATGTAAGTTACGTGCTGTATTTCCTTTCTTGTGCAGTTTGTTTTCCTCTAGTTAAAAATTGCCATGTCTTTTTCTTGTAGTTGGTTTTCTATGTGTGTTTCTAATTCTTTTTTCCTGAATGTAGGCCTGTCCCATATCTAGCTTGTCCAAGTACTCAGACTTGCAGGTGACCTCCTGTCTTAGCGCCCTCCCTCCCCCAAGAGCTTCTGTCCTGCACCAGTCAGACAGGGCGCAGCTTCACCTTGAGACTCTCCTTGTCCGTACTCCTCTTGTGTTCTAAATATGCATCTTCCTCTTTCCTAGTTTACTCCTTACACAGGTGCGTCCTTCAGCAGACTCCTAAGAAAGGATAACTGCATGTTAAATTTTTGTATTTAGTTTTACATTTGGTATATGCTTCCTTGATAATTTGAACATAGAATTCTAGGTCAGAAGTAAATTTTTATCCACTGTTTTTTGGTTTGGAGGTGGGAGTTGTTATTTGTTTGTTTTTTGATTTTTGAGACAGAATCTCACTCTATAGCCCAAGCTAGCCTCAAACTCAATCTTCATTCCTCAGCCTCCTGAGCATTGGGATTACAGGCATGCAACACCTTGCTTGACTCTTCATGTTTTGAAGGCCTTGTTTAGGACCTTCTAGCATACTGAGATATTAATGCCATTCTGATTCCTGTTCCTTTGTAACTTACTACTTCTGGGAACTATTGGGATCTTCTGTTTGTCCCAGTGTGCTAATCCTCAGTATGTGAATCTTTTTCATTCATTCACCTAAGTTTTTAGTAACTCCTTCTAATCTTCATGTCCTTCAGTTCTGAGTTTCCTTATGTGGCATCTTAGATAATTTTCTGCTTTTGGAGTTTCTATTCTTTGAGGTGGTCTGGCTGTTAGCTCACTGTTGGCTGTCTTAGATTGATCCTTTAATTTTCTAATTAGTTGTTGTTATTTTCCCTGGGGTCTTTTTGTTTTGACTTGAACCCAGGGCCTTGCTTATGCATTCTGCCACTGAACCATACCCTCACCCCAGATATTATTTCTGCTTGTTTGTTTCGATTTCTGTCTTCTATGCTTTTCTTAAATATTTATTGGTCGTTAGGTAACTCACTGAATACCTAAAAGGCACATTGGAGCTGACTTGTGAGCCTCATTTGTCAGGTCACCACCAATCTTTTACCCTTAGGTCCCCAAGTATCAATGTGTAAACAACTTTCCTCTGAGGATTCTTCACTGGAAAGCAAATTAGCTCTGTGGCAATGAGTATGCACTGCTAACTCAGAATAATCTGCATGCAGACTTTCACCTGATACCCTGTGTTTAGCCCTGGGCTTCTCTGCCTGACTTCCCTCAGGCTCGGACTGTTAGCTCTCTCCCATTCCCCTTTGCACGCAGCCATCTCCAGGTACAAGTTAAGCGGTTCAACTCCAATATGCGAAAGAGCTGCTAAGAAACCGAACCATTTATTGACGTACACATTGAGCTAATCCTGTATGTGTTCACTTCAGGGACCCTTATTCTGACAGCATAAAAGAAATGCTAACAACATTTGGAACTGCTACCTATAAGGTGGGACTAAAGGTTCATCCCAATGAAGATGATCCACGTGTACCCATTATGTGCTGGGGTAGTTGTGCATACACCATCCAGAGCATAGGTAAGAGATTTACACTTGCATCTCTTTAAATCACAAGCAAATGTTGATTAGAATTTTCTAAAGAATCCTGGTTTAAAGGAATGTTTAAAGTGGACAACAATTTTAAAGAACAATACAAAGATATAAAGCAGGGAATACAGTGTATTGACAGAACACTAGTTTGACAGCTTATAAACTAACCACAGTGGTTGTTACATTTATTTAACATTAGATGGTTGTTACAGCTATTTATTAGTCAAGGGAATCTATTTTTACTTTTCATCCAGAATTAATTCTTGTGAAATGACTTAAAGATTCCAGAACCTAACAATGTTATATTCTGAAGAAAGAATTTAACTTCTTAAAATATTGTAATCAGATATATATAACAAAATTTATCATCTTAACCCTTTTTAATCCACAGAAAGAATTTTGAGTGATGAAGAGAAGCCATTGTTTGGTCCTTTGCCTTGCAGACTGGTAGGTTCCGTTTACTCAGTTCATGAAAGGATGAGATGAAAATTCTGTGGCCCTGCTTCTTCTAAACTGACAAACTGAAATAGTGTTTTAGCTGAGTGTTTGTTCCTTTCAGAGTAAAGTACCTTTCCTGTAAGGATGATGAAGAACTACTGTTTGTGGCTCAACTTTTTTTTTTTTTAAATAGATTTCTGAAAGTAACTAAACCTCTCCTGTCATCCAGAGCTCTTAGTTAAGCTCTTGAAAAGATGGGAAAAATAGAAAACACCATCTACCACATTTGACCATCTTCGGTAAACAAATGTAAATAATTGCAAATTATTGTCAAAGTGAGTACATTTATTTAATACCAAGAAAATGAGGAAGGGACTATACGATCAAGTCTTGATAATTTTTACTGTGTAGCTGGTGTCTGACAGTATCATACACTACCAGGCTTCAAATCATAAAAGTGCCTTTGGGAGCAACAACATCTAAAGTTTTCTCTGAGTAAAACTCTTATGAAAACACCCAGGCTCTACCACAGGTCAATTAAGTGAGAGTCTCTTGAAGTGGACTAGGTATTATTGCTTATCACCTGATTCATTTGCTGACTTTTCGTTCCAATCACCTAGAGTCTCAGACTTTTTTTTTTTTTTTTTTTTTTTTTGTAATGAGATTTTGAACTCAGGGTCTTACACTTGCTAGGCATGTGCTCTACCACTTGAGCCACTCCTCCAGTCCTTTCTGTGTTGATTATTTTTGAGTTAGGGTCTTGCTTTATGCCTGGGCCAGCCTAGACCACAGTCTTCCTATTTGTGCTTCCCTGTGTAGCTGAGATGACAAGATGTGCACCCAGCCATTGGTTGAGATGGAAGTCTGGAGAACTTTGGGCTGGACTTGAAACTCAGTCCTCCCAGTCTCTGCCTCCTAAGTAGCTAGGATGACAGGTTGGGCCATGCACCTAGCTCAGACCCTTTTCTAAAGTTTTAGGAATATGGATTCTGCATCAGAGGTTTTCAGCTGGGAATTATACATTAAAATGCTCTTTAGGGCTTTTAAAAATACAGATACATGAGTCCTTTCAGACATAAGAGATTTGGAAAGTCTGGTAGTACAGCCTGAATTGTCTCTTTATATAAACAGCAAAATGGCATTTCACATCAGTATTGACTGAGATGACTTATCAGGTCAGTGTTGATTATGCTACTTTTTTTTTTTTTTTTTCTCAGCAGTGGAGTTTGAACTCAGAACCTCAAGCTTGCTAGGCAGGTGCTCTACCACTTAAGCCATACCCTCATCTCCTTTCTTATAAAGTTTTTTTTGTTTGGTTGGTTGGTTGATTGGTTTTTTGAGTGCCTTTGGACTTTGAACTCAGGGCCTCACACTTGCTAGACAGGCACTCTACCACTTGAGCCACTCCACCAGCCCTGTTTTATGTTGGGCATTTTTGAGATAGAGTCTCACAATATATTTGCTTGGGGCTGGCTTCAAGCCTGGATCCTCCTGATCTCTGCCTCCTGAGTAGCTAAAGTTACAGGTGTGAGCCACTGGCACTTGGTTCCTTCTTGTAAAATTTTAATGTCAAAGTTAAGCTGGCCTTTTATAAAGGTTCCTGTCAGGTTTTGACTATCAAAGTTTTATTAGCCTTATAAAATGATGTCTAAGAATTAAAAGTTTTTAAGTTTTATTTTTAATGTGTCTATTAGAGATGAGTTACTTCTGTTTCCCTGACATTCTTTCTCCATTCACTTTTCTCTGCTGTGTCAGAGAATGAGAGAGCCGAGGATAAGGTGGTTTATCCTTTCCTTTATGATCTGGAATCCATCCCCTCTCAGGCAGGTGTCTGTCTTTGTTTTCTGGCACTTCCTCTGGACAAGTGTGCTCCGATCCTTCATTTATTCTTGCATTCAAGCTTCTCTTCCTTTTGCCTAGCACCCAAGCTAGGCAGCCCTGAAAAATAATTAAATGCAGATAAAAAAAAAAGAAATAGCACCTGCAGTTTTTAATTTCATCTCATATCCTTCATGTGTCTGGAATCTTATACACAACAAGCCATCTTCAAAGAAAAACATGTTCTCAAGCATCATTTTCTTGCTAAGTGTTCACATTTCATCTCCTGTAGTTTGGCTTCCAACTCCTAACACTTCACTTTTTTGGAAGCAGCTATTGTCAAGCTCACCAAATGCTCTTCTGATTATCATTTTGGGTGGGCATTCATCAACCCTTATCTTACTTGACATTGTACAAACTTGATTTGTGAAATGCTTCTGTCTCTCTTGCTATTCTTTTTAGTCTGCTCTCTCTCCTTCATTGTCTCATTGTTACCTTAAAGTCCCAGAGTCCTGCCCATGACCCCCATCTGTTAGGCTATCCAAATGATTCCTACCCGTGTAACTCCAACCCAGATCAGTTACCACATTGCCTGCTTTTATTTTTTCACCTAGATCTCCTAAAGGTATCAAGTTTCACAATCCAAGTCACTTTTTCTTCCTATATTCTTCTCAGTTAAATGTCACCACTGCCATCCAAATGATCAAGTCAGAAAATTAAGGTCCTATTAGATGCATCATTTGGCCTAGGCAGCTGCATCCAGTTAGCCAGCAGTCTGTTAACTTCTTTCCATTCCCGCCTGTGCTCATCTGGGTTGTCCCATAACACTTCTTGCCTAGACAAGTGTAACTGTCTCTACCTTGTATCTTGCCCTAGTATATTTATTAAACCAAATGACATTACTGAAAATTTGCAAAATAGAGAATAAACAAAAAGAAAACCCTCGCCAACTTCTCACCTGTCCATCTTTTCCATTAGCATGCTTATACTTGATTGCAGCTGATAGTCACCTATAGTTTTGTTCCTGCTGTGTTCCTCACTTTTTTTTTTTTTTCATTTTTCTTTTATTATTCATATGTGCATACAAGGCTTGGTTTATTTCTCCCCCCTGCCCCCACCCCCTCCCTTACCACCCACTCCCCCCCTCAATACCCAGCAGAAACTATTTTGCCCTTATCTCTAATTTTGTTGTAGAGAGAGTATAAGCAATAATAGGAAGGAACAAGGGGTTTTGCTGGTTGAGATAAGGATAGCTATACAGGGCATTGACTCACATTGATTTCCTGTGTGTGGGTGTTACCTTCTAGGTTAATTCTTTTTAATCTAACCTTTTCTCTAGTTCCTGGTCCCCTTTTCCTATTGGCCTCAGTTGCTTTAAGGTATCTGCTTTAGTTTCTCTGCATTAAGGGCAACAAATGCTAGCTAGTTTTTTAGGTGTCTTATCTATCCTCACCCCTCCCTTGTGTGCTCTCGCTTTTATCATGTGCTCATAGTCCAATCCCTTGTTGTGTTTGCCCTTGATCTAATGTCCACATATGAGGGAGAACATACGATTTTTGGTCTTTTGGCCAGGCTAACCTCACTCAGAATGATGTTCTCCAATTCCATCCATTTACCAGCGAATGATAACATTTCGTTCTTCTTCATGGCTGCATAAAATTCCATTGTGTATAGATACCACATTTTCTTAATCCATTCGTCAGTGCTGGGGCATCTTGGCTGTTTCCATAACTTGGCTATTGTGAATAGTGCCGCAATAAACATGGATGTGCAGGTGCCTCTGGAGTAACAGTCTTTTGGGTATATCCCCAAGAGTGGTATTGCTGGATCAAATGGTAGATCGATGTCCAGCTTTTTAAGTAGCCTCCAAATTTTTTTCCAGAGTGGTTGTACTAGTCTACATTCCCACCAACAGTGTAAGAGGGTTCCTTTTTCCCCACATCCTCGCCAACACCTGTTGTTGGTGGTGTTGCTGATGATGGCTATTCTAACAGGGGTGAGGTGGAATCTTAGTGTGGTTTTAATTTGCATTTCCTTTATTGCTAGAGATGGTGAGCATTTTTTCATGTGTTTTCTGGCCATTTGAATTTCTTCTTTTGAGAAAGTTCTGTTTAGTTCACTTGCCCATTTCTTTATTGGTTCATTAGTTTTGGGAGAATTTAGTTTTTTAAGTTCCCTGTATATTCTGGTTATCAGTCCTTTGTCTGATGTATAGTTGGCAAATATTTTCTCCCACTCTGTGGGTGTTCTCTTCAGTTTAGAGACCATTTCTTTTGATGAACAGAAGCTTTTTAGTTTTATGAGGTCCCATGTTGCTGTGCTGCTGGGGTTTCATTGAGAAAGTTCTTACCTATACCTATTAACTCTAGAGTATTTCCTACTCTTTCTTGTATCAACTTAAGAGTTTGGGGTCTGATATTAAGATCCTTGATCCATTTTGAGTTAATCTTGGTATAGGGTGATATACATGGATCTAGTTTCAGTTTTTTGCAGACTGCTAACCAGTTTTCCCAGCAGTTTTTGTTGAAGAGGCTGCTATTTCTCCATCGTATATTTTTAGCTCCTTTGTCAAAGATAAGTTGCTTATAGTTGTGTGGCTTCATATCTGGATCCTCTATTCTGTTCCACTGGTCTTCATGTCTGTTTTTGTGCCAGTACCATGCTGTTTTTATTATTGCTTTGTAATATAGTTTGAAGTCAGGTATTGTGATACCTCCTGCATTGTTCTTTTGACTGAGTATTGCCTTGGCTATTCGTGGCCTCTTGTGTTTCCATATAAATTTAACAGTAGATTTTTCAATCTCTTTAATGAATGTCATTGGAATTTTGATGGGAATTGCATTAAACATGTAGATTACTTTTGGGAGTATAGACATTTTTACTATGTTGATTCTACCAATCCATGAGCATGGGAGATCTCTCCACTTTCTATAGTCTTCCTCAATCTCTTTCTTCAGAAGTGTATAGTTTTCCTTGTAGAGGTCTTTCACATCTTTTGTTAGGTTTACACCTAGGTATTTGATTTTTTTGAGGCTATTGTAAATGGAATTGTTTTCATACATTCTTTTTCCGTTTGCTCATTGTTAGTGTATAGAAATGCTAATGATTTTTCTATGTTGATTTTATATCCTGCTACCTTGCTATAGCTATTGATGATGTCTAGAAGCTTCTGAGTAGAGTTTTTTGGGTCTTTGTTCCTCACTTTAAATTGAGAATTTTCTCATTATTGCTACTTACTTTCCAAAACAGTTTTTTTTAACTAATGAAACCACGTTTATTTATATTAAAAGAATGTTCTGCCTTTTAATTTATGCTGACACATGAGCCTTTTCATATTAACTTGTATATTCTTGCTATTGAGTATGGAAAATTAAATATATAAATACTGGAAGTTTTATAAATACTGGAAGTTTCAATATCTTAAGGAATTCTGAAATTTTTTTATTACAATTTTTTATTAGGATATATTCATTGGGGGGGATGCGCAGTGACAGTTCTGATCAATCTTATATTGTACATTATTTATATTTCCCCCATCGTCTCTCCCCCTCAACCCCTTCCCATCCCACTTAAAGCAATTGCAAGAGGTTTTTTAGTTCTGTTTCATATAGGTATATAAAGTCCATCAGCCATATATTGTCACCTTAATCTCCTTCCTTCACCCTCCTCCTTCCCACTAGTACCCCCTCCCCCATACACACACTGTGCCTATTTTACAGTCCTAGTTTTTGTTATTAATATTTGAGTTGATCTTCAAAGGGGTATTTCAATGCATGCCCACTCATAACAGTTTTTTAATCACCATAGACACCTTGATTTGTTCATCTGTTTTTTTGTGCATAATTTCCTGAATATTTGGAGTATTTCCTACATCTTAAAGGGTCTCTTTAGAGTAACTATAAAGACATACTGCATCAGCTTCCTAGTAGTATGTGTTGACACATGTGCAGGTATTTTCTTTTCCAGAAATCCAGCAGTGTGTGGCAGGAATATAGCTTTTACTTATTCGGCATACAAGTATATGTTTCCTGTTCAGTTTATTCTAAGTTAGAGACATGTCACTGAAGATGTCACAGATTCAATTCCATACCATTTAGAGAGAGTTCATTGTACATACAGCTGTGCTTTGAACTAAAACTCCTTCATATGTTGATTTCTTTGATAATTGTCCGCTTCTTTATTTCAGGATGACTGTCTTAGGTCATTAACAAGATTCGCAGCAGCACATTGGACAGTGGCATCTCTTTCAGTGGTGCAAGGACACTTTTGTAAACTTTTTGCCTGTGAGCATTCATATATTTATAATATGTGTCATGGTAATTTCTCATGGAAAATTTGGTTATTAGCAGTATTAACTTCTCTCAATTATGAATGAAGTATTTGGTAGTACTGTTTTTCTTATATGAAGCTCTAGCTCCTGAATTCATATGTATCTTCCAAAGGATAAAGTTTAAACTAGATTTTACCCACTTTTATTTATATTACCATATGAAACATGCTAATGTATTTTTCCTTAAATCTCTAGCATTGGTGCCTAGTGACAGTTATGAAGACCTTCCATGCCTATTAGACATCGACATGTTTCATTTACTGGTGGGTATCTGGCAGTCAGTTTGATGTTCTCTTATTGTAATTCTTAACTGTAACTTAGATTTGGTGAGTAGTGTAGAGACATGCAGGAGGAGTTAGTCACTGACATCATTCTTACCATTTCTACATTAAATCTTTTATGAGGAGTCTCTCAACCTAGTTGCGAGACTTGACCCGAGTGTCTAAACATGCCCCTCTCATACTTTGCTTTGTGACTGAGGTCAGTAAGTTAATCTCTCTGTGCTTTTAACTTATAAGGAGGTAAAAATAGCACAAGTAACATAAGTGCTACTACTGATTCATACAGTGTTCCTGTGCATTTTAGAAAATCTGGGCAGATACCATCCTGCAGCCACACTACTTAATGGCAGATAGCCCCATTATATGGGCATATCTACTGAGCAGTTGCAACCTACAACCAGAACACATAGCTGGCCAAACAGCCTATGGCCGAATTTTAGCCCTAACTCACCTTGGTCCCCTTACAGATGAGGTCAGTGCCACACACTGCAGCCTCAAGTGTTGTCCCCTAATCCTTGGACCCGAGATTCTGTATCTTCAGGTTTGTTAGTACCCCCCTCAAGGACTGTTTCACAATTTAATGGGTTACTGCATGCTAAGAGATTAAAGTAGTATATCCCTGATAAATGTTACCTGTTACTATTGTTCTCACACTACTCCAAAAACCAGCATCACAGGCATCACCACCCTAGCAGCAGGAGGTACCTGTCTGCTCTCACCTACATTCACATTTGTCTTCATATCCCTACTACCAAGGTATATGGTCTAGTTTTCTAGTAGGGAAAGTACAGCTCAAACATGTTAACTTGTATAAAAGTTCGTAAGTGAAAGATCTGGAGCCCTTCACTGGTGACTGACATTCATAATTCTAGCTACTTGGGAGATTGAGATAGGGAGGATCAGGGTTCAAGGCCAGCCTTGGCAAATAGTGTGCAAGAATACCCATCTCCAAAATAACTAGAGGAAAAATGGACTGAGGGTGTTGTTCAAGCAGTAGAGAGCCTGCTTTGCAAGTGGGAAGCCCTAAGTTTAAACCCCAGACCAATCAAAAAAAAAGAAGAAGAAAGAAAGAAACTGAGACATACCTATGTCTTTTTCCACTGATCACGCCCTACAAAGATTTCAAGTCATGTTTTTATTCACATTAACAATAAGCTATGTGTAGGGAGCCCGCTCGATAAGTGATACTGCCCATCAAGACCCCCTTCTTTTGTTTTTGTCTGTGTGTGTTTGCTTATTTGTTTTTTGCTCCTGGGGAATGGACCCAGGGCCTTTGTCATGCTGTGCAAATGCTCTGCCATTTGAGCTATACCCACAACCCTACCACCACTTTTTTTTAAATAGGGTCTCCATAACTTTTCCCAGCTGGACTCAAACTCATGATCCTCCAGCCTCTGCCTCTCAGGTAGCTGGGATTACAGGTGTGGTGTGTCCCTGTTAATTGTCTTTCTCTTTTTTTTATTTTTGCAGCAGTACCTGGGTTTGAACTCAGGGCTTCACGCTTGCAGGCACTCTTCCACTTGTGCCTTCAGCCCTTTTGCTCTGATTATTTTAGAAATAGAGTATTGCTGTTTGCCCAGGCCAGTCTGGACTTCAGTCCTCCTATGTTATGCTTCCCGCCGTAGCTGGAATGACAAATGTTCACCATCATACCAACTTTTTTCCATTAAGATGGGGTTGCTGGCCTCCAAGTGACTTGAATTACAGACATGGACCACCAGCACCCAAGTCATCTCATTTAGCCACTCCTAGTGAATTTTCTGATGCATATTCCCTTTAAGAACAATGATTTCTTAAAGGGGGAACTAAACTCAAGAGGGGTCTCATAAGAAAATAAAGATGTGTTCAGCTGCAAGAGAAAGGCACTCCTCTGTCTGATGTTCTGGGTTTGGTGTCTAGGTGGGCTTGCTGCTGTCTTTCCCTGCGCTGCAGTGTCAGGATTTTTCAGGGACCAGCCTTGGCACTGGAGACCTTCACATTTTCCATCTGGTTACTATGGCACACATCGTGCAGATCTTACTTACCTCATGTACAGGTAACTCTTATGTTTTTTTGTCAGCTTCTTGAAAGTACTTGAGTTTTCTCAGTTTAAAAAAGTTGTAGAGGGAAAGATGTTTGGGTGAGAATAATGTATAAATTATAATTAGGCTACTTGCTTTTTCTGTTTATTTTCATATAAAAAGTTTTGAATTAAATTTCCTTCTCCTGTTAAAATCCCCTAGCAATATGAATGGTTTTTTTTTAATCTTATAAGTTCATTAATAGCTGAGTAGCATAGTAGGCTAGTCCCTTAGAAATTTATGTGTTAGAATTTAACTTACACATTTGTTTGTATCCTGGTGAGTTCATCATTAGTATGTCTTGCATTCAAAGTTCCTGTTTTTCAAATATTTCAAGACAATATATTTAGCTGATTTTTCCCACTGCATGCTGGCTGGCTCCTTGGTTTAATGGAGATCAGTACTGTGCTCACACTTGAAGAACTAAAATTCTGTGTAGTTTGTGACAATATTTCATGTTATACGTGAGTGTATGGCTATATTTGAGTACTTAACTGACCAATCCTTTTGACAACACAATAGGAAAACAGAGTACTGGTATTTCCTTATCTTTTAGAAGAGAATGGCATGGATCAAGAAAATACCTCTGGGGAAGAAGAATTAGCAGTTCTTGATTTGTATAAAACACTTCACAAGTATACAGGAAGGTAAGATCATAATCTTTCCATGATAGGTATGCCCCACACTTTAGTAGAGGTCAGCATGAGAAAGGAATTCATCCTAGTGAACATCAGGAGAAACTGTGTATTGACCTGTTTAAAAAAAGAAGAGAGCTGGGCACCAGTGGCTTATACCTGTGAGCTACTCAGGAGACAGAGATAAGGTTTTTGAGACCTATTGAAAAAAATCCATCGCAAAAAAAGGGCTGGTGGAGTGACTCAAGCAATAAGAGCACCTGCCTAGCAAGCACGAGGCCCTGCTTTCAAAACCTAGTGCCGTCAAAAAAGAAGAGGACTGGGGTGGTAGAGCACCTGTTTTGCAAGCGCAAGTCCCTGAGTTCAAACCCCAATTCCACCAAAAAAAAAAAAAAAATTATTCATACACTTGACATAATTGGAAATCTCTGAGATAAGAGTAATATGCAGAACATCCCACTTTTATTTGGCATGGAGCTTCTACTTGCACAGAGGATCTGGCACAGACTAGCAAATAGATGTACTTTGGAAAGCTGCTTTTTTGTAATTAAGTTGGCATAGTATATTTTGAAAGTAATACGCAGGAATGGCAGGAGTGAAGTAAAATTATTGTTCTCTATATTGTGGCTTATACTCCATACTGTTAGAGTTACTATGATTTAGTACAGCAGTCTCATTCAGCTTCTTAGCAGTTTACATCAGAACCTATAAAAATGTTTGTTTTTGCTGAGCAAGATGGGACATATCTGTAATCCCAGTACTCAGGAGGCAGGAGGATCTTGAGTTTGAAACCAGCCTGGGCTACATAGCAAGAAAAAGTTTGTTCTTTGTTAAATTATCACATTTCTGAGAATCCACTCTAATAAAGTAAACCTATTCTAAAATATTATGGCATTAATGTTCTGCAAAGCATTTTAATTTTAAGCTTCACATAGTTAACAACTATGTAAGACAAATTACTATGAAAATAGTTTGCCAGAAAAATAACCTGCTGATGTAAGATACTAGAATAATTGGTGGTTTTTTCAATTTCTCTCTTCCTCTCTTTGGTGGTACTCAGAGTTGACCTCAGGGCCTCACACTGGTTTTTCATTTTCAAGTTTTCTTTTCATGTGACTTTATTACTTTTATAAATCTTAATAATAGAATTAGAGGTTATATCACTGTTTATACCTGACATCCTTTAATAGACAAGGCTACAGCTAACCTGTTAGCCCACTCTTTCTAACATAGGTACCATCAGTTCCAAAGGTCAGTTACACTATGCTTTAACTAGAATGACCTTTTCTTGATAATCATTTTCTCTTTTTCAGTGCCTTGAGAGAAGTACCTTCTGGCTGGTATCTGTGCAGGAGTGTCAGAGCTGGAATCATGCCTTTCCTGAAGTGTTCTGCTTTGTTCTTTCATTACTTAAATGGAGTTCCAGCCCCACCCGACATTCAAGGTAACTTCTCATTTCTTTGAAATGTTTGTAGGCTTTTACTCCAGCAGTTTAGAATAAAGGTGATTTGAAAAATGAAAGCTAATTAAAACTTTAGTGCATAGCAAATTGACTATAGTGAGGTACACGTTTCTAGAATTAAAAGTGCACATTTGTCTATATGTCTGCATTTTTATTTGAATCTCAGTAAATACACCATTAAACTTCTGTGGTTTTACATTTGTAAGGCGCTCTTCTTTAGATGTTAAATTGCTTCACATATATTCTTCATAAACTGAGCCCTTAAAATTTTAAAATAAAAAGTAACAATTGTATGTGATTTTTACCTTTAAACTGTGTGGCATGAAAATGTAGAATACCATAACTGCACATAAATCTGACTTTAAGGTGAGATTTCTTAGCTATTTCACAGTTGCTTTCCATGTTTTCTTCTGATTCATTTAATGAAAGCAGTGTAAGGATCAACTTAGCCATGTGTCTGTATTCTGATAGTGCTGAAACTGCGCATAGGCGCCTGTGTGTAATGCTGCTCTCTACAAGTTGGCTGACGGCTGTGCTAGTCATTGCACACGCAGTATTTGCAGTGATGAGTTTAGAGTTAGTGTTTAAATCCTTCTGTCATTATTAAACCGTCTTATATTCTTACATTGCTTATCATTTTTAGAATACCCATACATGACTTTTGTCATTTAATGTTCAACGTAACCCCATAAAGTACATTGAGCAGGTGTGCCATTTTGCAAATAGTCCACCTGAGGCCCAGGAAGTGGTGACCCTTGTAGAAGCTGTCTCACTCCATCCTGTCCATCGTGTTGTGTTTCCCCTGGGTCCCTCCCACATGCCAGTCCATGAGCTTCCGACATCCCTAGCAAGTTTGAATGCTTTTGCCATACTTTGTTTTTGTTTTTGTTCTGTTTTGTTTTTCTGAAGCTCTGCTATTTTTCACTGTTATGAAGAATGTACTCTTAGTTGTTTTATGTATTACTCTTTTCTTTGTCTGCAGTTTCTGGAACGAACAATTTTGAGCATTTATGTAACTATCTTTCCCTGCCAACCAACCTCATTTGCCTCTTTCAAGAAAATAGTGAGATAATGAATTCACTAATGGAAAGGTAATGATTGTATACTTTTCTGCATCATATTGAAAAGTTACATGGCTTTGTCATTTAAAAAAAAAAGAAGTTACATGGGACACTCTTTATTTTATACTCAAATGCTACAAGAGTGAGGACTTGGGGGACTCAATGGTAGAGTGCTTGCCTTGCATGCAGGTGCCCCTGTGTTCAATCAGAAAGGACTTTTTAGCTAAGGATTTGGCTTTGGGGTAAGATTTTTGCCAAGCTAGTGAACAGATTTCTTGGAAAGGGAATAGTGATAGAACTTACTTGGTAAGAGTGGCTTATGCAGGTGCTGGTGGCTCTCGCCTATAATTCTAGCTACTCGGGAGGTAGAGATCAGGAGGATCACAGTTTGAAGCCAGCCCAAGGAAATAGTTTGTAAGACCCTATCTTGAAAAAAAAATCACAAAAAAGGCCTGGTAGAGTGGCTCAAGGTGTAGGCCCTGAGTTCAGACTCCAGTACTACAAAAAAAAAAAAAAGAGTGGCTCAAATGGTATAGTGCCTGCATCGCAAGTGTGAGGCCCTGAATTCAACTTCCACTGCCTCCAAAAAAATTAAAAAGTACCAGAATTAACTAGTCAAATACCCTCACTTTATACTGAGAAAATTGAAGGCTAGAGGAATTAGCCATTCTAAACAAGTCAAGTTTGTGACAGAGGTAAGATAAATGGCTGTTCTACCCACAAAATGTAAGAAAATATTTTTAATCCATATATCTGATCAGGAATTAATATCCAGAATATATGTGTGTGTATGTGTGTGTGTGTGTGTATCTACAACTCCTACAATTGAATAATTAATATAAACAAACCAAAAAGAGCAACAGCCCAACTGGATATGAGTAAAATGCTTAAACAGACATTCCTCTAAAGATATACAAATGGCCAGTAAGCACATAATGTCAAGCTAGACATTATGGTGCACACAAAACACCCAATCCCAGCACTTCGGAGGCAGAGGCAGGAGGATAGCTAGTTTGAAACCAGCCTGGGCTGCATAGTGAGAGCCTGTTTCAAAAAGCCAAAAAAAGTCAATATGACAAGACAAAAAAATACCACCTTGTGTCCATTACATGGCTGTGTGTGTGTTTGAACCCAGGGCTTCGTGCTTGCAAAGCAGGTGTTCTATTGCTTGAGCTATGCCTCTTATCTATTTTGCTCCATTTAGTTTGGAGTTTCATGAATCACTTTCCCTGTCTGGCCTCAAACCACAGTCCTTCAATCTCAGCCTCCCAAGTAGCCAGGATTAGAGGCGTGAGCCACTAGTGCCCAGCTAAGTGGCTTTTTTTTTTTTTTAAGAGGGAGGGGAATAACAAATGTTGGCAAGAATGTAGAGAAGTTGGTATCTTTGTGCACTGAGTATGAGTAGGAAATTATAGTGCCACTGTGTAAAACAGTATGGCAGTTCTCAGAAAATTAATCATAGCATTACATATGACACAGTGATTCACTTATAGGTATATATTGAAAATAGGGACTCAAATCAATACTTACACATGCATATTCATAGCAGCATTATGCACTAGAGCTAGAAGGTATAAAAAGCTCAGATGTTCATCAACAAGTGAATGGATAAGTAAAATATGGGCACACACACAATAGAGCATCACTTGATCTTAAAAAGGAAGCAAATTCTGAAAACACCCACGCACAGGAAATCAATATGAGTCAATGCCCTGTATAGCTATCCTTATCTCAACCAGCAAAACCCCTTGTTCCTTCCTATTAATGCTTATACTGTCTCTACAACAAAATTAGAGATAAGGGGAAAATAGTTTCTGCTGGGTATTGAGGGGGGGAGCGGGAGGGGGTGGAGTGGGTGGTAAGGGAGGGGGTGGGGGCAGGGGGGAGAAATGAACCAAGCCTTGTATGCACATATGAATAATAAAAGAAAAAAAATAAAAAATAAAAAATAAAAAAATAAAAAAATAAACAACATATATTCAAAAGTATAATAAAAAAAAAAATGAAACAGGCTGCAGTATGGATGGGCATTATCTCTTGATCTAATCTTGAGGGCATTATCTCTGTGAAATAAACTTGTCACAAAAAGACAATTACTGTATGATTCCACTTAAATGAGCTGTCTAGCAGAGTTACATTCATGAGACAGAAAGTAAAATGGTGGTTGCCAGGAGCTGGGGAAGGAAGTTAGTGTTTAACAGGTATAGAGTTTAAGTTAAGCAAGATGAGAAAGTTCTGAAGATGTGTTGATGGTTGCCCAACAGTGTGAATGTACTTAATGCCATGAACTGTTATACTTAAAATGTTTAATATGGATCTTCTCAGTTCTGATAATGTGAGCTTCTCATTCATTTAGATTGGTTTATCCAGAGTGTTCAGATTAGTGGGTTATAAAGTATAGAGCTGCAAATCTTAGTATATTAACCATTCTTGCTTTTAGAAAATAAATACTCTTCTAATTTTAAAATTTTGCAAGCAAAATGTGGTATTTCTCCAGGCTTCTTTAGATGAGGTATATGCACATTAAGTCAAGATGGTTATTTCCCCTTTTTTGGCTATAGAGAGGACAAAATTCTAGTTCTAGCCCTTTAAAAATAAAAATGTTTTAATTTTTCTCCCCCATTACATTAAAGTTGGTGTCATAACAATGAAGTTAAACGGTACCTAGAAGGTGAAAGAGATGCCATAAGGTAGGTTAAAGGAAATAAAGACTTGCCTGGGTGTGGGTGGTAGGGAGACACACTGTGGATGTAAGTGCTGTATTTCATCAAAACCAGCTTCCCAAGACTTCAGTGATTCCAAGAGGTAGGAAATCTCACTTCTACACTTTCTTCTCAATTTGCTGATGAGAGTTTATAAATGTCAGAAGTAAGAATATAAATATACTAACTACATTATTTTTAGTAGCGAAAGCATAATTATATTTTGGAATATTTTCTATAAAAAGTGTAGGTTCTCATCTAGGTTTTTCTTAGCTCTATTTTTTATGTATATTTATTATGGAAAATTTCAGACTACTCAAAAATAGAATAGTACGAGGAGGCTCTACATGCTTAGCATCCACCTTTAGTAACAAATCATGGCCAGTCATTTTCATTTTTATTTTTTCTTCATTCCTTTTTGCATTAGTTGTACTCTGATTACACAGTAAAGTGATATGCCGTGTATTTCATCTGTTAGTATTTCCTTGGTCCTGTTAGTATACTAGCTATAAAAAACCAGAAGATCAGAGATGATTATCTGTTCTATTTGCTTGCTTTTACACATCCGGAAATGGTAGCCTAATTTTATTAGGTTGAACCATATGAAGTTCCAGTTTTCATAAGTCAGAAGGGATCAGATATCACCAATTTCAACCCTGCAGTCAGAAAAGTCTTAATATATGGAACAGTAGTCCTGCATCAGAATGACTGAGGAAACAAAGTGTGGCTCAGATGGTAGAGTGCCTGCCTAGCAAGTGCAAACTCCTGAGTTTAAACTCCAGTACTGCCAGAAAAAATAATGATACACCACTGCCTACCAAATCTGATCTTCTAAAGTTGAAGTCCTAGCACATATGTGCCCCTCAGAGCTCCCCCATTTACTTATAGTATGATTAAGAACTACTGTCTTGGGCTGGGGGCATGGCTCAAATGGTAGCCTAACACCACCCAAAAAAAAAAAAAAAAATCTGCCTAAAGTAATTCCCCCTCAGTTGAAGCCCACTCTTTGTCTTTGCAGTAGGTGATTAGTGAAAGGCCATCCACATTCCCTTTGCTGGGCAGGTGTATGCACATGGAAGTGCCTCACACTGACAGTGGGTCCTCAAATACTGGTTGGATTTGGGTATAAACTTTTTCTGAATTAGCTTGAGTCAACATGTCTGGGTACCTCTAATTTAAAGAAATCAATCCATTCTTCTACTGTCTTCTGTCTCCCAACTCATTTCACCTTAAGATCACCCCTACTAAGCACACCCCTTCTGTCTTCAATATCCTAAACTCTGTGGTTAGGCTCACCATTACTGTGTAGTGTAGGCAAAAGCTAAGAATGAATTTCCTCGTCTGACCCTTCCCTTCTTCCTGTAGTTACCAAAGTTTTGCTTAAACAGGGGAGATTCTAAGTACCATCACTGCTGTTTTGACCACTTAATTCTGAGCTCAAGTAAAAATATGAACCCTAGCACACTCATAAGAGTGCATCTTTGGTTCTTACTCTGGCTTGCATCACTCTGGTAGCATGAAATCAGTCTTTGGTTTGACTAAGCTAAGAGTTAAGACAAATATAACCTCCTATTAACTGAGATCTTTGAATTTTTACTTTTTTTTTTTTTTTAGCTATCCAAGAGAATCTAACAAATTAATAGACCTTCCAGAGGACTACAGCAGCCTCATTAACCAAGCTTCCAATTTCTCGTAAGTTTTTACTAGAGCATTGAGCATGCCCTGCCACTGGAACACTCACCTTCCTACAAGGAATTTGAGGGATTTGCTTGTTGTGCTTTGTTGTGTTTGGGTAAGAAAATGATAACATCGGCAGTACTTTTCTGTTACCTAATCTATAAAGGCATCATTCCCCACCATGGTTCAGAATAAGATGTGGTGAGGGGTAGCAACAGATAGGTTTTATTAATGAAGGGTTATCTAAACAATAATTATACTTTAATAAGAGCCCTTAGTAATCTTAAATACATGACTAAATGTTTGATGTATAAGCAACATGAAGAATGCAATACTGTAAGAAATTAACCATTACCTAGACAATTGAGCTCCCTGGGTAACTCTTCTCTGTTGCCTTCCTTCCCCTGCACCCTTCCTCTGCAGTGAGACATTCCTGTCAATCTGCATGTTAACTGCATAGACTTACATTCATTCCTGAACAGCCTGGGTTACTATATTACATGTTTTAAGCTTTATTTAGTGGCACTGTACTGTACGTATTCTACAGCTTGTTTTCACTGAGCATTTTCTAAGATTTATCCATGTGACATAAGGAATTTTGTAAGTTGTTGCTTTTCACTGCTTTTCACTGCTGTATTTTATTATGTGATGATTACACTATTTATCTTTTTCTCTTATTGATAATTTTATTTTACCTTTAATTGTTGACACCTTAAGTGTTTCTAGTACATGTATTTTGTGTGTCTGTATAAGATGTTCCCCATTCCCACGGGGTATAAGCATTTTGGTTCCACTTAATGGTGCAGATTATTTTCTAGGGTGGTTTTCCACCATCAGCTCCTTAGCCACTCTTTTTTTAGAGAAATGACTTGGTGTCTTTGCCCCATGGAGGTGTCCCAAATCAGGTGGTGATAAGAGCAGAGCCCCAACTCTGTGCCTTGTGTGTGGAAGTCTGCTGTGTTCCCAGAGCTACTGCTGCCAGACGGAGCTGGAAGGAGAGGATGTAGGAGCCTGCACAGCTCACACGTACTCCTGCGGCTCCGGGGCAGGCATATTCCTGAGGTAAGGACTTGCTGGGGCTTTCCAGCACTGGTTCTGTCCCATATATGCCTCTCGAGGGACTGGCACAAGAGACTTTTGAAACTGCTGTTCTTAGATGTGTGTTTGAAGAGCATGAGGGTCCTTATTTCTCACATCTCTCATTTGGCTCCTGCAAGCTTTCTGTTGGCTCTTCCATGATTTGTCATTCCCTCTCCCACCTCTGCCCCCCATCAACAACTCTGTTCTACTTTCTTCATGCCTCTTTTGTCATTTGACACTTACAACTGGTCCTGATCTTCTTCCCCAGTCCAGTCAGAACTATTCTTTCTGTTGTGTCCTTCTGGCTTTTGGATTTGGCCTCTACTCATGCATCACAGGCTGGCATGTGCTGTGCTCATTCAACAATATACAGTAAATACTTTGTAAGTGCCATGTAGTAGGCACTGAGAATGGGGTAGTCAGCAGAACAGACAAAAATTCACTGCCCTGGACTCTCCTAGGGTTTGATCCTTACCACCAAAAAAAATTCTGCTCTGGAGCTCATTTTCTAATGAGAGAGAAAAAATTAGATTGATAAGAACTTAAGATAGTGATGTATGTTGGAGGAGAAAAAGCAGAGAGAAACATGAAATGGTAAAGGAAGAGTTGAATTTTAGATCCAAGGATGGGGATGGGGGCTCAAGTACTAGCAGTAGGCACTGAGTTCACACTCGAATACCGCAAAATGTCACATTCTTAGCTCCCTAAGGGAGTTAAGAATGTGACATTTGAGTAAAGACCTAAAGAAAGGGGGAGAACACCTAAGCAGGAGCAGCTAGTAGTGCACAGTTGCTGGATGGGAATGTGCCTACATGTCAAGACAAGGAAGCGGGTGTCACTAGTGTGTGAGCAGTACAGAGAATCACAGGGCCTGGTATGTCCTTGTGACACCTTTAAGTGAGATAGAAGCCATTTCAGGGTTGAAGTAGAGAAGTGACATGACTGTGAGCTCCTCGGGGCACAGGTTTTATCTGTACCTTAGTCATCTTAGTATCCGCTCAGGGCCCTGACAATTTCTTATACATAGTAAATAATTCTCAATAAGTGCTTGTTGAATTCAGCTGAATTATTAAATAGCTATTGGGAGAAGTACAAAAGAAGTATTTTCTCTTGTCTAACATATTATAAGTTCTTTTGATTCTATACAACATCTGCAACCTAATTCATAATTTTTAAATCAATAATTTCCTCATAATAATGATTAAAATAATCAGTGCCTATTTCTGAACATAAAATAGATGTTCAGAAGTAAGCTGTCTTTCTCATACTTAACCATTTTTTAAATTCTATTTTTTGAGCCCTGAATTCCTACACCAAGGTATGACTATATGGATTTGCTGTATGTTACCAATTATACAGTCATTATAGTTATTCTGAAAATTTAGGCAGATGGATTGATACTTTTAAATATCTCTTTGCTCTAGATGTTTTTCCCCTTCTAACACTGAGTCTGTTTTTGTTGTTTTGTTTTTATAGAAGACCTGAATCCAAACCTTGGTTACTAATGTATAAAGTGTAATGTCTGAATGATCTTTCTGCAGAGTACGGGAATGTCAGGTGCTATTTTTAGCCGGCAAAACCAAAGGCTGCTTTTATTCTCCTCCTTATCTTGATGACTACGGGGAGACTGACCAGGGACTTAGGTAAGGTCCCATCCTGGGGACTGGGTGGCCTGACCCTGGGCCTCAGAGCCATTCTCTGCATGGTGAGCCATGTGGATCCTGAAGTCAGCCCTGCTGACACCAAGGGCTGGTGCTGGCAGAGGTGGCTATTTTATCTGTGGACTCTTGCAAGGAGGACATCTGGCTGCTTGCCTTGGTGTTCTTTCCCAGCCTTGAAAACGCCTTGAGGGACATCAGGATAAATAAGAGGAGAGAAGAGGACAGAGGGCATCTGATGCCATCATCGCTCCCAAGAACTGTTTAAATTGCCTCCCCAGCCTTAGAGTATGAAAGAGGTGGCCCTTCTGACCTGTGTGGCTTTGTCTAGGGAAGACCTGGGCTTCTCCAGGTGATTAAAAAAAAAAAAGAACAATTTTTGCCTGCTACGAGATATGCTTATCTTATTACATAAGAATCTGGGGGGATAGTTTAGTACATACAGAGCACTACACAGCAGCACTTGAGGCTTAGTCACTTCTACTCTGGTAGTTGCTACTGCCAAAGTTTGCTACTCTGGTAGCAAAATGCTAGCCATTTACCAAGCACTATAAAAGAACTTCATTAGACCATCTCTTGCCCAGAGGAGATAAAAGCTTTAATGTAGATAGCCTGTCCAGGCTTGAGTAGCCAGAGTTGGAGGCCTGAAAAGCCGGGGAAGGTAAGTAGAGAAGCTGCTCTAGGCACCTGAGTCAAGGTTACGCCTATATGCTATGTGGAATGGTTCCTCCTACTTTCCTGAGGAGTGTGAGCTCTAGGAGGATGGTCCCGGCTCGACAATGCAAGGATTGGTGCACTCTGAACAGGCCACAAAGGGACCAGGCTCAGGACCAGGGACCCAGGTGGGAACCCAGTGAAGCCTGCCCTTGTGGTTAAGTTACACCTGGCGGTTACTCAAATTTGGCTGCTGCCCTGAGACTTGAGGCTAAAAGACAGCAACCTGAGGAACATTTAGTAATTCTCCTTTTGCCCTCTCCTCTGCCCCGCCATCCTTTTTATATGTCACCCACAAAATGGACAGTGAGTATTTTAGCCTATCAACCCGGACCCCCTGTTCTCCCATTCCCTGAACCCTCACCACACTCAGGATGTTGGTGAGCTTAAGTGCCTTCTCCTCCTCTTCAGCAGATACTTCCTTCCTGTCACCTGTCATAGAGCCCTGTAGAGCTCACATGCTTGCTAACAGCCAGTCACTGACTGAACAGAAGTTGTGCAGAGGATCTAAAATCAATAACTTGTACTGTTCCTAGAACAGGAAAGGTTGGAGTGTAACAGGTGAATAAACAAAGCATCCTGAGTGACACGTGTCTTCTTTCTAGACGGGGAAATCCTTTACATTTGTGCAAAGAGCGATTTAAGAAGATCCAGAAGCTCTGGCACCAACACAGTATCACAGAGGAAATCGGACATGCACAAGAAGCAAATCAGACCCTGGTTGGCATTGACTGGCAGCATTTATAATCGCTTCACTACCAAAAACATGAACTTGGAGTTTTGTATCCTAGTTGGCTTTTCAAGAAAAAGAGTAGGAAATAAGTTCTGCTGAATTTTGAAATAAATTCTTTATTTAAGCTTTCCTTTCCAATTTTATTTTTATAGTTCTGGCTCCAAGGATTGATGAAAATTAATTTCCATCAGCAGGTTTTTTTGCACTGTTGCTGTGTCCCTCAAATGTCACACCTTGGGTTTAAGATCCAAGGAGGAGTGTCCCTTCCTGGACTGGAGCTCAGCACCTCTTGAAGTCTGACTGCGCTGGCTTGCCAGTAGTCCAAGCCACTTCACATCATTGGTTCTAGTGAATTTGGGGCTGACTCAGCAGAGGCAGGAAGCAAGTTTCTCTGGCCCATCAGGGACATACTTCCTGACTCCTTAGTGACTTAGCACTAAAGCTCACTTGGCGTTCACCTCTGCTGACGGGACCCTACCTCTCTCTCTAAAAGCAAAGCAGTTGAATTTGAAGATGGGATTCCCTTCTCTGCATTGTCTGAGACAGTTGGGGGCACTCAAACAAGAGTGCCTAGGGAGGAGGTAGCTTCTTAGTATGCTGTCTGGCTTTTTTGCAGCTATGGAAGATTGATCTTTTTGTTACTGTTTTTTCTATTTTTGTTAAGACTTTGGCTTTGAGAGAAAAACTCACTTAAAATGGCTTTTTGAAAACAAAGAATCTCCTAATTTTTCAGACAAAAATGGTCTGCATTCTTTCTAAGGCTAAACTGAGAGAGTGCATGCATCTTGAATCATAGTAGCAAAAATGTGAGACTGCAGTGTTTTGAGGTTCCCCACCCTATCCAGGATTTCCTGGACTAGATGAATTGCTGCTTACCTACTGGCTTGCTTAGGACATTCCTGGGACAGTCTGCACCCAGGCTTTTTATTCTTTTTAAATATTGTTCTTACTAAGAGGTGCCTTCGTAGAGCGTTAGCCACTTAGTAAAGGAGCTTACCATATAGCCCTTACTATATAGCTACTCGAGTCTGATATCCATGTACTGAGAGCTTGACTACACAGAGTGACAGCAGATTTAGTAGAGGAATGAATTCTGAGCTCTGAAGTAGGGCTGAGGGACAGGTGAATAACACATGGCTCTTGGATTTTCTAACCAACGCAAGCAACCCTTTTACTCAGCTTTTTTGAATCACATCTGCAAGTTCTGTTCCACTCAGCTGTGCACGTTTCACAGTGTTCCCTGGAGGAAAGCCTGAAGTTCAGACTGGAGGCTAAAATAGGATGCAGAAGCCACATCTCTCCAAGCTCATGTGTGAAAGAACCACCTCCTTTGAAAGCATTAGTTTAAATTAACAATTTTGCTTGGGACTGGCTCATGCAGCTAAGAGGACATCCAACAGGAAGAAAATCCAAATTAGAATCTACCACGCTCTCCCTTTTTCTGGCCTTTCTTTCCTTTATGTAATCTGATTATTTGGACTGTGGATGGCATAATTAATGTTTATTTTGGACTTTGACACATGCAGTTCTTTAATGTTTAAGTTAAGATTCTTTGAGCTTTTCACCATGCTTAAACTCTCTCCCCTCCTCTAAGTGAATTATAAATTATAAATATCTTCACAAATCATGGCAATACTCCAGTTTTCAGGCCTGACTTCATAGAAGCCTGGTGTTGGCAAGAGAGTGTCCTGGATGTATTCTCTGATGATGTTGGAGAGTCTAGGAGGTGAATTCACAGGAAAATGAAACATGCACACTCTTGTTTTCCGATGTTAAACTGGTTATCTTCCCTACCAATGAAGCATATGAATTTTATGATTTGTTCCGCATGTTTTATGTTTATTGTAGAAATGTATACATCATGCTTTCCATATCAGGGAAATCCTATCTGTTTAATAAATTGGCTATAATTTAATATCTGTGGAAAACTTGTAAAATTTGGAATGTATCATATGTAAAAAGTTTAAAGATACCCAAATAAATGCTTTAGGCATTGACATTACTATGGGTTTGCTTATGTCTTCTTTCTGTTGTTTTTTGTTGTTGTTTTTTTACACACTTAAATGTCATAGCAGTGCTCCCCATGTCACCTTGCAAAAGTGGAACATCTGTATTAGCTTGAAATTTAAGAGGCTTATATTATTAGTGTCAGTTATGGCCACTAGCTGAGCCATCTTGACCCTCCCATAGAAAGCTTAGTCATTATTTCTGCTGATCAAGTTTCATATTCATTGCCTATGACAGCTTGTGACTGTCACCAGACACTTTCTGCTTTTGAGACATGTATAGAAAGGAAGCTGTATTTTATTCAAAAGAGAGTCATTGCCTATGAGAATTCTGCAGTGCTTTTCAGAATCTTCTTAAAAGGAGAACATCAAACTGAAATAGGGTTTCCATTAACACTTGCTGTACCTCCTGATTATCATGAGTGCCCAGCTGACTCTGGGCCTGGCTTGCCTTCAGTTCAAGGACTCACTGAGCCCTCTCTGACTCATTCCTTGCTCTATCCCTATTTTGTTGCAAAGCCAGAGTTATTGAGGTATAGTTTACAAACAGTGAGGTTAACCCTTTTTAGTGTTCAGTTCTGTACGTGTTAAGAAGTATGTACAGTTGTGTAATCACAGTTGAGAAACTGAACCGTTCCAGGTTCAGTTCCCTGGTGCCCCTGTGTAGTCAGCTTCTCTCCCTGTCGTGCCACCTGGTTCCACTGGTTTCTGTGTTCTTCCAGAATGTTTCATCAGTGGAGCCTTCCAACTATGCTTCTCTAGCTCCGTAGAATGCAGTCAGAGGAGGTTGTGACAACATTCCATTGCCACCTGTTCTTGCACTCACCAAATAAGGGGCGTGTGATTTTTGGTGATGATTTATCGGTTGCCCCACTGATAATCACGTGTGGGTTTTCGTGTGGACCTAAATGTTCTATTTCCTCTTGAGTAAATACCTAGTCACCCCGTCTATCATAATCCACTCTGTAGCGTTGGGGCACAGCATTCTCTCATCTCTAACTTTGCTGTTAACATTTATCCTCTGTTTTAGGGGACAGGATAAAATGCCACCGGGAATCAAAGACATGTTTTCTCCCTTCCAGCCAATCCCAAGTCCACTGAGGACTGGGAAGACATGCATCCCATCTTCCCTGGATTTCCATAGTGTTCTACAGACACATTCCTATTCCTCACACTGCCAGCAGGAGCTGTCTTTTCAGCCAGCTAAGCTGAAAACCTGCTGACCTAGCATAACAGGTGCCCTACGAGGAGGAGTGACAAGCAAGCAGCTAATCTTATTCGTGTATATTGAGGTCACCTGGGGTTTATTTGCTGGCAGCTCAGCCTTGGGCTTTGAAGCTTGTTGCAAGAAGTGATTTCTTGAGCTGAGGCTACAAATTCCAGAAAACCTGCCTTCCTAAATATTTTACATAAGAAGCCATCCCCTACTACTTCAGTATGGAGTATTTTTTAAAATGTCCACCAAAGACAGAAGGATCACTGATCAAGGCCACCCAGGCAGTTACTGCCAAACCCTATCAGAAAAACAAGCTAAGCAAAAGGACTGGGGGTGTGACTCAAGTGATAGAGCATTTGCTTAAGCTTGAGGCCTCAAGTTTGATCCCCAGCACATGTGTATGTAAACAGATGTCCAGGCTGGGAATGAAACAATGATAGAGCACTTAGCTCCCTCAGGTCAATCTCCAGCACGTAAAAAATAATGAATAGGACTGCAGACGTGGCTCAAATAGTAAAGTATTTGCGTACTAAGCTCAAAGCCCTGAGTTCAAGTCCCAGTACTACAACAAAGAAAAAGATTGGCCAGGTACTGGTGGCTTACATCTGTAATCCTAACTTCCCAGGAGGCAGAGATTAGATGGATTGTGGTTTGAGAACAGCCCAAGTAATAAAGAGACCCTATCTCAAAAATATCCAACACAAAAAAGTGGAAGAGCACCTATGTAGCATGCATGAAGCCCTGAGTTCAAACCCAGTACTGCCAAAAGATGATGACAAAGTCCTAAAAGAACCTGTGTATGTCCCAGAATCTTACCGGGCAAAAGGGATGGACCAGGTTTCTCTAGCAAGTTACTAGCTACCTGAGACACAGCTAGCCCTTAGTCTGCTCTGAACCAGCTGATGAAGTTTATCACAGAGTCAGTTCATACTTGGTCCTCCTAATTGCTTTCGGCTTCTTGAGTTGCTCGCATCTTCCCAATTTCCTGACCCCTGAAAAGTCAGATTGACCTATGGGGCATTGGTGGGGAGGGTTTGACCTTGGGAGAAGGGAAAAAAAAAGGCTTGATTTTTTTTTTTTTTGGGAGGTGGGGATGGTGCTAGGTATGAAACCTGGGGCCTCACGTGTGTGTTGGGCAAGCATTCCACCACTGACCTACACCCCCAGCCTTAGGTTTGGAATTCTTAAATCGATAAATTAAAATGCCACATTTACAATTCAGCTTCAACTCAAACTCTTAACAAATATTAAAGATACTTCGATGACCTAAAAAATCATCCAAGGTGGCTAGAGAAGAACCATGATATCTAGGCCATGTTGGTGACACTGATCCTTAACAGTGCTCCTTTTTGGAGTTGGTTTCTGTCCTTTTTTTTTTTTTTTAACAAATCCTAGCTAGAGTTGGGTATTCTGTGACATTCTGTTGAATGGACTAAGATAATCATTTAAGTAATTTTCATATAGTTTTTAATATCTGTTACACAACTGTTGACAGCATAGCTACACATGTTGGGCTTAGAATAGCGCTTTCAGGATGGTCTCTCAGCATTCCTGAGAGACCCCGGTAGCTAAAGGGCCCTCACCAGAGGTGGCTGGCTCGGCATTCTCACTGTGGATCCTTCCTTGGTCTCAGAGACTCAGAAGTCCAGAGAAACCACAATCTGATGGGTATCCAAACATCTTTGATCTGTCTTCTGCATGGGAGAAAGCACTAGAATACACCGAGGCAGCACCAAAAGTCAACTTTCTTTGTACTGAAATTTTTAGATCAGTAAACCCAAATTCGGGCCAAAGTAACTTGTTTCCAAATGCCATTGCTTGGTCAAAACAGTGGTAAGTTACAATGTCCCGTTCTCTTCTACCTCTGGCTTTGCTCTCCAGCCAGACAGGAGTAGCTCTCTTGAATGTTCAACCAGCAGAATTACACTGGTCCCTGCTGTGCTCCTGACCCCAGGAGCCTGGGTGCTGGTGAAATCGTGTTTTCTCTCCTGAAAACGTGACTCTTTCTGCTATAGGAAGTGAAATCTCATACAGGTGCTAGTTCAGAAAGACTGTCTCAGAGATTCATCTTTGATGCAGAAGCATTCCAGAAATAGTGCTTTGCAAGATGGGGATCTGGGGAAAGAACCAGGGAGAAACTCTCAGAGAACTCCTTGCCCTCCACTGCAGGCAGAGTTGTAAACAGGGTCAGTCATGGCCACCTCAACAGGTGTCACCGGGCCCACCAGGAGGTGAGGCCTGGTCTCCAAAGGGTGGACGCTGGTCTAATTGTTGCTCTTCTTCCACAGCAGGACAGCTAGAAAAGTGTAACTTCCCCACCTTCTGTCATTAAGCAAACAAAATGACCAGCCTGTCAATCTTGGCATTCAAAACAAAACAGAACACAACATGGCCATTACATTTTCCAGATCTTGTGTTTATGCATCAGGTGATGCTTTGGATATAGAATGGAGGAACTGGGAACTGAAAAACAGGCAAACGCTCAAGAGGGAACAGTCCTCGGTGTCCACAGGAACTGAGAAATCAGTGCTGGGAGAAAGATGAGTCCTGGGCCAGTCATGCCCTGCGAGGCCCCAAGGGCACCTTAAGGACACATCCCAGAGCAGAGGGCCTTTGGAGTGAGTGCCTATTCATTCACATTTGGAGTCAGCCATCGCACAAATATTTGCCACATGCTTTAGAGACCCTGAACTTTAAATCCCACCATCAAGAAAAGTCTGAATTGGGCTAGGGATATAGCTCAGTGATTGAGTGTTTTTGCCTAGTATGCACAAGGCCCTGGGTACCACCAAAAAAAACAAACAAAAAAAAAAATCAGAATTCTGAGTCTGAAGGTGGCCAGCCTTCTTAGGAGATTTGGACTTTCCGTTGGACAAGGGGGGTAGCCACATTTCCTGGAGTCCACTACTGAGTGTTCAGAAGGGAAGGGAACCTCCCCCCCTTAGGCCATCACCCAGCCTCAGGGGCCTGGCCTGCCTCTGCACCCTCGGCTTCCACCTGGTTGCCCTTGCCCAGCTTTTTCAAGCTCTCCAGAAAGGCCTTCCAGGTCTCGGGCACACTCTTCTCCAGCAGCCAGCCCTCGCTGTCACACTCAGGGTCCTCAGGGTTAGATACACTTTCCAGCGCCGTGTGCAGGTAGCGCAGCCCAACTGTGACACTCACCTGATGGGAAGAGAGGAGACTTAGAAGAGGAGTGGGGGTGGGAGCCGGGAGCCACCAGCCTGTGCCTCCCTGGGGGTGGGAGCTAAACTGAGGGGTACTGTGGAGTCTGGGTTGGTGAAGGCTTGACTCACCCCACCCCTGCTTCAGTGCTCAGGGTTCCTGCCTCTTCCCCAGCCTCATCTCAGGACTAGTCCTCCCCCTCCTGTCACCCCTTTTTTCTCCTCTCTACATATTTACCATCTGCCTTTCTGGCTAAACATATCGCTCTCCATATTCACCTTGTAAGCTCAGAGTCAATCTAGGGTGAGTTCCCCTGCCATTCTCCCTTCTTCCTGGGTCCCCCATCCTGGGCTCACTAGACCTGGGTTCCTTCACCACTGTGTCCTCCTCTCACCCATTCCCAGAATGTTCCTTGGCAATATTGGGTGATCAGCACTTTCATTGGGTAGGACTGAAAAGTCACTTCTTTCTCTGCAAACCATGTGATGTGTGGTTCCTCTTTCGTTATTTTGATGAGTGTAGTAGTGAATGGATACTACCAATGGATCATTTGGATTTGTTCACTAGCACTCACTGTGGCAGTCTCTGGTGCCAGATGCTTGGGCTGGAACCCCAGCCTGACACTTAGCTAGCCATGTGACTAGAAAACCATAGCTTACTCTTCTGGCTTGAAGATTTTTCAGATGAAATGGCACCTGCCTCACGTGACTGCTGTGATGCCACGGTATCCATACAGCGCAGGGTAGGAAAGTAGAAGTTGGCTGTGATTGGTGGATTAACTTGGTAAGTACTGTTTTCACCTGTCCAGGAACACTCCATTTACCATGTATTTCTACCCAAGTTCCTGGGTCATGCTCTTCTACTTCCTGTGTGACATGGCAGATGCTGTGAGAAAACAAGGCCACTCCAAGAGCAGAGCTGGCCTCTATGCCTCTGGAACACCCAGCATCCCAGCTCCTAGAACAACACCAAGTGGTAGTAGCACCACCCAAGAATGCTCTGGAGATTATAAATATGATAGTGCTTAATGACTAGTAACTGACCAAGGTTTAGATTTTGTTCTTGTTACTGTCAATTGAAAGTTTAATAAAATGCATTAACAGTGAAAAAAGTCACCTCCTCCTGGAGGTCCTTGTGATGAGGGCATCCCCTCTGACTCCCTTAGCTTTCCTGAAGGCTGCAAGGTGAACTTGGCACTTTACACTTGGCAATGGTCTCCCTTTGGTTCATAGGTGATGTCATCTCCTGACTGGCCATGAAAGGCAGGAGGTCATGGCTAAGGTCTGAATCTTATCATTAGCTCTACCACCCTGGTACCCAAGACAGCTCTGCCCATTAAAGGCCTAGAGGAAAAATTGGGGATGTTCAAACTCTCTGTTCCCAGGGAGCTGGTTCCAGTGAGCCAGATTCCTATAAAGGTGGTGAGCTGAGAGGCAGTAGAACTCCATTTTTCCCCTAACTTCTGTTGTTGTTTCAGAAAGTCTTCTGGTCAGGTGCTGGTGGCTCACACCTGTAATCCAAGATACTCAGGAGGCAGAGATCAGGAGGATTGCAGTTCAAAGCCAGCCCAGGCAAATAGTTTGCAAGAACCTATCTCAAAAAAGCCCATCACTAAAAAGGGCTAGTGTGGTGGTTCAAAGTGTAGGCACTGAGTTCAAATTCAGTACCGCAAAAAAGAAAAAGTCTTTTTTTTTCATGGGTTTTGGAGAGTCCTGACCTCACCTTCTAGTAGTAAAGAAGTCCTCCTTATACTTACAACTCCCCAAGACTGTGCCTCACAGAGCCAACAACTAGTAACCGGTCATAACTATACCATGTTTACCTCTACATCAAAAGGAGCTGTCTGCTGGGCGCTGGTGGCTCCCTCCTGTTATCCTAGCTACTTGGGAGGCTGAGATTGGGAAGATTGCCGTTTCAGGCCAGCCTAGGAAAGTAGTTCATGAGACCCCATCTCCAAAATAACCAGAGCAAAAAATGGTGTGGCTGAAGTGGGAGAGCGCCTGGTTTGTAAGCTCAAAACCCTGAGATCAAACCCCAGTCCCCCTGCCCACAACACACACACACACACACACACACAAGCTTTTCCAGGTGGCACTGCCCCCCTCTGGCTTCATGTGTGTGTAGCACCACAGGCATGATACACCCTACTACTCTCCATTGCACTAGAAGAGTGACCTACTTAAAGGAAACTTCAGGGAAACTTCTCTGGAGAAGAAATCTTCCCCACCTACTGCTTCTGGCTTTGTGCATTTGGATTTTGGAATCTGGATTTTCTGCTGTCAGAGTAGCTCAAAGCAGGCACCCTGAGTTGCCCCTGGCCATCCTGTCTCCCATTCACTACTGCATCCTCGTTCAGCACCTAGAACAGCTCCCGGCACGTGGTTTGAGAATTCTCTGAGGGCTGGCAGAGGGGCTCAAGTTGTAGAGCACCTGCCTAGCAAGTGTGAGGCCCTGAATTCAAACCCCAGAACTGCAATTCAACATATTTGCTGGGGGCTTGGCACATTTCAAGCTCCGTAGCTACAAAGAGAGAAACTAAGCCTTGCAAGTAACGTAAGGTGAACCCAGAAGTCATTAGAGTAACATGTAAATAGCGGCCAGACATCAAGAAGTCCCCAAAGCTAAGGGAAGCTGTCCTCTGAGGTGAAACAGCTGTCCAAGGCCTCAGAAACCAGCCATGGGCACACAAGACAAACCTCCAAGACATGCTGAGTGAGAAAAGGCCAACACAAAAGGTTACACACTGTGGGTTCATTTATCTGTGTCCAGGACAGATAAGTGACCCCACAGAACAGAGACTGCTAGTTGCCAGGGACCGGTGTGGGGGCAAGTGAGGAATAACTGCTGAGTGGGGACGAGGCTCTCTTTGGAGGTGATTGGAATGTTCTGGAGCTAGATTGAGGTGGTTGTTGCACACCCTTGTGAGTATGCTGGATTGTGTGCTTAAAAATGACAAGTTTATGCCAACTTACTTTTTTCAATAAGTGATGGAGCCCCAGGAACTGTGGTACATGCTATTTGAGAAGCTGAGTTTGAGGTCATCCTGGGCAAGATAGTGAAACCCTATCTCAAAAATAAAAGATAGGAGGGCTGAGAGTGTAGCTTAGCCTAGCACCTCCCTAGCGTGTGAGGCCCTGGGTTCCATCCCCAACACTGAAAAAAAAAGGGATGGGAAACAAAGCGAAGTGGAAGGAGACACTGGGGTTCAAATCCAGGGCTAAGCCACAGGAGGGAGGCTGCTTTCCGGGCCTGGCTCCACCCCACTAAACCAAGAAGGGCAAGGTGCTCCCTGTCCTCCACCCACTGGCCTACCTCCAAGAGCCAGGCCAGGAGCACAGCGACACCCGTGGAGTTCATGAGGCTGCTGTAGTAACTGACCAAGGCGGCCCTGCAGCCACGCAGCCAAAGGTTGAGCTCCTCTGTCTGGTGGTCATAGCTGTAGTGTGCTGAGTTGTTGGTGAGCTGGTACTGGATGCAGGGTCGCGGCGAGTTGGGGTTGCAACAGCTGAAAGGGACACCATCCACCAGATACCGTCCATCCACATTGCTCTTGATGCGGCTAGAGGAGAGACAGAAAGCCTGATTGAGGCATCCTGGGCTTCTCACCAAGGTGCCAGACCCTCCATCCCTGAAAACCTACGTCACAGTTCACACAGTCACTGTGCGCTGGCCCGTGCTCTCGGCACCAAACAGAGTAGTGAGCATGCAGCCCTGCCTGTCTGCAGTGTGTTCTAGAAGTGGAGGCCGATGGCAAACCAAGAGGCAATAGAGGACATAGAAACTCACCTGACCACACTGTACTGCCAGGCCCAAGCCTACGAGATCTTCTTGGAAGTGTGCCAGGCTGGTAGGAAGGACAGGCAGTGACATGGAGAAGGTCTGGCCATCATTCATGACTGTCAAAATTTAGCCACTAACCGCCTCACAAATCTTTTCCTCTCTCAAGGATCTTCATGGCCAACACCTCTTCCAGCCACATGTGCAGAGGCAGTGGATGGATACCAGAGGGCTTGCCTTTTGCAAACTCTGCCCGGCTGGTGGGAGTCCCTTACTCACTTGAAGGATGTGCTGCCCCCTCACCTGTCCAGACCAACCACAACACTCCCAGCAACTTTTGCATCTGTATTCATGTATGCTTCTCTAGAATACACTGTACATTTACCCTAGTGCAGAATTCAAAAGAGATCTTTTTTTGGGAGGGAGGGGGGGACTGGGGTTTGAACTCAGGGCTTTGCACTTGCAAAGTAGGTACTCTGTCACTTGAGCCACACCTACAGACCATTTTTGCTCTGGTTATATTGGAGATGGAGGTCTCAAGATCTTTCTGCCCAAGCTGGCCTCGAACTGCAATCCTCCTGGTATCAGCTTTCCCAGTAGCTAGCCAGCCTTCAAAAGGTATTGTTACAGTGAAGCGCTTCCTCTCGCCCTCAGGCAGGCTGGGTATGTTCTACCTGTCCTGGGTGTGGTTACCCAAGTGTCTGTATGTGGCAAAATTCATCCAGCTGCACACTTGAGATTTTGCACTGGACTGTGTATGTCTTGTCTCAAGTGAAAAAGCTTCCAGCCAGCCTGCATTACATAATAGACTTTTAGAATAGAAAACATGTCATTGTTTAAAACCAAGTATTTTCAACGATGTGCATTGGCATGATAACTGTTCTCTTTAAAATATATCCATGTTTAGCTTCTAAATACAATCTCCTAAATACAAAACAAGTGTCCCACCTTTGACTCTGCCTCCAGGTCCCACCACTACAGCCATCCCCACCTGTCCTTCAGAAAGGCCTCACGCACAGACAAGCAAGCTCAGATTCTGCAAACCTCATGTTTTCTAGGGTTTTTAAAACTCAGATGCTAATGTGACATACATACTGCTGAACCTGCCCTTTTTCCCTTAGCAGACCCTTTCCCATCTGCCAGTGGAGAGGGTTCTAGATGTTTTGCTAGTGTGTAGTGAGCTGTGTGGTGTGCCTATATTGAAGTTGATCATTGAGGTTTCTGTTGGGTTCTATCCAGTTCTATACTAATAGATGTTTGGGGTTTTTTTTCCATTCTCCTGTTCATACAGCATGGACTTGGGTCATTGTGCATATGGCACATATTTCTACATAGTAAATTTCTAGAAGAGGCAAACTATGTCTGTGGGTGATCTCGCCAAATCGCTGCCATATTTCTCCTTGGGAAGCTGTACAGTCACACTGACCAGCCATTCATGGGAGAGCCTGCTTCTCACAGCCACACCCACAGGGTCTGACTTGATCATTGCCAAGCTAATAGATGAAAACTAGTGTCTTAAGGTTGTTTTAATTTCCATTTTTCTCTTTATGAGCAAAGTTAAGTGTCTTTTAAGCATCACTTGTGGTTCTTTTTGTATGAACTGCCTGTTGATTTCCATCTAGTAGGATTAAGACTTCAGGAAGGCTACATATGGTGGCCTGGGTTACTGTGGCCACATTTCCACCTGCCTTTCATCCCTGACCTCTACTGCATGGGCAGGACATACTGCCTGCATTACAGGTGGCCCTGGGTTGCACAGGCATGGGGCAGGGATAAGAGCAGGATGACCCAGAATTGACTCCTGGCCCTGCCACAGACCAGTCCCATCCCTTTGGACAAGTTCCTTTGCCACTCCCTGCCTCAGCTTCCTCATCTGTAAAATGGAGGTTGTATGAGGACTGTGTGTGTAAAAATGCCTGAAGAGGGCCTGGTATGTGGGAGGTACACAGTAAACATGAGCTCATGGGTGAGGGCTGCCTTATGGGTAGGTGCTGAGAACTCCTGGCTGAGGAGAGTGACCTGCAGTCGCTTCTCACAGGAGCCTGTCTTCCTGGCAGAAACCAGGTCTTGCTCAGTTTCTCCCACAACCCTGAGATGGCACCCCAGCTGTGTAGGCCCTTGGTGAGAGCAGGTAGGTATGCCCTGGGTAGGGCTCAAATGCTGTTCTACCCTCTTCCTCATCTGCAGACTATGCCTTGAGCCCTCTCCCACACCACAGTATTCCCTGGAGTCATTCCCAGTGTTCCAGAGACACGGGTGGATGTGGCAGAGAGCAGACCTTGGAGTCCCAAAGCCATGGGCCTCACCCTTTCTGGACCAGTGTGAGGTGGTGAGGATGCTGTCCGCCTCTCAGGTGATGCAAGTAACACATGTGACCAAGCTTGTCCAAGCTCCCTGGACCCTCAGAAAATGTTGGTTCCTCTCCACTTAAGAGTTGTTTGTACAGGATCTTGAAATCCATCAGAATTTGGTGTTCTACAGAAGAGTAAGTGGAACTCGAGCAAGGCAGAGCCTGACTCAAGCCACACAGGAAGTCAAAGACCAACCCACAGTAATTTCACACTTAAATTCCCCATTGCCTCAGAATTTACCCACCTCTCCACAACTTCTGGCCTGTTGGCTTTTCTAGTTAAACTCCAGGGAACGTGTGATTTCTCTTCCCTGTTACCCATCCCAAAAACCATTGCCTAACCACTTTCACCCATCCTTACACCTCCTGCAGGTGTCCCTCAGTTGAGGTAAAGCCTGCATACCTGCCTCATACATATTACAGGTGTACCTGAAGTGAGGGCCAGGCCTGCAGCTGAGGTGAGACTGAGGCCAGCAGAGCTCTGAGCTGCCCATAGTCTATAGGCTGCCCTTCTAGACAGTCTCTTACTCCCCACCCTCACCTACCTGACCCCCAATGGACAAGTCACCCTGGGGCTCCATAGAGCAGGGCTATGTTTCCCCTGAAGCTGGGCTGTCTGAGGACAAGGGCTGTATCGCCATCAGACTGGGGCTCCCTGAGGACATGTCTCCCTCAGAGGCTCCCTGAGGACAGGGCCGTGTCTCCCTCACATGGGGGATCCCTGAGGATGAGGCTGTGTTTCCCTCAGACAGAGGCTCCCTGAGGATGGGACTGTGTCTTACTCAGATGGAGGCTCCCTGAGTATGGTGTCTTCTTACCTCTTCCCTTACCACCTGCAGTACTTTATGTCTAGTGACTACTCAAAGGAGAAATCTTTCTTTTTTTAGATCAACTGTATTTTTATTTTTGGAGGTACTGGGGTTTACTCTCAGGCCCTCATGCTTGCTAGGCAGACACTCTACCACTTGAGCCACTCCACCAGCCCTCAAAGGAAAAATCTTAAAAGAAATATGAAACCCTTGCCATATACCAGGTGCTGTACATATGCTCTTGCACTTAATGCCCACCATATCCCTGTCAGTCATTTATATTCTCATTTTCCAGATGGGCAACTGAGGCTCAGGAGTTGCCAAGGTTCCAGCCATCACTCAGCTAGCATAGGTCTGGCTGACTTATCATTGGTTACACTCCTGAGTCCCTCACTCCCCTTCCCACTAATTTCCATATGTCTGTCCTTACTGATTTATTGACTCATCTACTAAATTGTTTCTCAAAAAAAACTCTGACATGATTATTTGCCCAAGTTCTATGTGGCCTGGCCAGGGGGAGCAGCCTAGAACATAGGACTTACCTTTTGTTGTTTTTCTTTCTTTTTTTTTTTTTTTTGTGGTTACAGGGTCTCACTATGTCATCCAGGCTGACCTCAAACTCACAATCCTCCAGCCTTAGCCTCCTGAATGCTGGGATTATAGGTACTACATCAGACTCAGGCCTTATTTTAATCAAGATCCTACAAGCCCTAGTGACCCCCAGGAGAGCAAATTGGTAGCCTGGGAAACACTCTCGGATATAAATAGTCAGCTCACCACCTAAGGAGCTTGCAGCACCTGGCTTTGTCTTAAGAGGTGAGTGAGGCCTTAATCTGTGGTTGGAAGGAGAGGCAGGCCCTGAGTAAACAAGGTGACACCCCTGGAGGGTGGTGTGGACAGAGGTGTGGGACCATGAGGCTCCAGGCTGGGTGCCCAGAGAAGTCCACCTCCACCAAGCTTGGCCCATCCCCACCTTCAACTGGGCTCCTCACTCAGGGAACCCCAGTCTAAAATAAGACTAAAATAACCCCAGCCCTAAAATCAGATAAAATCACTGGTTGAGAATAACAGGTGTGTCTTCCTGACGCCTGGCTCCCGGGAACTCAGGCCCTGAAGGAGGCACCATTTCTGGGCTTGTCTTCTGTTGATGGCCTCCTCCAATGATAGCAGAGTGCGTCCCTCTAGGCCCACCCAGAGTCCCCAAGCTGGGGAGGAAGTGAGATGCAGAAGTCAAGACACAGTGACAGCCCCATTTACCACATCTGGGAGCCCAAGGAGCCTGGGGTGATATTTTTGATTTTGAGGGCTGCCCCCTAATTATCTGTGACCCTGGCATAGGAATACAGTCATAATCCACAGATGCTTTTCAAGCTCATCTTCTCTGCATGACCTCTCATTTCTCTCTAGGAAAGGACATGGAAAACAAGCCAGAGAAATCCAGGAAAAAAAGGGAAAAAGACAGATCGTCTCCCCACCAAAGCAGTCTGGAGGTTTCTGTCAGTAGTAAACAAACATTCATTTACTGATTCCCCTGAGAAATCTCCAAAAGCAGCCCACCCCTCCATGCTTGCTGAGGCCATGGATCTGTCCTCTGGGGAGCCAGGCTCAAGAACCCAGTAACCCCAGTTCTGGGCTGGACTGGAGAGGCTGGGCGGTGCCAGCCTCAACCTTCTCTTGCCTAGTCCAGCATGGCATGCATCACACAGAATCCACAGAGCTGCTCCAGGGCAGAGCCTGCAAAAATGACAGGAAATTACATAGCCTCAGGTGGGGTTCTTCAGGCATGTTCTCCAAATCATCCACCCTCTGACCAGCTCCTGCTCCTGGGGTCACCACCCCACGTCCTTGGAGTCCAGAGCATATGAGCCAAGCCTCTTTGCTGGTGTGTCCAAATTCAGTGGAAAAGGAAAAAGGAGAATTCCGCTAAAAGTCTCTTGTTGGGTGATTACCCTGCTTCCTCTTTCTAGGCCCCATCTCTTTGCCATCAGAATCCTAGCCTGAGGAACTGGCATGATGGCTCATGCCTGTGATCCCAGCACTGGGACGGCTGAGGTGGGAGGATCACTGGTTTGAGACCAACTGGGCTACCTAATGAGAACCTCTCAAAAAACACATCCTAGCCTGAGGATGCTGCCACAAAAATCCAGAAGAAAGAAGGTAAATACTTAACACTTCTCAGTGCTTAAGATCTCAAAAAATAAAGAAAGATACTTTGGCCGGGAGTCCTGTGACCCTAGTTACTTGTGAGGCTGAGATCAGGAGGATCATGGTTTGAGGCCAGCCCAGGCAAATAGTTCTTGAGATCCCATGTCCAAAATGACCAGAGCAAAATGGACTGGAGGTGTGGCTCAAGCTGTAGAGTGCTTGCTTTGCAAGCATGAAGCTCTGAGTTCAAACCCCAGTCCCAACAAAAAAAAGAAACATACTTTGTATTTTCGGGGGAGGGTTTTGGGGAGCCTGCTTTGTCACATAAACTTATTAGGACTCCTAAATGAAGTAGTCAAGATCCAAATACAGAAATAATCTTTTTAGTTCCCTCGGGGGAGAGGCAAGTGCCACTCCACACCCTCTCATTCCTCCCTCCCCTGTTCTTTCAATCATTCAGGCCCTAGCCCTCAGGAAAACACAACTATTAGAAGCTTTCTGGACTGAACCCTCCCAGGCATTGTCCACTGGTTGCTAATGTAAAAGTCTATGGGAAATGATTCGGACTGTGCCCTTGGGCACATAGGTGATTCTACTGTAGTGTGAGGTTCTAGAGGGTTTGAAAAGTAGAAAGGCAAATCAATGCTACAGCTGTATCTGAAGACTGCTAGCAGGTAGCTTCCTTCCTAGGAATTTAGCCAAAGTGAAATAAGAGAACCAAGAGCAGCACAGGGCTCAATGAGGCCCTTTCTGTTACTTAGAAGCAAATAAGAAGAGCCTTCCTTGGAACAGTATGTAGCAATTAAACAGGATTGTGGCAAACTTTAATGCAAATGTGATAGATCAGATTACAAGATGGAGCACTTGGTTGCGTTTCTAATTTTTTTTTTTTTTTTTGGTGATTCTGGGGTTTGAACTCGGGGCCTGCTAGGCAGGCACTCCACCACTTGAGCCACTCCACCAGCTGTTGAGTTGCATTTATACTATGGTTACATCACATCACTATGAAGGTACTAACAAGACTAGACTGAAATGTGGAAAAATTAAAGCCATCAACCAGTTGTGGGTGAGAAGCTGGCTTTAATTTCTTTTCCTGCTATTGTTCCTCTTAATATAGTCGCCATTTTTTTATGTGTGAAATAGAGAAAGTTTTCTCCAAGTCAGTGGAGTTAGGATAAGTTGGTATGGGGCCTTGAGGTAGTTTTGATTAAGCTAAATGTTTGGGTCCACTGGTCACTGAGATAATGACTTGGATAATTTCTTCACTCTGAAATGAAAGGGATTTGTGTTATAGAGCCATTTTTGTATGTCTCTCCAAAGACTGGTTCTCTGCAGAGGATCATAAAGAGAAATGACAGAGGGCTGGGGATATTGCTCAAAAGTATATGCCGGGCATGCCCAAGACCCTGGGTTTGATTCCCTAGCACTTAAAGAAAAAAGTTTCCAGTAAATTTTTTTTTAAGAAAAATAATAGAAGGACATGAAAAACACCTTCTCATCTACTCACAAAGGCTGGTTCTACCATGGCCTCTTGCACCCCTTGGCTTCACACCCTCCTGGTGACTTAAGTAAGCCATGCCACCTTGTGCTGTCCCTGCAGGCCTATCATCTGGGAAGGGCAGAGCCTGTCACAATCCTCTCTTGGGCTGGGGATTTGCAGTAGTAATCTGCATCCTGAGAAAATAAAATCCCAGGCAGTGACCTTCACTGTGACTTCCCTTCCACCTGAGGGCAGCTAAGCCAGCTATCTAGGGTTCAGTAATGCTGTCTGGACTTCAATATATTCTGCTGTTGTGTGACCCTCAAGTTCAAGTCCCCCTTGAACTTGCCAGAAGAAAACACCTGGTTGACCCGTGGTACTGTAATGTCACCCAGGCAGTGTAGAGTCAGAAGAAAGGAGAGGTGGGGAGAGTGTCTGGCTCAGGGCAGCCTGCCCTTCTCCTGGAAAATCACTCCAGACCCAAGTTGGCATCTGTCTTGGGAAGGGCAGTGGCTGAAATCAGCACCCACACTGGGATATCCAAAGCGAAGGTGATTCTCTCTCTTACCACTGCCCACTCCAGGATTTCATTTACATATGCCCAGAAGACTTCACAATACTTTATCACATTGCACTATCATGATTTAAGAGATAAACACCAGCAAGCATTTAATGAGCACCTGCTGCATGCCAGGCTCTGGGCAGAGTTAGGAGGTGAGCTCCAAGGTCACCTACTCTAGTGCCTTCACTTCAAAGTTGGACAACAAAGGCCTGACGTGGAAGGGACCTGCCCAAGGTCACAGCCAATTAACAACAGAGCCAGAGCCACAGCCCAGATCTGCCTGTCCTCATCCTCTGCTCCATACCCACTGGAATATGGTGTGGTTGGATTCCACCATATCCAGGGAAAAATCCTTGGGAGGTGATGCTTGGTCCTGAAAGGTTGGAAAACCAGGGAATGAGTGAGGAAATTGATACTTCTGGGACTGAACCCACCTCCTTTGATTGAATGAGGCAAGAACCAAACAATGCCTCCTAACGTGAACTCCGAAGGAATGCATCCTTACAGCAGACACATTCCTGTCTAGATCTCTCTCCTGGTGACTCCTACCCAAGCAGCTTCGATAACTTGGCACCTTCCTCCACCTCAGCCAACTGTTAGGCTGGGCCATTTTATGGACCACAGGTGCCAGGATACTGGCAATTTCGTACGGTCCAACAGTATGTCCCTCAGTCCACTTAACAGCTGTACCTCCAACAGGGAAGAAAAGTCGCCGGAATCAGAGGCCTGGGCCTCCATGACCCCGGGGCTGAGGCTACTCACTCTTTGACATCCTTGGAGGAGAAGTCCAGGTAGCGATTGCTGATCCACTGAATCTCAAACCAGTCCCGAAAGCCATTGTTGCCACAGCACTTGAATTCGATCTGCAGCATGTCGATGGTCTTCTTCATGAAGCACCGGCCAGGGGTGTCCGTGTCCCGGTAGTACTTCATGCCATTCTTCAGCCCATAGGCCAGGGTGCTCTCCAGGGAGCCCCGCAGCAGAAAGCAGCAGAGAGCCACGAGGAAGAGGACAAGGTTGAAGAGGACACAGATGGCCAGGTACAGCTTCAGCCAGGGCTTCCACTTGGCGTACTTAGCGGGGTCCAGGGCATCATAGCAGATCTTGCCAGCCAGAGAGTTGAAGATACAGGACAGCACCCCCACCCCTATCAAGGAGTTGGGCACAAAATGACTCTCGGAATTATTCATCACTTCACTCCTCTTCCGAAGTTCGATCTTCAAGAACAGCCCCAGACTGAAGATGATGGTCCCAGCCAACACAGACAGCCAGTTCATGAGCCAGAGCCCTTGGGCCAACTTGACCCGCTTCTTCTGGTCAAACTTGACTTTGAGCAGCGCCATCCTTGCTAAGTTCAGTCCAGGCAGCCTCCCACAGCACAGCTCCCACTCCTAATCTGAGTGAGCTCAGGGGATGACCACTCAGGGCCTCGGGAAGGGTGCAGAGGGCCTGAGTTGCAGGAAGCTGTCCTGGGGGTTGCCCATGTTGGGGTTCCCTAGCCTGGGACCCCCTGTTAACTCAGTAGTGGTAGCAGGGGCCAGTCTGGGGCGTCGTTGCTGCAGCTCCCTTCCTAGCCAAGCAGGGACAGCCTGAACCCTGCAGATTAAAAGTGGGATCTACAAAATGTCTTGCTAATCTCTTTAGTAGGTTCATCCCATTAGACAAAGCCGTGCCAGTCTCAAAACACGGCCAAAGGGGGCCTTTGCACACATGCCAGACCAGAGAGCTCAGGAGAGGCAAAAGGGCGAGACTGGCCAGAGGAATGGGCTCTATCTACCAGGAGGGCTAGTTCAGAATCTGTCTCCCAGAAGCCTATTTCCTGGCCAGTCACCTTCAAAAATTAAAACTTCCTGTGGGACAAAAGGCATCATAATCCAAGTTGAAAAGAAATGAGAGATTGTGACAAAACATTTGCAATACCCAAAACTGAGAATTCATGTGCTAAAAATTTTAAATCTCACAAATCTACAATCAAAAGATCAAAAATCTGCTGGTGTATGGCTCAGTGGTAGACTACTTGCCTAGCATGTGTGAGGTCCTGGGTTCCATCTTCATCACTGCAAAAAAAAAAAAAAAATCAACTGGGAAAACAGGCAAAGGACAGAACAGAACAGGCAGTTCATAACAAGGAAACCTGGCAAGTCCAACAATCCAGAAAAGATCTTGAACCTGAGTAATATGCAGGGAAATGCAAATTAAGCAACAATAGAGACCTAGAGACCAAACTCATCCATCAGATTGAACATGTACCCAAATTCTGTCACCACACAGTAACATAAAGATAGTGGAAATGGAGCTAGACCCTCTCTGCATTTCTAATTTATTACTTTATTCTTTATTTCAGGTGATACTTGGGTTTGAACTCAGGGCCTCACACTTGCCAGGCAGGCAGTCTCCCACTTGAGCCACTCTGCCAGCCCTTTTTGCTTTAGTTACTTTGGGGCTAGAGTCCTGCATTTATGCCAACGTCAGCCTGAACCATGATCCTCCTATTTCTATTTCCTGCATAGCTGGATGGTAGGCATGCACCACCACACTGAGCTTTTTATTGGTGAGATGAAGTCTCACTAAATGTTTTCCCTGGCTGGCTTTGAACTGTATTATAATAATACTCTATAATTTTTAATTAATAGACTATTTCCAAGAGCAAGTTTAGGTTTACAAAAAAACTGAACAGAAAATAGAGTTCCCATGTACTACCTCACCCCAACAAGTTTCCTGTATAGTAATACATGGCATGTTTTTTTTAATGGTTCTGTGAGTTTTAACAAATGCATAATGTCATATACCCCTCATTATCATGTCACACCACACAGAGTAGTTTCTCTGCTCTGATGGTCCCCTCTGTCCACCCATATGCTCCTTCTTCCCTCCTTGCACAGCCTTCGGCCACTACTGTCTCTGTCATTTTGCCTTTTCCAGAACGTTACGTTGTCTGAATCATACAGTATGTAGCCTTTGCAGACTGCTTTCCACCAGCAACATCTTTCTGTGACAGCACAGATCATGTCTATTTACCACAGAATAATATTTGATTATACAGACATGCTAGTAAGGAGCATCTTGCTTGCTTCCCATTTTTGGCAATTAGGAATAAAAGTGCTTATAGTATCTATGTGCAGGTGTGTCTGTGGACATTGGGTAAATATCTAAAAGGATAAGACTGGATCATATGGCAGAACTGTGTTTAGTTTGGTGAAAAATTGCCAAACTATCTTCCAAGGTGGCTGCACAATTTGGCACTCCCACAAACTCCTCTTGCAGCACACCCTTGCCAGTATTTGGTATTGTCAGTGTTCTGGTTTTAACCATTCTTATGGGTGTGCAGAGGTATCTCCTTGCTGTTTTAATTTGCAATTCCATAATGACATTTTCTACTGAGTATCTTTTTATATGTTATTTGTTGTTTGTATATTTTCTTTGGTCAGGTGCCCTTTCAGAACTTTTGCCATGTTTTAAGAGGTTTCTTTTATTTGTTTCTTTGATTTTATTTGTTTCTTTGGTTTTATTTGCACTCAAGGTCCAGCTTCCTTGAGTAGCTGGGATTACAGATATGCACCACAAGACCCAACCCACATTGTTCACAGTCTTTTTGGCTCATTCATTAATCCTTTTTGTTTGTTTGTTTTCTTTTGTTGGTACTGGGGTTTGAACTCAGGGCCTCACATTATTGCTATGCACCTGAGCCGTGTTCCCAGCCCTGTTTACAGCCTTTTTGGAAAGAGGAACTAGCTATCTCTGTTACAGTTTAAATTCACATTCACGAGGACCCAGTAATTCTTCTCAATCAGCCCATGTATAAATAAGAACAAGGACTTAAGAACAAACCAGTCTTGTCCTGAAATTCTTATCTACCTAAAACCAAGGAAGGTTTCATGACTAGAATAAGAGGCTCAGAGGTCAAGACAGCAGGGGGGTCAAATCTCCAATCTGCCCTTCTGTGCATCAGCTCCCCAGGACTCACCACCAACACGCTCCTCTCTAAGATCTCCAGGTTGCTGGCAGAGTCGCTCAAGGGGTACAGTATCTGCTTAGCAAGTGTGAGGACCTGAGTTCAAGTCTCAGTGCCACCAAAACAAAAGATCTCCAGGTCACCAGGTAAAACCGCAGGAGCATTTCTCCACAACACAGGAGGGGTGAGAACAAAGCCAAGAGGCAGGAGTTTTCCCTCCAACAGAATCACCTTGGGAAACAGCAGTGTTCCAGTGCTCAACCCAAATTTAGACTGCAATTGGCAACTCCAAAGCCAAACTCCAAAACAATCTTGCTATATGTTGTCATGCCACATTTTACCCAGGGTAACTTCTCTTCTAGTAGTGAAACCTTAGTGTAGCTTTGGATCTTCAAAGCATTCCAACTCTTTCCCATCAAAGACTTTGAAAAGAATGTGCAGAGCTAGAGGAGTGGCTCAAGCAGTAGAGCACTTGCCTAGCAAGCATGAGGCCCTGAATTCAAACTCCAGTACCAAAAGAAAGAAAGGAAGGAAGGAAAGTAAAGGAAGGAAGGAAGGAAGGAGAGGGAAGAGAAGACGAGAAGAGGAGAGGGAAGGATTGGGGAGGGGAGGGGAGGGGAGGGGAGGGGAGGGGAGGGGAGGGGACAGGAGAAAAAAAAAATGTGCTAGCCAGGTGGTAGAAGCTGCCTGTAAACTCAGCACTTGAGAGGAAAGGCAGGAGGATCATGAGTTCAAGGCAAGCCTGGACTACATAGCAAGATGCTATTTCAAAAGAAACAAACACAAGGCTGGAGAATGTAACTCAGTGGTAGAGCTCTTGCTTAGCATGTGCAAGTCCTTGAGTTCAATTCCAAGCAGCACCAAAAAGAATGTGGGGCAGTTTCCGGATATGTTGCTTTTTTGCTTTATTGTGATTTTTTTCCAGAGAGGATGTTCAGATAACCAGAAGTATGACTAGACTCCTACATCCTGCACAAAAAAAAATCTACAGACAACTTGTCTGAAATAGGATGTGGATGACAGTGATGCTAGCTCGGAACCTCTTAGGAGCATGGTGTGGATGAGAAAATCAAAGGGCGGGAGAGGAAGAAACACTTGCTGTAGAAACCAGAGGACAAGAATTTTAAAATAGCTCTACAAGATTAAGGGGATTAGGCCTCTTTCTTCCTGACAGGGAGATTGTAAACCGTGAACACAGGGCCAAGCCTGTGTCAAGTCTGTGAGTGCCCCCTGGTGGCCAGGATGTCAAATTACCAACAAAGGGCAAAGAAAAAAATTAAATGTCTCTGGCCAAAATTTTGAGAATCATTCAGAGCAGGAGATGGCGATGGACAGGGAAGAAAAAGTGTGGACTTCAGAGGGAGGGTTAATGACTCTTTTGTGGATAATGGAGGGCTCCCTCCTCCTTCTGGACAAATAGAAGTGAGTCTAAATGCTATACATTATTAAAAAGGTAAGATAGTGTCTCAAAAAATAGAATTAAGAGCGATTCACTTTTCTTCTTTAGAAATTCCTAAGAAATTCCTAAGATGATGAAATGATACAATTTTTAAAAATAAAGGAACTCAAGACATGTTCTCTCTGTATCTTCTACCCAGGGAAGAATATGGCTGACCTCTGGAGTTTGCTTGTACAAGCAGTGCTTTTGAACATTTGTGCATGTCTGGCAAGAACTCTCCAGTTTTCCCAGTTTGCATCCCTGATGAGAACTTTCTGAGAAAGAGACTGCGAATCTTCAATGGCATTATTTCTTCCTTAATGTTTGATAGAATTTACTGTTAAAACCATTTAGGGGGTGTTCGGGTGTAGCTCATTGGTAGAGCATTTGCCGAGCATGGACAAGGTCCTGGGTCCAATCCCCAGCACTGCAAAAACAGAAAAATGACCCAAAACAAACAAACAAAAAACCAACCATTCGCACATTTTCTTTGTGGGAAGGTACTTTTGTTTTTGTTTTTATTTTAATCGGTGCTCTTTGGGGGTAGATTGGTTGGTTGGTTGTTTTGAACCAGGATCTGGCTGTGTTACCCAGACTGGCCTTCAGCTCCTAGTCTCAAGTGATCCACCTGCCTCACCTCCTAAGTAGCTGGGATCAAACCCAGGGTCTCATGCATGATGCTGAGCAAGCTCTCTACCACTGAGCTACACCCCCCCACACCCTGCCCTGGAAGGTTTTTAATTATGACCTCGGTGTCTTTGTGTGTGTGTGTGTGTTACTAGGGTTTGAACTCAGGGCCTACACTTGAGCCACTCTACCAGCCCTTTTTTGTGTTAGGTATTTTCAAGATAGGGTCTTGCAGGATCAATTGCCCGGGACTGGCTTCGAACCACTATCCTCCTGATCTCTGCCTCCTGAGTAGCTAGGATTACAGGCATGAGCCACTGGTGACTGACCCCTCAGTCTTATTTAATAGTTCTAGGCCTCTTTAGATTTTCTTCTACTTGTGGTAAATCCTATTTTTCTGCAAATTCTTCATTTTGTGTAAGTACTCAAGTTTATTAGCAGAACGCTGTTCATAGTATTCACTTACTATCTTTCTAACATCTGCAGCATTAGTAGTAAGGCCTCTTATTTCTCTTACTGTTTGTACTTGCCTCTGACTTTTATAATGGCTTCCAAAGATTTGTTCATTTCATTAATCTT